TTTTCACTATTGTCTACTTGTATCAAAAGGAACACGATTAGTTACTGTTCAGTTGGCTGATACAAAATCCCGCCATTATCCAAGTTGGCTTTAATTAGTACCCACCTTCCATGGCGATCAGCCTAGCGTCTGTCCAGCCGTGAGTGAAATTTCCCGCCAGTACTTATAAACGTAAGAACCACTGACGGGCCGTGAGGTACAATGTAGGGGTAAACTTTTGAATGGGAAGGATTTGTGCAACGCCACTTGGCAGAAAGGTGGTCCAGAATGTTTGCTGGAGCATGGGCTACTTTAAATTTGGCGGCACAGCCTTTATTGTTATTTTGCAGACGATTTTCGTGTCGACTGTGAGCTGTGCCGCCATTGGGGGCTAAGCAGAAGGACGGGGGCAAAGCAGAATTGCGCCGGGGGCGTAGAGGAACGACGGGGGCGAAGCAGATTTTTTGCGGGGGCGAAGCAGAACGGGGCGGGGGCGAAGCAGAACGGCGGGGGCGAAGAGGAAGGAGTTTCATGGGGGTGAATTATGTCTACAGATAGCCCTGCACCAGGCAAGGAAAAGGAGTGGCTAAAGCCTTGTAAAGGGAAAGATAGCATGCATAATCTAGTGGTTAGTAACCCTGCCTCTGGACCAAGAGGTTGGGAGTTCGAATCCCGGCTGTCGTCGCTCACCAGACATGCACGCTACTGAAAAAGGTTGCAGTCAATATTATACTATTTATACCGGTAGTGTGGTCCAAGTTGTCAGAAAGAGCCTGTGGAATTTCCATGGTAAAATGAACCTGTAAATACTGTACATAGCATCTGTGTTATGACCAGTGGAAGAATATATAAGCTGGATCGAGATTACATTTTGTACTTCCTTTCCTTTCTTTATCACTTGCAACAGCTCCGTCAGTTGGGAACGCATCTAATTCAGATACCGTCACAGCGTATCTTCTCCAAGATTTGTTAGTGTTACAAACATCTGTTCTTGCTCCATCTCTCCCAGTATATCAGAATAATAAAGCTATTTTTGACAGAGAATCGGAGCAGCCATGCTAAATTATCCTGATACACTACATGTAGTTCCTGACAGCCCGTAAAACGTAGCATATGTCAGGCATAGACACACCGGGCCAGCAGAGCCTGGCTCATGTCAGCGTAAATCAATTGTTGTTACTAAGTAATCAATAAGCCAATAATCAATGGAATTATAATTATGGCAGCGGGGAAGACATTACTGGCTTGCCGTGCAATTATACAGTGAGGACCTTTTTAAGGGACAAGCAAAAAGTCAAATCCTCTGAAGATTTTCAAAAGTGGAAGCTTGACATCAGATGTCATCTGGGAAGCAGTGTAAGATCCTTGAATCAGGATGACTTAGCTAACATACATTATTTAATATAGCTAGTATAGATCTTGAGTTATAATAAGAACAAAGTGGACTAAATTTGATTTATTCAACATTAATATGACACAGTAACAAATGTGCCCTCAGTAAATAAATATGTTACAAATGTACTCTTACACTTTTGAACCAAACATGCCAATATAACAAAGCATGAATAAAACATGCGTGAGTAAATGTTTTATGAAAAATTGTAACTTAGAAGCCATCTGTGACAGAATGTCGGTCAAAGATCCTATCAGAAACGAAATTTCAGTACAGCAAATATAGGTTGACATGTTGGACTAGCTCTTTTGAGTCAGCCTGGTAACTGTTGGACAGTGAGAATGTAAGCTGTTTCAAGTGTTGGTTATGCAGTGGCCGCAACAGTCATGGGAGACAGGCACTGAGGAATCAAAGGATAGGGACACTTGGGCTGAATCCTAGCAACTCAGAAAATTCCTGAGGGACAACTTAGTTTTATGTTTCTCGATATCCAACCTACAAATCCTGGTATGTGATATGTTGTCCTGACATGCGGGAACTTTGTACATGAAGATCTGTCCATCAAGGGACTACAGACATACATGCAGAAGGATAAGAATGTGGGAACGTGTACATATGGAAGCAATTACAGTGTATACTGAGGGATGTGGTCAAAAACAGGTCATAGGGAAGCACAAGTATAAGCTGTTTTGGGTCTGCTGTTACTGTGTAAACAGACAGCGACCACAAAGTATTTTGCGGCAGATCTAAGTAACCACAAACCTTAGAATTGGGTAAACGAAACAACAGCTTTCAAGCAATATTCTGACAAAGCTTGCAGTCCTGACTTGTTGGTCAGAGAAGGCATTAGTCTGAGTGTGAGAGTGTCTGAGGTCTCTATTAAATGTCTTATATAATCCTAGGGTAGATTTTGACTAAGCACACCAGGATACCCCTACAAATATACCTGGAAAGCTTGTCAACTAACAAAAACATGCCCCACATCCTAAGTCATTCATTCGTCACAATTTCATAAACTAAAGAAGTAAGCACAATGGCCACAAACTTTTCACTCCAGCTTCTATCACTAATGAAGCTCCTGCCAACACACCTGTATAGACTGTCCACACTAGTGTCACATGACACCTGTCCTGCGTCCACAGGTATCTCCTGTTCCTACCGACTTAAGAGATGGCAGCTGTTAGAAGATAAACAGAAGGTCAAACACCTTTCTTTGCTAAAGATTAAGGCAGCAGAAGGCAGTTCTTTGAGAACACCGTACTGTAGTGATTTTTCGCATAAAACTCACTAAGTATCCAGTTTCAAGGTCTTTATATGTTAGTTAACCCTGGCCATTGTACCAGTATATGCAAAAATGACAAATACAAAAGAAACAAACAAAATTTTTGTCCAAATTATGTACACCTTGTGATGTCAACTCAGTCAAAAAATAATAGATGTCTATATGTAACTAGACCTAATGTAGTCATAAAGATTTGTGGCAAACGACTGCCCGATATCATAATATCATCTCTCTTATTCTTGTGCATTCAAGTCAAAATTAATTCCATATGTGGCTTCTTGAATAACAATTTCAATCAATACAATTAAAATCACTACCCAAAGTAATATTGGAAGGCAGTTGAACAGAGTGGCCTGTCTAAATGCTTGGGGTGACAGGTCATTAGTAAAATCACACAAAATCAATGACATAGCCATGGCCATGTGTCAAGTACAATTTCTCTAACCATTAACAGAAAAACAACCCTTCTATTGAAGAATCCTCTACTACTAGTCTAGCCTAGACTCTTTCCCTGAAAACTGTTATTGTTACCAGCACTGTAGGTTATTGAACAAAACAAAACATTTGTTTTGAAACACTATACATGTAGATTGGTGTACAAATACTTCAATTGTATTAATAATCTTCTTTGTATAAGCTAATTAGTATATCTATATTTGACCCTATGTTATAACTGTGTATGATTTCAGTATAAAATCTCATTGACCACAAATAATACATATTGATATAAGTATTAATATTATAACATTGACAATGCAAACTTTTAAAGATTTCTTTTGAAGTTGTGAACAGCGTGGCAAGATGTGTTCAACTTCAATCAATGGAAAACATCTGGTGGCCTGATGGAAAATGGGACCATGATGTCACAAATCACTTGTCCATGAGAAATCGTCTTCTGGGAGCTTCATGGTGTTACATGTACATACTGTTTTTTTGATGTCGTAACATTATAAATATGGACAAGGCGATCACAGAAGACTCAATGCTTGTCCAACATGCCACACTTACAACTGCATGTATACTGTGATATTGATAAACAGGGCAGCAGTTTGCTAAGAAGAGTTAGACAGCAGACTCAATGGATTTGATAATTGATCTTTCACACTACACACAAGGGCACTGATACATGCAATGATATTTCATAAGGTTAAGATTGAAAAACCTGTTATGTAGCACTGTGAACGGAAACATGTGAGCTAGTTTCAGGGTCACTGGTCAATAATTTTGTGTCGCTAAAAAAAGCCAGCAAGGTCGTAACACTTATATGGGACTAAGGATGGACGAGATTAATCTTCAAGATCATGTTGGGAGAAGTTATACTTTCTGCTCTTTTCTGTGACAAACCACTGACGGCAGCAAGGAAAACATAACAATTTAGTCACCCAACGTCTGCTTGGAGATTACGATAAGACGTTACGTAATAAAACAGATCACCATTGTGCTTTGACGTTTGTGCTTGCAAATATTGTGTACCATGTTGAAACTTGAAAGAGACATATACTTACAAGTTACATATTCAAATTGAGTTTACGAAACGAGAACTGTTGCTACAGTTTCTGCTACTTCTGATAAATCTAAAGCTTTGTTTCTGTAAACTAAAACAGAAGTTACTTTTGACATTTTTAACAGGCCCAAAAAAAAGGCATCAACGCTCCACTAATTATCTTGTCGAACAAGATTTATCTAACAAGAAGTTGTCATTGTGTATCAGTGTATATCTGAAGGTAATGAACTAGAAACAAAGTTGGTTAGTCAAACTCCAGGCAGAAACCAAGTACATGTATCTCTCCCATAGTATAGATGGAATCAAAATATCTGGGTATCTTTGTAGTGTCATTTAGTATCATCATTATCATGTCAAGGCACACACACCGACATATATAATTAAACCAAAAATAGCTTAATTGTCAGAATAATATATATTTCATTAAAGAATCTGCCACTGTAACAGCTTAAGAAATTCAAGGTGGCATATACTACAGCTCCAATTCTTCAAGGATTCTAGCAGAAGTCATGAGATGTTATATAAGACTTGTGATCAGCTACAACCCCTCCCCCATGTCTTCATTTGCATGTAAAAGTCGACAATTAAAACTGTCATGATATGTCACCGATCCCTAACACACATCTGTATATACATGCCATTATGATTCTCGAGCGATAGGGTTTTAAGTGAAGGAGAGTTTGCTGTCCAACTACAACAATAAGGACCTTTTGTGGAATGCGAAGAAAGAAAGAGGAAGGAAGATCCTTGGGAAAAATCGTCATCATTGAAAACAGAAGGTCCCTGTGCTAAGATGTGAAGCGAAAATGATCAAAGCTCGAAGCCGAGTCTTGTTTACTCACCAGTTGCTTTGCACGGACTTGTCGCTGACTTAGTTCTGGCACTTTAAAATCCGCGATAATGTCGCATTTCGTTATAAAAACTCGCCGATAAAAACACCGAAACGATCAGATTTCGGGAAATGGTGGCTGCTTTCTGTGCAAATGAGTAAAGCCCGCAGCAAAGCGCAAAGATAGCGCTTCGATTGCACCGACACCAAGCCAAAATTTAGCATTCAAGAAAGATGTTAATACAATTTTTAATATTACCCATATTATTATCAACGTGATTGCATATGGTTTTTATAAAAGCCACTCGGTTTTGTGGAAATATTATTTTTCAAGTCTGTTTATGATGTGTTACGTTTGCATGCTACCAAGCAACTCTCACTATATCTCGCGAGGATTCGTCTTTTTACGAGATCTGCAATCCAAGATGGCGGAAAGACAGTCTTGATTTAATGAGTTGTCATAAAAAACATCAAAATCTCGTGATATTGAATCGGCATCAACAAAAACTCGTCAACATAATATCAAGACATTGTTTGGAAATCAGTAGGTGTGGAATTTAATGCTTTTTAGAGGTTATAGACTCCGAAAAGTCTTCATGAATTTACGTGGTCCTTTGTCAATTGTGAGCCTTTGTCACTTGGTGTGAAGTTGGTGTTTCTTTTTTGGCGGGGGTGGGGTGAGCCTTAGATACAACATCAAGGGACCGAAATGCTTTTTTCTGCATCAGAGCAGGTAACATTGACAATTACTTGCACTGGACAAACTTTACCCACACCCTTCAGACATTGACAAGTATGCATCATAAATCAAATCAGTGGTTGTTGAAAATTTGATTGGTTTGCTCACGATTTGATATTGATCATAAATTCTGGCACTCAATTTCACCTGAGTGAAGTGAGGAAAGTCGTGTAAAGTGCCTTTCCCAAGGGCAGAAGGTTGGCGACTTGGAAGGATTCGAACCTGGGACCTCAAGGTTCTGAGCCAAATGCTCTGCCATTACTACCCCCCGCATCCTTGTCTATCTTTGTGTTGGAATAAAGTTCAGCACCGTACTATGGTATTTCTTAATGTTACATGTACTGCTATTTGTCCACAGCAGTCGGACCTGACCCTGTCACCATGCGTCGTGGACGTGGCCCAGCCTCCGCCTCCAGCACCACCTCCTCCAGCTCCGCCCTGTTCGGCGGGGAGTCGGCCACCTCGTCCCCCGCCCTGGACACCCGCATCCCAGACCTGCTGAAGGAGCTGCACCAACTCATACAGCAGACACAGGTGCTAATCTCCCAGCAAATCCTAGGGTGGCAAAAGACAGTATCAAATTGGCAGGGCAGTATCTAGTTTTTAGCTTAGTTTTTGTTATATTCCTCAGAGTCAATAATGACTAGCTTGTTGTGCACTGGAGCTAGGTGTTACTTGTTCACTACTCTAGCTACAGTGCACAGTATACAAGATACAGAAGGTCATCGAGATGACAGCTCATGTTCTAATTATGGCTCCTTGGTTTATGGGTCAAGTTGCAGGAATTTCCAAGCTTCAAGTATAGATGAATCAAATTTGCAAACAAAGATTGCAAGCTTTGGATGGTCTCAGTTGCCCAGACTTACCTTATATTACATCCCAATCAGGAGGAGCGGGCCCGAAGTGAGCACAACCTCACCAACATTCAGAAAACACACGAGAGAATACAGTACGAACAGAAGGGCAAGTCCAAAGGTACATCAACAGGTAGGTAGACAGAACTCTTTACTATATGTTATAGTTGAAACTAACTTAAGAATGACACTTGCATTATTGCTGCCCTCTTTTGTGCTGCTTTAGTGACAGTTTTAGATATTACCCAGTAAATTTATTATTTTGCAAACTCAAAACTTCCCCCTGTGTTTCAGCTGTGTCTCCGTACTTCAAGAGTAAGCTGCGAGGTTTGTACAGTACAGCAAAGGCCGATGCTGAAGTGGAGGCGGAGTGAGTTTTTTTCCAAAATCTTCCCATGTTCTAATTGTCATAAACCACACAGTAATAGCCAACAACCGGCTATTTGCATTTAGACTATGTATTTTTTCAAGACAGACAGAATTTCTAGTACATTTTCCCAATCATACATGTGTGAAGAAGGAAGGTTATCTTGGTGGTCAGAAACATAGACATGTTTGTAATGCAGTGTTCTTGTTTGTTTTCCAGCCTGCTGAGAAAATGCTTGGACAAGATTGCTCAAATTAAGGCCATTCGGAATGAGAGGAGAATAGGTACGGTACTCTGATTGCTACGCATTTGTTAATTGTTTGGACAATCTTACAACTTTTTTTTTTGAAAAAAAAAAAAAAGAACAGAAATGTGGCATGTCATTTTCATACCTACATTTACATAACAAGTCTTTCCCCTTCTTTGTTTCCAGCTGCAAAGAGTGCAGGGATTTTTATGGAACAAGAACCACCAAGGTATGGGATTGCATAAATGTAAAGTGAAGAAACGTTACCTCTAGTTATTAAAATTTATTAAAACTCTAGGCATATTTTTAATCCTGTGACTGAAGTATGAAGAGTGGATTCTCTTGTGAAATCTGACTAACAACAAAGCATATATTTGGATAATGACTTTTCTGTTAGTAACTGATGTTTTTTATACCTCCGTTGCAGGAAAACCATGCGGCGTGGTGTGCTGATGACCCTCCTACAGCAGTCAGCCATGACCTTACCACTGTGGATAGGCAAACCTGGAGAGAGGTGATGTGTAGTCTAGATGTGTAGAGCATCTTGCTAAAATTGTTTCTCCCTCCTCTCTATCTCTTTTTCTCGTGCTTTTCTGACCAAAGACATGACAATGTTTGCCTTTGTGAAAGTTTCAGACATAAATTTCAACAAATTGTTGTTGTTTTTTCTTTAGCCCCCCTCCCCTGTGTGGTGCAGTCCAGGCAGGTTCAGACTATGTAGCTAAACCAGGAGACAAGGTGGCGGCCAGAGTCAAGGGGCCTGACGGGGACGAACAGTGGATCCTGGCAGAAGTCGTGTCCTTCAATACAGGCACCAACAAGTAAGGACAGCTGTAGTAATGTGTGTACAACAGTGGGAAGCTTATATAGTTGTTGTCAGTTTCATAGAATTTTCTTGTCAGTTGTTTAGGTGGAAGGTTTGCAAAAAGAGAGTAACAGTCTTGATTCTTCTTGCCATTCAACTGTTGTGCTGTTTGTTTCAGGTATGAAGTTGATGACATCGACAGTGAAGAAGGGAAAGAGTGAGTTTTTCTATGACTTGTGCATTTTGTATGAAATAGTTGTGGTGTATTATATTTATGTCTGAAAGGGGTGAAATATTACTCTCTCTGTCAGTCAGTTTTGCACAGACTGTGCAGTTCTGCACAGCAACCAACTGATGATGATGATGATGATGTTTACTCATAAATTGTTCTGTGTTTCTCCAGGAGACACACCCTGAGTCGTAGGAGAGTTATCCCACTGCCACAGTGGAAGGCCAACCCAGAGACAGACCCAGAGGCACTTTTCCACAAAGATACGGTCAGTTTAACTTTTGTGGTCATTTCTTCCTTTTTTGCTGTTTAGCCTAGCATTAAGGACCCTCTTTATAGTGGCTTCCTGTCTACTATGACTGGCTTGAATGGTTGTGATGTAGGTCTTACCAATTATGTTCTCTCTCTCCACAGTTGGTGTTGGCCTTGTACCCACAGACGACGTGCTTCTACAGAGCCCTGATACATGCCCCACCTACAAGGGTACGCACAGGTTTTCTATACATGTTGTACATGCTGTATATGTATATTCAATATTGACTTAACCCTTGTAAAGAGACTTTACACTTGATACCATTATTGACTTAGGTATTTACTTATAATGCTATCGAGTAAAAGGTACTTACTTATAATGTATGTTGTGGGGGGTAGAATTAATATCACAGATGTATTTTTTCAAGCACTAATACTGCATGAAAGGAGAGGAAGCATTTTCAGTTTTTGGAACTGTCAACCTAAAATCATGTTTACTGTAATTGATTCATAACTTTCTACGGGCCACAAGTTTAGGACAATTTCAAGCGATTTTGAGTTGAAAGTTTCACAAAGCTTTCCTTTAGGTCTGTGTTGATGATTTCTTCCAAACCTCATGGTGTGTTTGTGTATTGTTAAGCCACAGGATGACTACTCAGTGCTGTTTGAGGACACCTCCTACGCTGATGGCTACTCCCCGCCCCTTACCGTGGCTCAGAGATATGTGGTGTCGTGTAAGGAGAGCAAGAAGAGATAGTCACACCCCTGGAACGTCAAGACTCTATTTGTACATGTACCCGGTAGCATCATTATGCTGTGGACCACAGGACTACTAGCCTGGTGTCTATCCTATTCTAGCTCTAGTTCACCCTTACAATTGCCTTCCTTCCTGAATAGTATGTCACCTGTTTATAGAGAAGCGATTGGCATTTAAATATTCACTTGAAATATAAGCAAGAGTTCTGATTCACTGTATATTTCCTGTGCAAATTTTTTTGATTCATTAAACAATGGAGAAGTAATGTAAGAACCAAACGTTTCAATGGGGACAGTGCCAGACTATTCTGCATGGAAGTGACCAAAGTAACGAACCAGAGCTAGATTAGAATGAATACCAGGCAACCGGACTAGTGGATCACTTAGCACTTATCATTTGTACATAGCTGCCCTCTATGTTAGTATATAAACTAACACATGATATTATACAGTCATGTAGTCATAACAGATACTTGTATTATCTGTGGTAGGACTGAACTGCAAGCAACTTCTCACCATCAAATCAACAACTTGCCTTCCACATGGTGTACATGTATGTGAGATGTCCAACAAAGAATCTAGTAGTCATTGTAAAGCTTGATATGCTGAGCAGAAGGCTGATTCACTTTTCCTCTAACAATACGTCAACAATTTATTGTTGACGTATTATTATTATTGTGCACTGTATATTCCAGTGTATCGTTAGTTTTTTTTTCACATATTCGCAGTGTATACGATTAGCCCTTTTTATGTGCCTGTAGAGTTTGTATAAATGCATTTACTTTGTATGAAATTCTTTGAACATCAATAAAGTACCGTATATAACGTTACATGTAATGCCACTTGAATCCTGGTTGTTTGTGGTCTAAGTAAAATTCGTCTGAGCTATGAAAACTTAAGTTACAGCAATGGCTGGAAGATGTACTCATAAATCAGTAGCTGCTGCGATGATAAATATTGTCTTTGGATAGATTGTTGTAAAAGCGCCCCTCTCGAAGTCTGTAAGCATTACAAGTCTTACTCAGACAGCCTTGTAAAAGCGACCTCTAGAAGACTGAATCAGTACTGCAGGAATATTGCCACTGCGCTCCAAGCAAAGAGCAAGCCGCTAACTGCACGGTATAATCAGAGACATGTCCTTGGTATAATCTGGATTTCTCTGATGCTGTTGTGTTTGCCGGCTTAAAGCGGTTTTATATCAACGTTTAATACCTTCTGTCTACAAGTTAATAATATTTAAGATCACGCTACGTTTGAGGGATCCAGAGAAATGAAGAAATACACCTGCATTGAGTGTGGGAGGGGGGCAGAAGAACTGTATAGAGACTTCGGTGGCGGCAATTTGAAAATCTCCCACTGCGTAAGTACAATCAGAGGGTTAGTTAGTTCCTGTTTTTTCGTATTTTTGGAGTTATGAATTACCGTACACAACTGATATGTATTGAACTACGTAGTGTTGGTATGATGATGACACTGAACTGTGCACAACCCGGAAGTGCTGTTGTCAACAAAATCTTTAACCATACGAACCATACAACAACATCATCTTCTCGGGTGCACAACACATAGCATTGGACTGCAATGAAGAATCGCCGTGTGCCGAAATGGACTTTTGGCATGGCTTAGTAAGGTTTACTGTTTATCAGTCTATTACAGAAACAATATCATTTATATTCTCAGTGCCAGTCCTGACCACTGTGTACATTTGTACATTGTACTGGAAAACTATGTAATTCCCAGGCAGATGTAACTAAGGATCTAGTTAGCTCATGCTCACATGTTTTATGCATGTTTTGTCCAACATTTAGTAACGTTATACCTCTTTTGTATTCGCCTCCTATTATCTTGCGTAAGGTAGGGTTTCAGAATTTCCTACAGTCTGTCTTGTCCAACGGCTGAAGTCAAGTTAGCAGCCTAAGAAAACTTGGATATACTTTAAATTTGTTTCCCATCGATCCACAGGACCACTGTGACCAGGTGGTGGATAAGTATGTAGAGTTTGACCCTGTCCTGGTGTTACTGGACGCACTTCTACACAAACCACAGGCTTACAGGCACATTCTACTCAACAGTGGCATACAGGTAGACAAAGTTATAAGTATATCATGTCCACAAGGATAACTGTTACTAGTATACATGTAGTTAAACTTTTTGAGAATGAACACTATTGAATCAATGTACCCGGTAGTGTTATCAGTGGCTTTTTTTGGCCTTAATTTTGTTAACATACAATTGTTCTTATCAATATAACTAGGAGGAATGCTAAGAAACATAAGAATATTTGGCAACATTTACATTTCAGTGTAAGACTACAGTGCAATGAAACATATTGTTACTTTTAGCCCTGGGAAAGCATGAAAAAATTTGTTCCTAATCATTTTGTTGTGTCTTTGTCATTTGTCTTCAGTTCCGTTGAAACCTAAGCTGCAATTAATGTAGCCATTTTATATTTTCTTTTTAAAAAAATCAAGCATCAACATTTTGTATGATACATATATTCCTGACAGTGTGAAATTCCCTTCCCCCAGTTCCACTGGAGACTGGCCGTGATCTGTCTCCTGTGTGATGCTTACATCAAGTGGGCTCACCTGAAGTCAGCAGACTCCACAGACACACAACAGCACATGGGCTTCTACGCTCTGGAGTGGGACTTCTACCTCATGTTCCTCCTAGCAGCAATCGGTCAGTTCAAGGGTTTCTAGCCTGGGGGCCAGAGTTGTTAACTTTTTAAGTGCCATCACATGGAGCAGACAGAAGCTAAGGTTCAAGCCAGGCATTCAGGTTGAGAGTTTTCACCAGTATCTAATTTATTGAGGGAATATAAGTTATTATAACAGCAATTCAATGACTAGACTAAGAGCTAGGCCATTCTAGGCAAAACAGGCATGTCTGTTATGATTTAAGTAGATTAGACTTGGATGAGATCAAGCCAGGAGGGAAGTGCGGGTTCTCTGCATTGTTGAAATAAAATCAGAGGTCCATTGTACATCCTCTTCCCTTCCAGAGTTGGCGGTGTTCCTTGGGTGCTGTATGCTGCTGCTGCAGGTCAACAGATATATTGCACCATCTCCTGAAGTGAGGTAGGTCATCAGAAACCAAAGAAACATAGGAGGTTTTATCCCAGATATTTAGTATCATTTGAAGGCTGATTCACCAGTTTGAAAGTGACAAAGATGATTAACTAAAAACATTAGCATATAGATAGTGTTCAGCACCAAGGACAGAAATGTTTGCCTATGTGAATATGTTTTTTTTGTACAGACATGGAAATCAACCCCTTGTTCTTTGAGTTACACACAAAGTTAAAGTACATAACTTCTTTTCTTAGGTTTTCTTCTGTAGTTCGTGCTCTGCTACTGTCCAGTTTTGGGAAGTTACTGGTCATCCCAGCAGTGATCTGGGGTGAGACAAACAGCACAGTGTACCTGGGCCTCACTAGACTGTTCGTCTTCACGTGTAACTCACTGGCTATGAGAGGTAAGATGCTATCAAACACTCAGCTATTTGACTTTAAAATACACTGCCTCATGTTTCTCCTGGCAACAATCAGTCAGTTCCAGGTTTTCTAGCCAGAATAACCTGGGACCCAGACTAGTATCATGCCATTAGCTGCGGTTCCGTATTGTCATGATGGGAATGGTATCAGCACCAAGGACAGGAATGTTTGTCTTCACATGTAACTCGCTGGCTATGAGGTCAGCTGCTATCAAACACTCATCTCTGTGACTTTACACTGCATATTGTCATCATGGGGATGGCATCCTTCCCATACCTTTAACAGCTGGGAACCAGAAAAATGTTAGTTATGATAGTGTTCAGCACGAAGGACAGGAATGTTTGCCTATGTGTATGTTTTGTGTGTAAAAACATGTGTATGATTATGTTTTATCAGTACAAATTTGGTACTATATTGTACATGTATCAGTACTATATTTAAAGGTTAAAACTCATGTTGCATTTTCTTTGTTTTTTCTACAGTAACCATGGATACCAGACAAGATGTGGCATGCGGCCTGGTTGCTACGAGCCTGCTAGTACAGTACCTCACATCCCTGTCCATCCACAAGTTATTACACATTCCAACATGATGTTATGTGCTGTTGGTTATAACTGTTAAACTGATTTATTTATACAGTTACTAGTGGAGTTTAAATTTCCTATGAGTATTGTTTACCTTGATGTCTAACCTTCATCAACGTAACTGATAAACTGCAATGTGTGACACACCAGTTCTGTTTTACGAAGTACAATTGCAAGCTCTGTATGACAGGACTGAATGGATCTATCCATTCACACCAGGAAGGAACCCTATTCTTATTCATAGGTGCGGTGGGTTCTTGATCAAGATGTGTCACAGAAAACGCACAGAACCCCCTTTTTTTGTATAGATTGTAAATCTAAAGACAACTTTAGGCAACGAAAACAAATCTTTCTTCACCATCTTAAAATTTTTTATTGCATACTTTCCTTTTTCTGTACATGAGCCACCCTCTCCATATGCATTAACCTCAGAACCAAAGATGCATTTGACATTAAAACGTCTCGATTGAAAACCATTTATGTCTAGACGTCTCAGTCAACCCTCTTCACAGAGACCAACTGTCCGATGTCCTTTGGGTGGTCGCCTTTAGCAGTTTTGACTGTACTTTCATAATCTACTTAATAAGTATACTGTATAACAGTACCACTGTTTTAAATTAATGCTATTATGCCACTTCAAAGGGCATCTATGTAGCCGGAGTGTCGGTCTTCTTCGTGACACGTCTCCTCCAGAATCTTCGCCTCTTGCCTTCCGCTGCATTGGTCTTCTTGCCTTCCGCTGCAGGGGTCTGCCTCGATGCCTTGTCCTTGGCATCATGGGTGGCAGCCTTTGTGGACTTCCTGCGCCGGAACAGGCGTCTCCAGAGCCCCCGGAAGCATCCGTAGCTCTTTTCTCCAGACTTGTCCTCTGGAAGCTCATCAGGGGACAAAGCAGGGCCCAGGTCTTCCATCTTTGCAGTGGGCACTGCCACAGGGCCCAGGTCTTCCATCTTTGCAGTGGGCACTGCCACAGGGCCCAGGTCCTCCATCTTTGCAGTGGGCACTGCCACAGGGCCCAGGTCTTCCATCTTTGCAGTGGGCACTGCCACTGGGCCTAGGTCCTCCTGCTTTGCAGTGGGCACTGCCACTGGGCCTAGGTCCTCCATCTTTGCAGTGGGCACTGCCACTGGGCCTAGGTCCTCCATCTTTGCAGTGGGCACTGCCACTGGGCCTAGGTCCTCCTGCTTTGCAGTGGGCACTGCCACTGGGCCTAGGTCCTCCTGCTTTGCAGTGGGCACTGCCACTGGGCCTAGGTCCTCCATCTTTGCAGTGGGCACTGCCACGGGGCCCAGGTCTTCCATCTTTGCAGTGGGCACTGCCGCAGGGCCTAGGTCCTCCTGCTTTACAGTTGGCAGCAAAGCAGGAATCATTTTTTCACCTTGCTCCCCAGTCCCAATGTTTGGTGATCCAGATACGATCAAGATGTTGTTCAGAGTACCGAACACATTCATGGTCGTGGGCTGTGGTGAAAGGAAAAAAGTTGCCATTAGTTATAAGCAAAGCACTTGTGCAAAACAGCCTTTATCTTGTGCATATGTATGCATGTGGGGGCCTATGTGTGTTAGTGTTTCACTACAACATGTACTTTTCGTCAACTTTTTCTGCAACTTTCTTTTGCCTTTTCCTAGACCTTCCACGCTTATAGTATGTTATACCTTGAAAGTTATATGTTGTCCCTAAGTAAAGTTGAATATGATTTAAATTTTGTAATACAGAGCATACTGTATCTTGTTGCCTGTAATTTCTTAGAATTCTGACACAAATATTGAACGCATTGAATTTTCCTTTTAGTAATTAAATATAGTAATTGAAAATGAATTAATGAATACAAAGGAAACTACACTTCAGTTTAACAAAGAATGTAACTAAATGCAAAGAATATTTTAAAAGAACAATGGTGTATTTACCAAGGTGGGGTTGTGGAACCAAACGCCGCTGCACGACCGATACTTTGACTCGTATCTCCCTGGATTAAGCTCCAGGACCACCACATACTCTTCAATACTGTCACTGCAAATAAAGCACAGATCATCATGTGAGAGGACGTACAATGATACTGTAATTCACTTTATGTTCACGGTACCAAAAGTTTACGGTCTATATCAATGCCTAAACAACAAGTTAACATCAAGTAGTGTAAATAAATACTACTAGGCTTGTACTTTTGAAACACAAGCTGGCCTTAAAATCAACCTCCTTGCTTGATGAAGTTTTGGCATGTTAACATTAATAAGCTGTAAGTTATCTCAAGAAAGTTATTCCAACCCTGCAGAAATTACAGTCTGCTAGTGTTCACCGAAAACACTTGAAATTTGCACAAACATCAGCCATGGTGGTGCATAATAATAATATTAGCTAGGAATAGGAAAGCTCACAGGTATGCTCAGTCAATGGTGCCTCCGCAATTACCCCGTTGACACTGATGCTAACACGTCCGAAAATAGTTTCATCAGGTTCGTAAAGTATTACAGGAGGGAGGTACAAACTCAGCCACTATGATTTAGGATGTTCTCACTGCAAAAGCACTGCCTACATTAGCTACATATAGCGGTGAGAAGCAGAACTCCAGTCAGAAGCTCTGAGGAAGGTGTCTGATAGACACCGAAACGTCAGGACTTAGGTTAGAAATCTTGGTTGTGTGAGAGAGAACTCAGACTGTATCCTGATGCTAACACGGACTCACCTCTTGGTGACCCTCCTGCCTCTCGCCCAAGCATCCCAGCTTCCGAAGAGGAAAGTCTCCTCGGAAAGCCGACCCCTCCAGACAACTCGCACGGTCCGAGACCCCACTAAGGCGGTCTGAGGACAGAGACAGGTTTGGTCAGGGCTTGAAATAATAATAATAATAACTGTTCTTGGCTGTAAATTAGTAGTAGACATTTAACTCTAAACTACAACTGACAGACCAAATCAGTCTCTGTACAGTTCAATCCATCTTAGTTTGTCTCTTCCTAAGTCTCTGAGATATTTCAGTACATGAGACTCAAGTTTGATGTTTAAGTACAGGTAAAATCGAGGCTGTGCAGGTACATGTATTTCTGATGTGTACCTGCACCCCCATGTACTGGGTTTATACATGTACATACATGTAGTTGTATGTGAACTTTCATTTGCTGCATTGAGTGTTACCAGCTCTGAGGTATATAAGAAATTAAATGCCAATGGTTCTGAACAGTTTTTTATTATGATCCATACTTCCTACATTCTGTGTGGTGCAGTTAAAATTTGCCTGGTGCACTATGGCTTTTAATGTCATATTTTTCAAACAATTTATAGGTAGCTAAAATATACATCCTATTAGTATTACTCTTGTATTTACCTGTGACCTGGTGTCACCGTGATCTCTCTCTGAAGTTCCCAGCATCCTCGCAAGGGGGCCTTCATTCACAGTGTTCGACATTTTCGACGACTTCTCAATTGATATCCAATTCTGGAAAACTATCAGAGAGTAAATCTGTCAGTGTGATACAATGAAAATTCACTACAGGTAATTAATAGATGTTTTATTGCAAATCAATGCCACAGGGCTAATTGCAGGAACAGAAGAAACATTTGGTATTAAAAACAGACAATTAGTACACACAGAACTACTGATTACTACTAATAAACTACTAGTAAAACCTACTGGGTTTGACTAACACCCTGGACAATATCCAATCGTCAGAAAAAGTGTCAGGTCTAAACGCCTGTTTGGACGAATACATGTACCTGATGTAAAATAAATTTAAAGTTGTTCTAGAATTTAACCATTGATGGCGATCAGTTTCGAACCACCGCTGAAGCTACCAAATGTTCGGCACAGTTCTAGAACACGCTTGGTCACACCGCGGAGTTTTTTATCTGTAAACTTTATCCTTTCCTTTATTTGGCAACGAAACTGATCAATAATTTGGAAACAGGGCAATTCTTGATGTGTATATGGTGATTTAAAACAGTATTACATATACGGTACAGTCTTTCATTGAGTCTTGCTTGCTCCTGCACATAGACGAAATACTAAGCTTAAACGTGTAGACAGCAAATACTTGCTGACAAGTCTTGTAGACCCTTTCTGATAGAATTACGTGCTTAACATGAAATTTATCCATCTTTACTGGCTTAAAATATTACGTAGCCTTTTTGCGAAAGAGAAATTAGTAGCTTGACAGATTTCCACCTCTAACAATGCACGAGGAATCAAGAAATGAACTCACTTGTCTCCGTAAACGGAAAGACGTCCGTCTTTATCAAAAGTTACGAACGGAATGCACTCCGAGCAAAAGGCACTAGCTGATGACGTCACGAGCGTCTTTTTGTTTTATGACGTTAACTAAAAAAATAACGTCACAAAGTCGCTACTTCGAGCTCATTGGTCAATTTTTTTTACAATTTTGAAAGGGCGTTTCCAGTTCACAAATTTGCTCTGAAAAGTTTGAAATTTGTCAGGCAATCGGAGATGGAAGCATTTCGGCAAAAAACGACACATTAAAATTTAGAGAAAACCTTTGCCAAAGACAAGCATAGACACTTTCAATCTACTTGTCATGTCCCAACTCCATATCTGTGTACCTAGGCCAATACTAATCTTAAACTTGTAGACAGCAAATACTTGCTAAAAAATCTTGTAGACCCTTTCTGATAGAATTTCGAGCTTACTATGAAATTTATCCAACCCTACTGGCTCGAAATATTGCGTAGCCTGTTTGCGATAGAGAAATATCATGGCCTTGACTAATTTCTACCTCTAACAAGCACGAGGAATAAAAAAAGAACTCACTTGTCTCCGAAAACGGAAAGACGTCCGTCGTTATCAAAAGTTACGAACGGAATGCGCTCCGAGCGAAATGCACTAGCTGATGACGTCAAGAGCGTCTTTTTGTTTTATGACGTACCTTAAGAGAAATTACGTCACAAAGTCGCTACTTGGAGCTCATTGGTCAATTTTACAATCTAGGACTTTTACAGCGTTCACAAACTTGCACTAAAATTTTGAAATTTGTCAGACAATCGGAGATTGAAGCATTTCGACAAAAAACAACACATTACAATCATACTAGTAGATAACTGCCCTATGTCGCCGTACGTTTTGGTTGCGTCAAAGACGAAGCATTCAGCAGCATACATAGCTATCCCATGGCAGTTTAGTCGTACTACCACGGGTTACCTTTTTAGAGTGGGAAAAATGAGTCGAAGTCAAATCTAGACACCATTTGTCATTTTTTAATTAGAATGTTCATAGAGGAGTCCATATATTAACACGTTTCGGTTGAAAAGTCATGAACGTTAGAGACGTTTTTGCGCGTTTTTACAATTGTTGCATTTTACCCTATTATCACTCACGTCACATTTTCAAATGTCACTTTTACACGTCTGGGCCAACCACACATTTACATGTACACCAGTTTTCACACCTTTGGTATTTCAGTGCGCTATGAGTCTGAGAGGAGCACAGATGGAGGCGAGCTGTTACACGTAACAATACTACAATGTAGACTTATTTACAAAAAAGGTTGAAAAACAGGTTTCAAACACGGAAAATGATCCTTCCATCTAGTATCTGCTTTGAAATTAAGGTTGCTGAACCAGAGGGTTAACGTCCGTTCGGTCAGCGACCTAATTCTATTCGTGATCGTTGGTGTATGCATTAAGGCTGATGACCTCTTGCTTGGTGGGTATCGTCTATCTGCAAAGCGGCCCGCCATATTAGTGCGAAACGCATTCAAAACAGCGGGCGAGCCCGGCAGCGCTCCAAAACAAATATCGGATTGGTTGAATCGAACGACGCCCCTTTTTAGAGGTCAAGGTCCCCAAGGCTGTTCACAGTCTGCCTGGATTTCTTGCTGCGGAGCCCTGCTGTAAAGAGGAGCCCCACCCACCCCCACTGTTCGGGCCGGCCAGGCAGCAGGTGCAGGTGAGATCCATTCGTAATGGCTTTATGTATTGCACGTCACCGCCGATGTTCTAGTGATGTAACGTTGTATGCTGTGTTCGTAAACGTCTCGTTTCTTGTAAACAGCCTATGCCTCCATTGTCCATAGCACTCCGCGGATTGACGAAGAGTTGTAGACATAGAATTACAGCACAGAATTTGTCGAATTGGAGGGGTAGAATTTCTTTGTCTCTTAAATGTACCAAATCACGTACTAGCTAAGCGCTAGCTTCACGTCAATTTGGTTTCCGTACTTTCAACGTTGCTGGAACCCTTTCCTCCTGCCAACAGACATGTTATTGTTACCAAGGACATAGTGGTTGTATATCCATAGCTACATTTATAATGTCCTTGCTGTTATCAACATTTTGTTTTATTCAGACAAATACAGTACCTAACATTAAAAGCCGTATCTGGTAGCGTAATATACCAGTTTCTTCGATAATAACATTACCAGCTTTCTGACAAAAGAGCTAATATGTTGTAATATTCAGTGATTTTCCTTTGACCCCATGACCATTGTTCAGGGTGACAAAGTAACAACTCTGCTGTAAATTGCGTTAGGATGTGTCCTGATTTCCTCTCGCGGCTGCCAGGCTGTAAATCCAGGCAGGCAGACGACATGAATGTTGCATGACCCTCCCGCTGAATTACCACAGCAACTGTGGTATCGATTTTCTCTCTGCTTGGCTTCCAAATCTCATCACCAAGGCAGAGTTCTGCATTGATCTGAGCAGGGATTGTACATGTACTAGATACTCTGGAGGGAAATGTAGGAAATTGCTAGGATGTTTACATATTATGCAAAGACTATTCTAGAAAACAGAGTTTATGTAATGAGATGTTATTCTATTGTTAGAATAATTTCTCTGCACTGTGTTCCAGAAGAGAGGCCAAATTATACAAACAACAAGTTAAGTCATAAAACGGTTATATTGTTATATTGTCCATAATATTTTGTGATTCTGTAATAAATGTATGCTAGATTAGCCTTGTACTATTGTTATTTTTATACATTGTACTATGTATGATTGTACTATGTGAATTTCATTCATTCTGTATACATGTAGATGTATATTAAGAATGCATGAATACCCTTCTTGCATCCATACTTCACAGGCATCACCAGTGGAGTGTATCCTAAAGCAGTAGCACAAATTCACCTAGGAAAAGGACGGCTTAATTACACCCTACAAACAAGGAAACAGCGATAACAACAACACCATGGCAGTAGTTGCTGTGCTGATGGTCCTGGGTGTGTTGGCGGTTATTGGACTGGCTGTAGCCGGTCTGGTGTACCTGGGTTACATCTACTACATGCACCGCAAGTACGACCATCTACCGGGACCACCCAGGAAAAGGTTGGAAAACTTCTTGTTTTAATCAATTCTAAAAGTATTTCTACTTGACCATAATTTTACTATGGAGCTAATATATCACCACTCTGAATGTAATATTGCTTGCATACAGTATTTTGCCACCTACACGTAGATCATGTCATAATGATGAATACATATGCCCTCTTTTTTTTTTTCTTCTCTCTACTCAGCTTCATCAGCGGCCATATAGATGACATGACCAAGTGTCTGCAGGATGGGAAGTTCACACAGGACATGATCTTAGAATGGTGAATATCTTGATCTTAGCATATCTGTGACTTTACAATTGGTCTAGCACTTCATATATATCTTACAGTATTTTGCAAGATATTGTTGCAAGCATTTGTTTCCATATCATGATTGAGTTCATCTGATGGTAACACTTTTTTCAGCACTAAGGACAGTGAAAGTAACTTTCTTTATTTCAGGCGTAGTAACCATTTATGGTTTGGTCAAAAAGGCAATTGAAGGCATTTTACAGTCCGTAGATATTTTCAACAGCAAATTATGGTGTTAACATCATTGATTTGTAGAAATGTGCTTGTTTGTATGAAATTTTGATGTAATGATTTTTTTGGGGAGCGTCATGTTTTATTTACTTTTGTAGGTGTGAGAGGTATGGTCCTATAGTGAGGCTGAACTTCCTACATCGAGTCATCATCTTTGTATCATCTCCGGAAGCAGTCAGGGTAGGCACTAGTCTTCACGTTTGGATTTTATTTGCATTCGAAGGTAATTTACAAAGCAATACTGCATTATGTAACAATAACTGAGTGTGTGTCCACCATGATAGGAGCTGCTTGTGGCAGGAAAGTACATCAAACCTCCAGACCAGTACCAGCGGATAGGGTCCATCTTTGGAGAAAGGCAAGTTTAGTTGTATTAATTATTATCGATAATAAGACTTGCCTAATGAGAAATAAACTGTTCTTCAACTCATACTGACCAAAATTTTCAACCGAAGTTCTTGGTCTTTATCAGCTATCTGACCCAATAATAGCAGTTACTGTAATACCTCTCTGTTTGTAGGTTCCTTGGTGAGGGTCTTGTAACTGAGACGAACCACGAGCGTTGGCACCGTCGGCGGCGGATCATGGACCCAGCCTTCAGCAGGAAGTACCTGCAGACACTCATGGACAAATTCAACACCAGCGGCGACCTGTTCGTGGAGAAGCTACAGACTCTGGCTGACGGCGTCATGCCCGTGTCCATGGTCGACATGTTTGGCCGAGTCACGCTGGATGTCATTGCAAAGGTACAATGTAATTGTTTGATTACTAGTATTGGTAGGTTAAAGGATAGTATATCTATTGGGAAATCCTGCAAAAGGGTGGGTCTAACGTTGTTTTTAAAGTCATGCCAAACGGGCATGAGGACAAAAAAATGCAGTGACCTGTTTGTCGAGAAGCTGCAGACTCTGGCTGATGGGGTCACACCAGTGTCCATGGTCGACATGTTTGGCCGAGTCACATTGGATGTCATCGCAAAGGTAGGTCGAGAGATGATGGTAGCACTCTAAGTCTGGTGTTGTGGCCATGTGCACGCCGTCTAGTGTGGCTAATCAGCCCTATCTTCGCATGGCAGTCCTGGCCGCACTTAAGACACAAGAAAGTTGTGATATTGTGAAATGGTTGAATTTAAAAAACACACAATAAACTGTTTCTTTGTGTGAAAGAGGAAGACTTCTTGAACATTTCTCGTGTTTCTTTTGCAGGTTGCCTTCAGTATGGACTTGAACACGATCCTGGACGACCACACCCCGTTTCCCATGGCAACCTACATCACACTGTCAGCACTCATCCAGCAGTTCAGGCACCCCTTCATGGAGGTAGGGGGCCTTGTCTTTACCCAGGACAACAACTCATGCTTGTCCTTTGAAATATGTACATTTTGTAATTCCCCTAAGCACTTCAATTTCATAATACTGACAGATACTTTTGATACCAGATGCCGTAAATAGTGCTTTTCTTTTCTTTACCATCTTTTTACCATTGTTTAGTCTGTTTAAGTCGGATGCTTCTATTGAAACTCATATTTCACAAACCTCTGGAAACGTCTGTATACATAAGATTTGATTTTCATTTGGTTAGGTTTTGTTCCAGGTACCGTCTTACTATGGGCTAGTTAGAGCTTGAAACAAACAAAACGAATAAAAAAATACATACAGTACAGTGTAATTTGCTAAAAGCATAATGTTGTGATGGGACCTCAATCTCTGTTCACCTCTTTTCCCCAGTACAACCCGTTCCAGCGTGACTACATCCGGAAGGTGCGTGAGGCGTGTCGGCTGCTGAGGAAGACGGGCCACAGCGTGCTGCAGGAGCGACAGGACCAGATCAGACGGGGGGAGCAACTTCCCAATGACATCATGACTCTCATTCTCAAAGCCAACGGTATGGTGGAGATTACAAGATTTCTCTATTCAGTGCTTTTTTTGGCATCCAGAAATCTTTCCAGAAGTTTTCTATCCCTAGTCATTTTAGTGTCATTTTTTCATTCATTAAGACCTTTTTGCTGTTTTTCAGATGAGGACTCAGGTCTAACTGTGGAGAAACTGGTAGATGACTTTGTCACATTTTTCATAGCAGGTAGGTGAAGCTACTATCATCTCATAGACATATACTGGTAGTGTTTTATAAAAGCTTTGATTGTGTTAATCTCTGTCCCAGGGTAGTATGTTAGTAGCCAATCATGATTGAGCTTGATTACAAATGATTGATCTCTGTCTCAGGCTCCGAGACGACAGCCAACCAGCTTTCCTTTACCCTGATGGAGCTTGGGAGGTACCCAGATGTTTTAGAAAAGTAAGTCAACATTGTTCCATAGAATTCATCATAAATGTACCAAATTACAGTGTATGTGTAGTTCTCATTGAGTGATTGTGCCATCAATATGAGCAAATGAATATGGTATAACAATGAATTGCCACTGTACTTTTATGTTTTATGTCCAGTTCAAGCAAGAAGGTTTCAGTCTCTTTGAAACCTTGGTTTAAGCATTAATTTAAAAATATTTACTGTTTCAGGATTTTGATTCAGTATGCATACTTGTAGAAACCATAAAACAACTTTAACTGCTTTCTAATGACAATGTACTTACAGACTACGGGCAGAGATGAGGGAAGTGTGTGGCAACAAGGAGTACATCACTTACGAGGACATCGGGAAACTGCAGTACATGGGGCAGGTGAGAGGGGGCTCTTCAATGGACCATCACATGTAGCCGTAGACAGGAAAAATCTCCCATCTGGTAGAATGTCAGGTCCCATCAACAAACTTTTGTTGAAGTCTCTGCAAGTAGATATCAAGATTAGAGTCTAAAATATCAAAAGATGGTTAAAAGACCATCAGAATTTTGCAAGTTTGATTCATGTCACTTTAAATCAAAATTTTAGCATAAGTAAACGGGAAACCACCCTAACACATTAACAGCATCCTCTTCGGAGTCTGTGTCGAAAAAGGCTCTGATCGGGATCTCTACTGGTAGAATTAGTGATTCTGCCAGGTAGCAATCTCTACCCTGACAAATATATCAGTATATTTGTTAAATGCAATATAACATATTCAGTAATCTACTTCACATGCCACATGTTGTTTATTGTTGTTAACATCATCATTGTTGACGGACTTACAGTTGTTTGTTTGTTTGTTTGTTGTTATTGCCAGGTGCTGAAGGAGTCCCTGCGGATGTACCCACCTGCGACTGGCACGTCTCGGCTGGTAGAAGAGGAGATGGAGCTGTGCGGACACAGGATCCCTGGGGAGACTGTTCTTATTGTAAGGACACATTATTCTTTCTACACAAAACGAATAGTCACTACAAGAATTCAGGTCGCACAGACATCATTTTTAGCATTTCCACACAAAACAAGAAGTCACTACAAGAAATGAGGACACATACACATCATTAATTGATTTTAGCATTCCTACATAAATTGTCTTGTCTGTTTAAAGAGATGGAACTGTGTGAACACCTGGGGAGACTGTACTTATTGTAAGGACACGGAAACTTCTTTTAGCATTCCTACACAAAGCTTGTAGTCACAGACAAGAAATAAGGACACACAAACATCATTTTTAGCATACCTACACATAGTAGAGTAGTCACTTCGAGCCTTTAGTAAAACTTTACAACTGAAACGGTACACATGTATGTCAGAAAGCACCGTGTATACATGTACTGTAGTTGCAAGAAGTAAAAGACTCCTATCGTAGAGTGGAACTTGTTGCCACCAAGTAGAGTTGGGGCATCATCACGAGAAAGCTTTGAACTCCTGCAGTTAGATGTGCAAAAATTGGGTGTAACAAGTCGTTCGGTGTAATATGGCTAGCTGCCATCAGAAACATTGCCGTCTCTTGTTTACAGACAAGCACATACATCATGGGCCACATGGAGAAGTACTACCCTGAGCCGTACACATTTAACCCTGACCGCTTCACACCAGATGCTGACAGGTGAGGACAAATTTAAAAGCAGCTCCTTCTCAAAGTGTAGATTAGAAGCATGGTAATAACAAGTTGCATAACACATGCATATCACAAGGCCTTATAAGTATTGTTAGTGAACAGCTGTTGGAATATACCTAGTACTTAAATGTTTTAATGGTCCTCTATAATATACACATAAGATACACTTTATATTCCAGGCCCCTGTACACATACTTCCCCTTCTCCCTGGGGTCCAGGAGCTGCATTGGACAACATTTCTCTCAGGTAAAGACGGTAGGAAGGGACATTCTGGGTTGTAATTTCATGCCCTGAATTATCATTTTTTCATTCTTTTAAGTGCACTCACAAGGTATGTGTTTGTCTGTTCTTATTTGTAATGAACAGTTAAAAAGCATGTCACAAGTACATTGTAAGTGCTGTTGCCTCTAAAGCTCCCCGTGTACAATGTAGCTTACCCTTATCCAAATTGCCAACTTTTTGCAGAGCATACCTAAAATCTTCATATATTAAATAATGATAATCAGATACTTTGAAATATACTTTGTCACATAGGAATGATAGGATGACATTTCCATGTTTCAATATTATGTACCTCATTCCAAGTAGTTGACAAAGACATTGCAGTTGATAAAATCTAGATATTTGATTTCCCGACAGATTGAAGCCAAAGTGCTGCTGTGCAAGTTCCTACAGAAGCTGGACTTTGAGCTGGACCCAAACCAGTCCTTCGCTGTTTCGGAGGCCAGCACGCTTCGCCCCAAAGGCGGCTGCATCTGCATGCTTTCCAAGCTTGAGAAATAGTTGTTCACCCACCCTTTTAAAACTGTCAAAAATGTGTAGGTACAACTAGATACATGACAATAACATAGAGGTGATGTAAAAGGTTCATGTAATAGAAAAAAGTCTGTTGTGTCTGGTTCATTCGTAAGTGTTCTAAACTTCTCATTGGGACTGTACAATTGTCACTATATACTTCTATTATTTTGTATTTGAGTATCATGTCAGGCGCCGGCTATTTAAACATTCCACCATTGTCAAGGCCAAGTCCTTGTAGGGATTCCAACTAACAGCGAAATAGCTATTGTTGCATTCTGACTGTTGCACTACTAGTATTTCATATTGAAATGTAACAACCATTTGACACTGTAACAAACATTTTATGTCAAGATGTCTTTATATTTTGAAGATAGAATCTGTAACTAAAATTGTTCTTATCTTCCCAATTCTTTTTTCAACAATCATGTCATGATAGTAAAACATGAAATTTGTACCTTGACTGTGATGTAGATGGTGTCCCTGTGTTCAATGATCTGAATAAAAATACTGTAGTTGTTAGTTATTTCATTGATGTCTTAATGTAAAGCCCATTTGTTGTTGTAAACAAAGTATCTTACCTTAAGTAAAAGGTATTAAACATCAATTGACCACAGCAAGACATTTATAATCAGGAATCAACTGTCTTTCTTCAGCAGTAAACTGCAGTTAAAGAAATACTGTTACAGTAGAAACTCTCAGATGTATATTTGGATTTAAAGCAAAGCACAGCCTAAAAAAATGACTCGGGAGGAAAATTTCCTTTTTTGAGATTTTAATCAGTGATCTGGTTACACAACAACTGAGAAAACATTAAAATACTATTACAAAGGTATGTACAAAAGCTGACAACAGAGAAATCGTCATGAAAGATGTTACTTTTTATCATCTGAATTTTATATAGAAGTTCCACTAAGTTGCTAGCTGCAGCAACAGACCACATGTATGTGTGAGCAGAGATTGAATCCATGGTATGTTCATGGTAAAACCAAAAATCGTCTTTGTTTGGTGGACAAAAAGTGTTTGGGTCATGTTTAATTTTTAATTTTGTATGAAAGGTGAGAAGGTACAAGGTATGACATCAAAACTTAGAAGAAAATTCTGCTACATTTCTTTTTTGGGACATGCTTGAGCCATAATGATAACAAATTATGACTCCATCCAATCTGGGATGGTGCTGGTTGTAGCTGCATATAGCTAACTAGTACACAGAATGCATGAAATAAATGTTCCTGCATCAATGTGTGGTCCACCTCTTAAAACAAACAAATGCCTACTGCTCTTCAAATCTGCTACTAAAAACTCATCTCCACAGATATCTCAAGAAATAAATTACTTCCAAAAACAGACATGAGATTATAATAAAATCCTCTGGTTTTCATAGAAACACAGGCTACAATTTACAGCAGAAGTCTACTTTTTTTGGTCTCATTTACACCAAGTTTATTTCCACACCACCACAAGTCAACACCATCAAATGCACTTCTCTAAGTTACATGTATAATTATGCAAAGCTTGCAAAATACAGCATACATTATCCTTTAGAAAACTAATAAATGTAAAATTAAAGTGTGATTCTGTAAGTTATTATTATTTTTTACAATCACCCCCATGATGTATCAAGGTGGTATGGTCTGCAACAGTTTGACTTCAATGGTTCTCCTGATTTGGAAGTGCTCAAACTCTTACAAAGGGGTGTCCAGAAGGTTCTATCTACATAGTAGTCCCTGCTGTATCAAGGTTCCCCCGTGAAAGAATGGAATGTTCTACATCAGGACTAACCCAAACTCATCAAAAAGGGGGGGAGCCTGGTCTGTCAAATGTGAAAATTTCCATTATTTTTTCCTTTCTCGGAAAACAATTTTTGGAAAAGCTCTCATAACTCACTTTGCACTTATGACCCTGCAGTGCCTTAAGTTGCTGAATTGCTGCTTACAAATATCCAGAAAGCTGTCAGAATAAATACACAGTGAACGAGTACCTCGAAATAATTTGGTAAAAGATCCAGCAGCATTTCAAGACTGCTTCGAACACCATGATCAGGTTTGGTGATGAGGAGCCAATCGGATTCGACGGTACAAATCTTTGTAGCCAATTAGAATCAAGATCTCATTTCAAATTATTTCAAGCTCAACATTTGAAGCACAAGCTGTTCTAAACCCTCGAAAGACAGGGTATGACAGATGATAAATTGAATAGTGTGAGTGGATGAGAAAAGCCCCACTTGGATGCTTAAATTTGCAGCAGGAGATCAAAATTAAAGAATTTTTCTTTGCTCTTGAACAGATTGTGTGGTGTCTATGGTTTGCCCCACTAGGATGTATAAACTTGCAGCACGAGATTAAACTTAGTAGTGTTATGCTTTCTTCTTGAATAGATTTTGTGGTGTCTGTGGTTGGTTCATCATTTCCCATTGCTGGTGGATTTCTGTGGTGATGTGTAGGAGTGGTCGTTGTGCATGCCGTGGATCGCTGCGGTTTCCTTGTGGGGGTAATCGTAAGACGGGAGGAACTCTTCCAGCAGCTCGAGGAAGTACTTTTCTAGCGCGTCAGCCTTTTCCCTGATGTCTGAGCCAAGCTTGTTGTACTCGTGCGCGTTGTCGAAGATACAGGATACATCGTTGATGAATTCCTATGAACAGGAAGTTTCAGTATAAAAAGAAAAATTTCAGTATAAAAAGTGTTTGCAACTATGGAATCTACTAAACAGCCAATGTCTTTATAACTTAATCTAGCACAGAAAAAGGTCAATATTGTAATGTAACTAATAGTATTGTAACTACTAACACTTAGTTTTACAGTTACTCAAGCAACTGGACAGATTTTGAACACTGTTAGACATCCGCTGACAAAAGGTGTCAATGACGGAAAGTAGTGGATGACACTTGAAACATCCAACAGTTTTAAAAATCTATCCAGTTGCTTGAGTAACAATTCCTTGTGTATTGAGTGGACTGTTTTGCCCCTGAATGTCCCCAAACCCCCTCCATGAGACCCAGTATGTTGCTGACCTGTGGTGAGCAATAGTCCAGACACACACACTTGTTCTTGACAGTGGTGAGGTCCATCGGGTTCTTGATGACCTCATAGTAGTCTGGCACGTCCTCAACGTCCACAGGCTTCCTGAAGTATACACTAGACCTGGGGGGATAAAGACAAAAGTTGGCATCAATGGAAAATTGGAGCATTTCAGAGCATCAAGGTTTCAAAACTTTTAAGAACAGAAGTGTGGTACAAATGTATCTTACTTGTTCCTCATAAGTTTCTGCAAGATGTCTTCACATGTCTTGAGCTCGTTGTTGGTCCTCCTAGAATGTAGCTCTTCCCTGAGAACAAAACATTAAAAAGAATCTGTAAGTTTTACATTCTCTTTAAACAAATGCTCAACCAGTCCAACTTATTCAATCTCAGACATCTAATCTGTGAATATTTTTAGCAGCGACACCTGTTCTGCAATGCAATGTGAGCCAGTCAGATTTCCCGGGGAAGGTGGCAGACGGTCACTGAAACGTCAGCTCAACAAAACACTTGGTTGTGTAAAAAGAGTCTCTTTATTCAGCCATTTAATGCCTTAAATTACTCCTTAAAGCTTTTAGTTTCTTAAAGATTCTCCATACTTTTCCTTCTTGTTGTTAGGCACTGGTTGCTGTGCTCTCCTGGATGCGGCTGTACTCCTGCCCTGATTGGCTGCCTGTGTGGATGCCCTGCCCTGATTGGTTGACTGAGATGATGTACCGGGTGATGTGGAGGAGGCAGCTGCCTGCCGTGAGGTGCTGGTTTGTCTGGACGTCTGTCTGGTTGGCTGTTGCTTTGGAGGTGGTTGACTGGGTTTGGCTTTCCTACATGGAATAAAATAAAAGATTATAGCAAATTTCTGCAATGCCACTTCTTCTTCTTCTTATCCAATTTTCACATAAATTTTCCCCTAAACTGGGTTTAGACGTGCTTGCATCAAGTGCAAGTCTTTTTTGAAGCAAGATTTATACGGTTGGATGCCCTTCCTTTCTTCTTCCTTCCTTTTTGCCTTGTTTTTTTACCTATAACACGTGTAAAATTGAGGCCAAAAGGCAACGGTCAGAGACTTATGTCACTCAAGACTATCATGTATCTTAAAACCTATGTCTCTCTGTTACTTCAAAACTGCCAGCAGGACCCCCTACTACTTTAGAGTCCTAATCTTTTACTGGTTTTAGCTTTTAACAATTTGTTACACAGAAAATTAAAAGGAGAAACATTCATGATCCCACCCGACACCCACCGTAGCTGCCTGTACTTAGCGGGGCTCTGGCAGGCGCAGCAGACCCAGTTGTTCCCGCGGGGGAAGTTCCTCAGCGCGGGGATGTGGCACTCCTTGTGGAACACCAGCGGGCAGGTGGAGCATGGTACCAGCTCCCCCTCCTCGTAACACACCACACACTCCTCCCTGTGTACTATCTCCTGCTCTCTCCGGCTCCTTCCACCCCGCCGTGTGCGTGGTTTGTCCTCATCGTCTTCACTGCTGTTGTAGTCACCTGGGGAGAGAGAGTGAATGATGGGGCGATGAGTAAAAGAAGACACGGTTGTTGATTGACAAGGGTTTGATCAGAATCAACATCAGGGTGGTCATTGTCATCATAGCTTGCCGTACCAATATGGCGACTAGTTTAGGGCTTTCTGGTTAGCTGTGTGTACACATGTACACATAACGTTGCAAGATGTTATGAGAGTATGTCAAGCGTTAGATAATATGGTAACAGCCGAGAACTTCATCAACTCATAGTACCTGAAGCTTTCCTAAAAATAAGATTACTTCTGTCCAATGAATAAATAAATAAAATAAAATAAATAAATGATTTCTATCCTAACCCTTGAGTGACATTAAAACTTAACACTGTTATTTAACAGATGAGGGCTGTATGGTTGCTGTGAAGTATGTCACTGTACATCTAGCAGTATGTGGAGTGGCTGCTCTTGTTGTCTCACAGATATTACAATGATCTCTCTTAAATCCAAACTAAACATCACTACATGAGAGTGTTTTAATCCTCCCCCCACCTTCGTCCATCTCCCTGTAGTTCCTGCCCCTTGACCCGACCCTGGCCTGGCGTGGGATGCAGGCCGGACAGCGCCACTCGCCCGGGGGGACGCAGGACAGCGCAGGACGCAGGCAGAAGATGTGGTACGCCTGGGGAGAACAGAGAGGTATCCGTAATAATTTCATCACATTGGTGAGTGATTAAATAGCAAAGTTCTTTATTCACAACCACTTGCTTACAAGAGCTGACGTTTCGATGACCATCTTCAGGGTGATTCTGACTGGTTTAGTGTGCACTAGAGCTAGGTGTTACTGGTTCAATGAACCGCTATGAAGTAAAGCTAGGTGTTACTGGTTTACTGTGTTCTTAAGCTAGGTGTTACTGGTTTACTGTGTTCTGAAGCTAGGTGTTACTGGTTCAATAAAGCTAGGTGTTACCGAAACAGTCAGCCAAAACATGACCAGTAGGAAGCACACATGATACACAGACAAGACTAAACCCTAAACTTCCTGCTCCCCAGACCTGACCAGTGCCTACCTGGTTACATTCGTCACACAGCAGGAGTCTGTCCTCCTCGCGCTTCTTGCGGCAGACCTTACACTTGGCGTTCTCGGCCGACTTGTCCCACTTGATGCAGGCGTCCAGTATGCCCATCAGCACGTGGAGGCGCGACATCGTGGAACACTCCGCCGTCGCCTGCCGCCACGACTCCACCTCACGCGGCTCGTACAGCTGCACCTCCTGAGCAAAGAAAAACAAACAAAAACATCAACTTCTAAACATCAACATGTAGTCCTGTAGTTAGCGACCATGCCACTGGAGAATGAGAGTTCCTGTTTGCTGACACTCAACAGACATGCATCCTATTGGAAAGGGTCACAGTCCTTGGGATGGGACGTTAGGCTGTAGTCAAGTGTTCATTGTGCTTGTTGAAAAGTGCTAGGAGTATAATATACCTGTAACTACTGTACATAGCATCTGTCTTCTCTGCGACAGATTACTGTATGATCTGAGGGGTCACCATGTCTACACACACAAAAATTGTACATTTTCACCTTTTCTTCATCATCCTCTTCCTCCTCATTTTCCTCTTCTTCTTGCTCCTCTTTCTCTTCCTCTTTGTTCTCCTCCTTGTCATCTTCTTCTGTCTTGGGTTCTTTTGGTTTCTTCTTCTGAGGTGCCATCATACCTGGTAAAGAAAGATACCGAATTCAGCAAAAATTGAAAATTCAACAATCAACAGAGCCGGACTAAATGCCATAAGCATTCAACAGAGACATGTATAGCTTTAAAAACAACTACATATGTACAAAAACTGGGAAGAACATGTTTGTGTGCAATAAAAAATTATTCTTCCCAATCAACTCCAATGGTGACATTCAAATAGACAGGTACTCTTTCCAAGTGCTCTTGTGACTTGCATTTAGATATGCTTTTTGGCCAATGGTAACCACAGGAAAGCTAAGACAACCGTTCTCACCTTTAAGGAACTTCTGCAGCACCCCTCCCTGCACCTCCACCAGCAGACAGCCCAGCTCTGACATCTTGTCTGTCTTCTCCAGACGCTTCAGCCACTTGGCCGGGTTCTCTACTCCTCCTAAACCTCCCTTCTCCAACTGGGCAAGAAAAAAGACGGTTACCATCCCTTTCTATATCTTCACAGACTGATTTTTGCGCGTCAAAATTACGGATTGTGGAAAAAAAATGTCCATGATGAGCGGCCAAACTCCCTCAACTAAAGGAAATACGTACACTGGCTAGAGCACTGGTTATAATGTTCAAAACACCCCACCTTAGTCTCTATCTCCTCCAGGTCCCTCTTGTAGGCATCCAGCAGCTCCTGGTCTCCGTCTGAACTCCTCAGCTGCTGGTTCCTTTTGGAGTAGTTGTTCAGCGAAGACTTGATGTCCTGATTATTAAAACAACAAAACAATTATATACTTCAGACTATGTACAAGTACATGTATTTGTTTAGACATAACTCAAACCAACTAAGTATAAACACTGCACAGAAAGACTGAGGGCCATACAATCATGAGATGGCCATGTAGGCTCTTCCCAGCGACAACACGTATTCCTTGTTCCTACAGCAGTTACAACATCAATTTGGACCTTGACAAAGACAATACTCTTGTCACTGATTTTTTTTCTTTCAAAAACAGGCAGTAAATGACCAACGAGATCCACTACTTAAGTCAGTGTCCAGAGTTTGTAATGAGAGTTAATATGTTGGGTTGGTTGTGTACAATGTACTCCTCCATGGCTGTATCACCTGATATCTTTTCTCCAGCTCCTCCTTGAGTTGTGACTCCCTGATGCCCTGAGTTCCCAGGTTCTGCATCAGTTTGTCCACCTCGTCTTTCTTGGAGTACAGGAACCAGAGGTTCTGCCCCAGGGGAGGGTGGGTCTTCTCAACACCTCGGTGTTTCTTCACTGTATGCAAGTTTGAACAAGCACATATGTAGGGCTGCACTGCAGCTATGAATAATGTGTAACTATGAATAGTACACAATGTGTATAAATCTGAAGAATGTAAGCCTTCATGTGTAAAAAAATTTTTTACTTGTAATGCTTGACATTGACAGCTTCACAATCCTGTGTTGAACAGCACACAACATGCAGTTGCTGACGCACACACTCTCACGCAATCACACAATCATACACACACTCACACCGGCATGCACACACACGCAAGCACACTTGCATGAGGACATATAAACCGACTGTACAACGTTTCACCACTCAGGTCTAGGGTCGGCAGTTTTTCTAGGGTCAGTCAAGAAAAAGGAAACAACATTTTTTTCCTAGGCCCAGTACAAGGTGAATGTGACTGACCTCTCTCACTGCGGACAGTGCTGGCTTCACTGGTCACACTCTGGACCTCGCTGACAGACTCCACATCAGACTCCTCCTCCTCCTCTTCTTCCTGCTGACTCTTCTTCTTCACAGGTGAGTTGGGTAATGTTACCTGTGACAGGTGATTCATAAGGTAAATAACCAACAAAAATTGTTGCAAAACGAAAGAAAACAAAACATGCGATGAATTTTCATGATTACAAGCGTTTCTGTTTACAAGCCTTGCAAAGTGCTATTCAAATAAATTTCGTTGGGGCATATTCAATGCAACATAAATTTGCAGCCCTGTGTGTAAGGTCAGGCAGAGGAATGCAAGGTAATGTAGGGGAATGCTCTGGTGTAAGTAAAACAAAAGCTTACTGTCTTGTGGTCACACCTATGACAAGTACCACTGTATTGAGGCCACCTCATTTTGCACTGAAACAGCTATTCCAGACTCTTATGTATCAGCATTACCAAGTCTAAGCCCCTCGCTGCAAATAGACAGTAGTCGGCCCCTCAAACACTGTGTTTTATTTACCTGATATCCCATAGACTCATGTGCCCAGCCCTTCTCCACATACAGGCCTGGAGTCTGGGGGGAGAACAGCCAGTACTTGTTGTGGTGCCGATCTGTCCCAACATGCTGCCATCTACAAGCAAAGAAAATCACTTTTACTCCATAAATATAGTACAGAACGGTACAGTCAAAACTGCCTAAGAAGACCACTCAGAAGACCGAGAAAATCTGGTCTATCTGGAAACGTTGTCATTATAGACAGGATTCTTAAAACTTGTATGTATATTGACCAGGTGGTCCTTACGTAGATGTGGTCACTAGTATAGGTTTGTTCATGGGTTTTTTTCAAATGCAAGATTTGACTATAACAGTTTTTACTGTCAAAGGTTTGACTGTAACAGTTTCTAAACAGAGTACTTAAAATTAGTTAAAAGTGTGGTAGCAGTAAGGGCCAAGAACTTCCTTCTCAAAGAAATATTTTCATTTTGTGAAGGCAGACAATGTCAATAGTTTCCCTGTGAATTCTGGATCATCCCTGAGATATTCTTCTCACCTGAGTGTGCGTCTGGCCTGGGCGATCCCCTCCTCAAACCTGGTCTTGAAGGACTGCTCCTCCCGCTCCTTTCTCATCTTCTCCATCTCCTTCTCCCGCTCTTCCCGGTCTCTCTTCTCTCGCTCTGCCTTCTCCTAAACACAGCAATAAGGAACGGATTCAGGTTATTGCAAAACAGTTCTTCTTGTAAGTTTACGGATATGATGTTATGTCTATGGTTATCATCAAAGTTCATCTATGTTGGTAGTAATCGTAGTAAAATGTTGAACTTTATTCCAACACAAGAATTACAGATATCAAATTTTCAACGACCACTGTCGCCTTCATCAGGATAATCAATGACCAATCCCTTCGAAACCTAATATCACGAGATTTATGGTCACAGACATAATTTGATCTGTGTAATCCTCGTGTTGGAATTAAGTCCAACATTTTACAGTGTTATGTCTATGCATTTATGTTTATAGATTTGTCAGGGCTTCATTCTGTTATAATAATCTCACCAACCTTCTGAGCCTGTGCTGCTAAAACTCTTCTCCTCCTAACGATAGAGGCCAGGTCTCCATCATCCTCCATCGGTACCTCCTGCTCTTCTTCTTTCTTATCTTCATCTTTCTTCTTTGAGCCCTTCTTCTCCTTTTCTCCCTCCTTCTTGTCCTCTCCATCTGAGGGCAAAAATGATAAGTCATGGGAGGAAACTGCATGTAACTTGTTTCAAGTCTACAGGTTATTTTACTTCAGTGTGTTTTTTTTTACACACTGCTGACAAATTTCTGATGCCATTTTTTTTCTTTCTTTATTATGATCTTTATGATCAACAGCATATCACAGCAACAGGCTGAATTGCATACTTTTCTAGAGATAATGTTCATGTTTACAACATTATCCTTTCAAGCCAGCTTGAGTACAATAGCCTCTACCAGGCTTTGGGAAGCGGCTGGAAAGAGTAGAAATTGGCCAGATGATATGCCAGGGGAGTTGCGCAGCGCTGAGAGAACAGTTTGCAGCACCTGTGCCAATACTTCTGTGTAAATGTCATGTACTCACCACCCTTGTCCTTCTTCTTCTGTTTCTCCTCCTTGCGCTTGACTTTCCGTTCCTTCAGCACCTGGATTTTCTCCTTCCACAGCTCGGCTGCCTTCTGCTGTTTCTCCTGGATGTGATCTTCCACGGCGTAGGACATCATCACCTGGTGGAAAAACATCAATCTTTGCAACTGTCTTTTGATTCACAGAAGGTATTGACAAAAATCTATAACAGGTTTGAGTTGACTTCATACACTTTTATATCTTTTTCACAGAAGGCATTTTGCTAGAGTGTAAACCACTAGTGTAAAATAAGATTTGTAACATTAATAATCACTAAATGTTTTCTTCTTTTTTGTACACTTAATCCAATTATAAAACATTTTTATACGACTCCTCACATTTTATCTTCAGCTAAACATACAACTGAAAAAAAAGCTATTTTTACAACGCTAAGCTACCATTATGACTCTCTAAAAGGTTTGACCCCTGACCTTGTGTGTAAGTGCCACCAGGATCTCCAGTTTCTCCTGCGGCTCCAGCTCGTGGAACTCTGTCGTCTCCAGCTTCTCCAGGAGTTCTTCACTCACTTCGTCTACATCTCTGTATGAACAACACAGAAACACTGCTTAGAGACCATGCAATCCTATACACACATCTGTACACAAACTACAGAAACACAGGAGAGACCACCTCATACACATCTCTGTGCAAACAGCACAGAAACACAGGTTATAGACCTATCAATAGCACAACATTGAACATTGATACAAAACTATTGATATAAAAAATGATATTTCTTTGGCTGCAGAAGAACAGATGACATATCTTATCATCCTTGACTGGCAAACTATCATGTCAGTCTTCCTACTGTGCCCTTTATTCAGAAAGTACTGATTTCACGGCCACAACAAAAGATCAATCCCAGAGTGCTACCATCATCTTTTGAGATAGAAGGATGCCGACCTAGCTACTGATTTCATAAAAATAAAGATACATGAAATGTTGTACAAGCAAATATATTCATAGTCTAAATATTGATGCTTTCTTATAAACATCTACCTGATCTTTTCCTCGTCTTCCTCATCACTCTCTTCTTCTTCCTCCTCCTCCTCCTCATGTTTCTTGAGACAGAGTCGGACCAGTTCCGAGGCAGAGTGCATGGTTACCGGGATGTCTCCAAGGGCCACGCCCACCTCCTTATGGTCCTCCATAATGTCATCCTGTGAGAAACACACAAGATTACATTCAACTTTTGCAAGGAAGAGATGATTAAATAAGTCTTTGGTGACAGAGCCAGAAGTTGACTATTCCTTTATTTCTAACACCATGATTCTGTGTCAGTTAGGAATGTTAGAGTTTAACACTTAAGTAAAGAACACAGCAACTTGAAGTCTACATTACACAATTTGCCTACATTCCACATAATGGAAAAGCAATGTGATGGAAAGGACAAGCAAGAGACAGTGCTGTCTTAATTTTCGTGACACCCCTTGCAAAGTTGCAAACACTTTTTACTTTCTGCAAATCATATTCAAAGACAAATCAAACTCTACTGCTGGATAAAAATTACGGACTACTCGAGTTACATCACTAAAATGAACTGCTTTCTGCAAGTCACTTTTAACTTCCTGCACATATCACAGCTATCCCACCTGCAGGAGTGTCTGTGACAAATCAAACTCAAATACTACTGGATAAACTACTGCTTTTCAACATCACTAAACTGAACTGATTTCTGCAATTCACTTCCTGCACATATGAAAGCTCTCCCACCTGTAGGAGTGTCTGTAGCAGGATGACCAGCACCCTGGCCAGGTAGGCGAACCCCTCCCCTCCTGCCACCAGAGCCTTCATGATGGCGTCTGTGGTGACAGGGTAGTTATCCTCCGGCATCAGGAGCTGGTAGTAACAGCTGATGAACTCCACAACCATCGCAACGTCACCGAACAGGGTGTTCGGCAAACCTGCAGGGGAATAGGTCAAAACAACACTTTATACAATATACATGTGTAGAATGAGAATTCTGGTGTCCAGAAGGAAAAAGAAGGAGGGGAGGCTAAGCAATGACTTGGAAAAGGATGGCTGAGTGGGACCTTGCAGAGATGGGATACACATGGAAGAGGTCACAATGGATAAGATTGTGGAAGACCGCCAAGCCATGCAAAGAAATGCGGCAAAGATGATCATGTAAAAAAAATGTATAGACATTCCAAGGGGACATTATTTGTCATGTGCATGTTGATAATTTGACTTTTACTATATTTTTGAGGAATTGCTTTTTTCTGTATAAGCCGAAACTGACTCTTACACGGTGGCCAGAGACATTTTAACACATGAAGTCTGTTGACTTTTTTTTCTGTTCATTTATGTTTGATTTTTGAAGGTATAAAGAAGAGTATGACACTGACAATACCTTCAGGCATGGGCACAGGAACAGGCTGGGGAAGTGCTTTCAACTTCAACTCCTGGTCCTCAAACCGCTTCGACTTCTCTTCCTTCTCCTTCTTCTTCTCCTCTTCTCTCTGCTTCTTCCTCTCCTCCTTCTTCTTCTCCAACTCCTTCTTCCTTTCCTCCTTCTTCTGCTCCAAGAACTGCGCCTTCTCCGCTTCCGACATCTTCTTGAACCGTTCCTTTTCCTTCAGCTTCTTGTGTTTCTCGAGAATCTCGGCCCTCACTTCTAGGGGCGCGTTCTTGAGAACAGCTACAGGGAATTCCTTACACACCTTCCACAGGAGGTAACCATACTTGGACCTTTTGTCAGAGGTTTGATCAGAGGGTGTGGTCACCCCTTTCTTCATCTTCACAAGCTTCTTGATCATTGCTGGTTGCCATGGAGACTTAGGTGTCCCTGGCTGCTTCTTCGGAGTGCCTGATTTTTTGGGAGTTGTTGCCTTCTTTGGAGATCCTTTCTTTGGAGTGCCTGATTCTCCCTTTTTCTTCTTTAAATCAAACAGAGTCATCTGTTTTAGTGCCTTCTTTCCACCAGGAGTTTTCTTTGGTGACTTTTTAGCTGCACTTGCTTTTTCCTTGGCTGTTTGCTTCTTGGGACTTTTTCGTGCCTTCTTCGTCGGGCTGGAAGAATCTGATAAAGACTTTCTCTTTAGTTCGTTCAGGGGAATGTCGTCATCAGAGCTGTCTATGGTGATTTCATCTGACGAACTTGACTGCTTAGTTGGCGTTTTCTTTTTCTTCTTTTCTATAAGAATGTACCTGCTCAGAGGAGCATCGTCTTCTGAGTCTGTGGAACTCACGGCTTTCTTCTTGGTCGCACTTTTGGGAGTTCTCTTCTTCTCTGGAATGGTTGCCTTTTTCTTCGCGGATGTTGTTGCAGCTGGCTTCTTTGCGGTTGACTTCTTCTCAGCTTTTACTTTTTCTGTTTTAGGAGACTTTGGTGTCTTGGGAGATGCCGGTGTCTTCCCCACCCCGTTTACAGCTATGACTTTGGGAGACGGTGGTGGGCTCTTCGCTGAAGGAGAAACTGGCCCGTTCGACACCTTTTTGAGTGGAGAAGAAATCACCTTCACTTTGGGTTTCAAAAAGGCCTCCAGTCCGACCTTTGGTTGTGTTAGACCCCTGTCTTGTTTCCTCTTCTTGGCGCTGGATTCTGACGAATCAAGTGACTTCCGTTTCCCGAGGTTTACAAAGGGACTGACCGGACTGGGCGGCACGACTCTCTTTGGGGAGACCAGAAAGTCTGAGAATTTACTGGGAAGATTGTACTTCTTCACGCATTCTTCGTCCACCACCCATGGGCTGTTTGGTCCCTGCCCGCTACGCATGGCATAGGAACGGATGAACAGCTGCACAAACTCTCGAGACGGGATTCTCTCCACGCGGTGAAGGTCAACGGCAGGGATGAGGCTGATGACCTTGGCCTCACCAGCGATACGCACGTTGTACTTGTAGGGAAGCAGACTGGACTTCTTGGGGGTTCCTACAGCAAGCAACACAAAATAGACAGTGGCGTGAATATTTTAATGAAAGCTCATCTGTGTTGGCATAATCCAAAGTTTAAGCCTTGGTTCTGTGAACAGTTTCATCAGGTTGGTAAATTACTGAATAAAAAGACTCTTTAGCAGTGACACCTGTGCTGTGCAATTGAACAATTCAGAATTGCCAGACGGTAACCGAAATGCTGGCTGAATAAAACACTCGGTGGTGTAAAAAAAGAGTCTCCTTATTCAAAACAGACAGTGGGTTGTAAGAGAAAGAAGCTGCCCTTTTGATTTTTCTAAAGTCAATTCTTAAAAGTTCACAAGACATAAAAAATGTCAGCCAGTAACAGAAACATCAAACACTGGTCACCTCAATTTTGGAATGTCACTTTCCGAATTTCGAGACAGCTATGTTGAAACCCCTGATTTTCAACTTTGTTATTCCTGGATGTACAGTGAACTTTTGCATACCATTGGAAAGATCATGCTATCTTCAGTACCAGGTTGCTTTTTTATGGTCATAATGTATAAATTTATCAAGATATTTGACTTTAAAAATTGCAAGCCTGGTGGTCTCGAATACACACCGCCAGGCTCAACAGCTTAGCCTGGCAGTCCTAAACTTTAGCCCGCGGTCTGAGTTAGCCAGCCCGCATCCAGACCGCATCCAATTAGCCTCATGAACACCCCATGAAAACCACTGAATTAATGAGAATTCACATCTTCACACCTGTGTAATTAACAAGTTTGTGATAAATTCATGAGAGGTCTGGGCTCAATGGTTAGCCCGCGGGCCTGAACAGGCCTGGCGGTCTGTGGACAGGCTGGGCTGATGATTAGGCCTTATGATAGAGGACCTTCAGACTTTAACAACACCAAACAGAAAGTGGGAAACAAAAATATGCTTCCAGATTGATGATAGTTTACACATAGTTTGTCACTTCATATTAATAAACACCCTTCACATTTTCAGCTAATATTTTCAATATCAAAGCATTTAAAATAAGTGATTGCATATTATTGACAAGTATGATGTACTGGTATGAATGATCATGATAACTTTCAATTAGTTTCATGAATATTCATTTTGAAAATTTTCTGTTTGAGGAGGTGGATTTGGCTCCTGTTGTGCTACCTGGGCTGATACCTGGGCGGGGTGTAACATTTGTGTAACGGTTATGACTAAAAAAGATCAGATAGCATCATAAAAGACCCTTGTCTCAGCAAGAACACTTCATATTTAATAGACCTGATTGGTTGTGGTGTTGGAAGCTAACTTTTGAGGACACTTCATGGTCACTTACAGTTTCTGTTTGGCAGGTATAGTCCAATCTGTCCTACTATGGATATGGGCAACTCCCCTGGCCAAATCCCTTTGAAACATCATGGGGTAGAAATTTTTTTTTTTTAAGAATGAAGACCTTCATTGCACATTTCTGCCACACTTGGCTAAGTACAGGTCACAACAAAACAAGATGAATGGACATGGTTAACAGATAAACAATAACTCCATGGAAACATTTATAATTAAAAGGAAAATATTTGGAGTTTTAGTGCCATAATCCTGCCAGGTATAAGCCTCAGCCGATGTACACTGAAAACATAAAAAGCAAGGATCCTCAATTTGCAACATGAACTTGCTTTCAGTGCAAGGAGTTGTACAAATACAATGCTTTAGGAAATTATTGTTACATTTTCTTTTGTAATTATTCTGTTCCAGTGCACCTTTGTTATGCGGGTCATACCTCAGGTCACCTATTGTTCCAGGCATGCAAATGACCACTGTCCAATTATCAAATTAGAGAGTCTGGTCGGGCTACCCTGACATGGGTGACATGGTCTTTGTAGCTTGCACTGGGTAGCTCAATAGCCCGAAAAAATATCCTATCAGAAAATCTCATGACATTGAATGACAGTGTCAGATGGCCTGGGTTCACACTGTGAGAACCATGTCTTGGCCAAATCTTTCTATCCCACAACTAGTTTTTAGTATCATTATGATGATTAGATTAGATTTAGATTATTAACAAAAAATTAATGATGAGAATCTTTACAGGATTTGTAATAAGTCTAAACAAGGACATTATACACACTGCGTATAATGTCCTTGGTCTAAATTACAATTAATTGGAAGTGCTTGCCCAAGGCCTAGAGTCAATTCTATATTGCTATATTCCACATTACAAATTGTAACCATTTCGAAATAAAAAAACCACCATGTTTCTAGATAATTTCAAAAGTATAATTAAAAAAAATAGAAAATTTTCTAATTGTTACAATATTTGTGAAACATCTCAAATAGATATGAAAAGAGCTGTTCATTCAGTTTGAATATTTCCCAAAAATTTAGGAACAGAACGTAAAATGCTGTACAGCACAGGATGTACATGTATAATAGCAGACCAGGTAGCCTGGGTGTAAGAAACAGGGGCGAGCTGTAGCGCCTATAAACCCCCCACTGTTACATGGCAGTGTTCGAAATACCTGTCTGCAGTCTGCAATTTGCAGATAGATTTTCAAGATTGCAGAAGAAAAATTTATACAATCTGCAATTTTGCAGAAGGAAAAATAGGCTGCAGATTCAATAGTTTTCAATTTAGCAAACTAGAACTCTCTGGCCCCAAGGACAGACGACCTGTTTTGAAGCAACAGGAGCTTCTTCACTAATTTGCATCATCCTTGTCTTGACTTGTCTATCTTTTGTTTCCCTTTGGACTTACAAAAATTTGTCTTCACTAATTTGCATATGAATCAGTAGCGAATCAATAGTTTGTGCTAAAAAACCTACAATTCTCTAAGTGTCACTGACGAAAGGTAGTAGTCTGACTGTTTCAGGTAGCACCAAAATAATATCGAGTTGCATAAGAGTTAAGTGCTGTTTTTTTGGTGTGTCTTTTATTAGTATGTTGTGTGGAAGGGTGATATGTAGGTGTGATTACTAGTACATTTAGTATGATTTTAGTTGTAGCAGCTTGTAGTGGGAGACAGCGGTGAAAGACCCGTGAAGATACCAGTAAATGATAAATTTTCTGTGGAGAAGGATCTATAAAGTTTGAAATTAAAAAGAGTGGTACTTTAAACTTAAAAGAATTCCAGTAATGCTACAGATTTACAAAGCTATATATGATGTAAAAAAGACATTAATGGTTTGAGAAGGTTGTAGTATGGAGGCTTGTGTATTTGCAGGAAGTATTTTCAAATTGCAGAACAAAATTTTGACTCTTCTGCAATATTGCAGAGCGCTGAAAAAAAGTATTTCGACCACTGCATGGGTACCAGACTGCTGCCAGGCTAGCTCCTTGGCTCCTGGAGGGCCAACATTTGCCCAAGGAAATGTCACCATAGAGTGATAATAGACATCCCTCAATAAGCCTATGAATTACATTGTGAAGGCTTGTTATCCCCTAGACACAAAGAACAGTTTCTTTAAAAATGGGTGACAAAAGGGGAGGGGAGGTGATTATGATAAAATTAACAAGTTCTAACTTCCAAGCAACAACTTGAAGTTAGTCTCCAGTCAGATTCTGATCAATGTTAGACGTGTTTACAACTGGAGAAAGGGGAAGCAAAAACATTCATTGAGTTGACATACAAAAAATCAGATGATCATTGATCAATTACTAAGGTGACCTTGAGAGAATATTGATGTAATGTTGCAATTTTATAGAACAGGATTCTTCTTCAAGTGAATGAGTCTGAGGAACAAGTAATGGCATTATATTTAGTCTCTATGGCCGGCCAACTCCTCCGGCCAATGATGTTCCCCTTAGCCGATTGCTACTATTTATTCAGCCTGCAAAGGAGTCTGGTGGAGACTACATTATATTGGTGTGGCCTAACAGTTGTATATATTTATTATACAGTCATTCCTGCAAAAATTCCTGCGAGATTTCTAGGAAGGATTCTATCTGCAGGAATCTACAATGTCTTAGTAGGTTTTTCCAGAAATTTCCTGCAGGAAGAAAATTTTCAAAATGAATTTCCATGCATGTTATCATTCATACCTGTCCAATTATCAAATTAGAGAGTCTGGTCGGGCTACCCTGACATGGGTGACATGGTCTTTGTAGCTTGCACTGGGTAGCTCAATAGCCCGAAAAAATATCCTATCAGAAAATCTCATGACATTGAATGACAGTGTCAGATGGCAGTGGGTTCACACGGTGAGAACCATGTCTTGGCCAAATCTTTCTATCCCACAACTAGTTTTTTAGTATTTATGATTAGATTAGATTAGATTTAGATTATTGACAAGAAATTAATGATGAGAATCCTAGTTTTATTTTTTAAGATAGTCGGACATCTTTTCAGGCTCCTACTGGGTGACCCAGTACAAGCTGCCCAGATAGGGGTTACTCTCCAAGTAGAGGTTTGGGTTTTGGGGGTATTTTTAGCGTGTTTTATACCCCCAAAACCCAAACCTCTGCTTGGAGAGTAGATAGGGGTACTGTAATTCGACGTGTAACTCAACAATAGTCCAACTTGATAATTGGACAGTGGCATTTGCATGTCAAGAACAATAGCTAGACTTAGTTTCATCCCGCATAACAATTGTTCCTTGATCAGAATAATTACCTGAGAACTGTTGAACCATGGTTGAACAGAAATGGACTGAGGATTTTATAACTACATTGCTTTGAAAGCAGGTTTAAGTTGCAATACATGTATTAAGGCTTCTTGCTTAATATACTAGGCTGATATACTAGAATTTTGTCCGGCAAAACTGTCTGTAACATAATTTCCCCAATGTTTCAACTGAACTGAACTGAACTTCAATGACAGTCAGGATGCTCATGAGAAAAAATTGTTTCATTTTCTACCCCTAGCTGGTACAGAACGTGTTTGTAAGCTCTTCTTTCTTTTTTGTGGCCTAGTTGAAAGATCATGCGAAGCTGAGTGAATGAGTGAGTGAGTGAGGTTGAAAGCGGCAAATATGTACAAGACTGTTAACAGATGGGTGTGGATTATGCTCTCCTTTCTTATTTTCTGCTCTGAGAATGAAGTTTTACACATCACTTGGTTTAGACCGCGGGCTGAGATGTAGTCCGTGAGGTCTGAATCCTTACTCCACCAGGCTGAAATTGGCACAGACAGTCTGCAAACATCAATCAATTCACACCTTCCATGCCATTGTTTTGGGATTTTTGCACCTCTTTGACCAGAATTTTCAGACCGCGGGCTGAAGTTAGCCTGACGGTCTGAATGGTTTTTGAGTAAATCAGGCCGCGGTCTGGGGATCTAGACCTGTAGTCTAAGTGCCTTTAGACCGAAGGTCCTGTAATTAAAACTTGCGGGCTAGTTGTTAGGCCTGACGGGCTGTTAGAAAAGACCACTGGTCTGCTTGTATTTATTATTAATGATATCTTAAGTTATGAACACTGCAGAACAATAATTTTCATATCACTGTGCTCATTACACCAAGAGCTACACACTGATGTGAAACTTGAATGTTGAAAATCAATTTTTACTTGAGTTTCCAAATGCCTTGTGACTTTCCAAAATTGATGCGACCAGTGTTATCAGATTAAAGCATGTGGGTATGCTTTATATTGAAATGCTTTATATGCTAAATAAAAGGTTGACTATCAACCTACAGTCTCATTTAAAATGGCTACTGTATCTTCCCATTGGTCCATTCCACCTTACCTGATGTTCCCTTCCCCGTGGCATTTTCCTTGTCGCTGGAGGGAGAGCTGCAGTTACTGGAGGCCTCCTCAGGAGTCGGAGTGGTCACCTTCACCACCTTCCCCTGCACACCCTTCCCTCCGATCTTCATCTACAGGGAGACACGGAGATATACATGTACGTTTGTTTTTTATTTGCATATGATCAGAAGTAATAATAACTGAACATAAACACAACAGATGAAGATATGCTGAGGGATGATAAAAACCCGTAATGGCCTGTCTCGGATCAGCCAAGCTAGAGATGAAAGTTGTTGGACAATACCTCGAGGTATGAAAGTTTATGTCTTTGGAGGCCTGCTATAAGTTGCTAATGCAAGAAATGACCAGGAAATACATTTTCATACCTGGAACTAACAATTTGCACCTAATACAACATTAAGCTGTCACCAAATAGAAATGAGTTCATTGAAATATGAATGTTCTGTCAGGTCTTGTTGCATTTCAAGGATGAAATCTCCAATGTAACAAAAGACATGAACAAAATACAAAGGGTGAAAAACTGTAACAAACGAAACTGTGTAAACTGTAACAGTGGATATCTTAAACACCTGTGGGCACACACCTGTCCTTTGTGCACCTGAACTATTTGAGCTTTAGCGGCAAGTCCTCCAACTCTTACCTGAGGACCGTTAGAGAGAAAAGAACAGAAAGGTGATAGTGTAGAACTCTACCAAAATTACTAATAACAGACTAACACAGTAACAGCTACTCATTTTTATCACGTCAAGGAGGTTTGAGAATGAGAAAGAATAACATGTCTTATTTCTACACGACACACACGTTTCTAGTACAATTTACCTGTATATACAAATTTAATTTATAAATGAAGAGATGTTTTGCTAACTTCATAAAATACTATTTTAAGATTCTTAGCCACTCTACGTTGTGATACAATTATACAAACCTGCATGATACCAACAAGCTACGAAGGGCCATGGAGGATAAAGTGCTATGGAGGAGGAGTAAGGAAGTAGTTTAAGATCCCAATACTACAAAGTATTACCCCTTTGTTCAGCATAACATGCTAAAGAAACAGGAAACTAACCTTCAGCTCAACCTTCTCTCCCATGGCAAGTTCAGTGAGCAGCTTGTTGTGTGCCGCGTCAGCGAGGGCCTCTAGCGGCTGAGTGGAGTGGTGCACCAACTCCAGCACTGGCTGCTTGAAGCACTCCGGGAATTCCTTCTGCAAGCTACAAGAAATCCGGGACAACAAATTCAGCTTTCTCTAGCTGTCTAAGGTCTAATAACAGCATTACACATTACCCCAATACCATAACAGGCATGTGGCAATAACCACTGGAACAACATTGCACTCCTTTCCACAATCTAAGAACCATAATATTGTCAATTTATTAAACTTGGGTAATTTTGTTAAAATTCAATCATATTTGCTCATTTTTTTTAACAATTGTCAGTCTTACAATAAATACAAGACTTTGTATAATAATGGACTTGATTGTATCTATTAATGACACTCCTACCATACTTGAGATGATATCTACAAGCAACCAACATGTCTTGTATCACTCACTATATGTATAGACATGTAAATATTACTAATGCACTAATTCACTTGTCTCATCCTTTGCACACACAAATTCAGTTACAAATGTATTAACGTTCCTTTCTTTATTATCCTTTCACTCACTCACTCACTCACTCACTCACTATCCTTTCCTTTCCTTAATTTTATATGTACTGAGCCACACATAAGTTTTTAACTAACCCATGTGCAACCTGCTATAGTGTTAATCCCAGGAATGGGGCTAAGAAACGAAGAAGGAAGAGAAGAGAAAGAGTGCCGTACCTTTGGTAAGCCTCCTGTTCCGACTGTGTTGCCTCCTCATGAGTTAGGTTGGAGTTCCCCGTACACTGACATGTCCACACGGACTGGTTATACTGCTGTAACCGTCGCAGGTACTCTCTAAAAACACTGGTTAAGGAATACCCCTTTCCACACTAAATCTACTTAAATCTCATTTGCATAATTCGCGGATTAAAGAAAGTGTTATATGGACTATTCCATTCTGAAGTAGGTATACTAGAATTAAGACTTCCTTTTCTTTCAATTTCATCATCGTTATGATCATAATGATAATTTCATCAGACATTTCACAGACTCATCTTATATAACTGATTTTTTTATTTCACGTACTAAGTAACTTCCTCTTATTGCCAATCTCGTAGATAAAGTTTTATACTATAAACACCCCTTCTGTTTCTAAAATGGGACAGCCCTAGCCAAATTGCTTGTAATCCTGGAGAGGATGGACACTGATGCTAAGCAATTGCAATACTAATGGTCAGTAAATGGTACTGCAATGAATGCTGCAAATTATGATGTTCACAACATACAAAGGAAATCATTATCCTATTAGGTAATATAACTATTGTCTAACATTTTTGCAAACATATGCTTTGTAATATATATGTATTGCTATTTCAATGGACAATGGGGAGTAGTATTGCATTGAAATTTATTATTGTTCTGACCCCATAAGCCATAACTCATATCACTGACAGGCATTTCTAGTTCCTCATTTTGGAACACACCCTACTTCAAGTTCGTTCTCCTTTGACCTTTGACCTATATTTTTAACACTACTGATTACAGGTACAGCCAACAACATTCTACCTAAGTTTAAAATGAACATTTTGTTATCATAATAAATGGCATGAAAATGTGTAAACATGAAGAACCTTTTAGTAAACCAGCTACCATGAAATAAGCGTACAACACCATACAATAACAACACCATACAAAAACAGTGCGCTACAACTTTTAACTGGTCCAATCCCAAGTGCAAGTTCACATGCGGACCCTTTCATGGCGGCCCAATTTGCGCGGCCCTGTTTTGTTCCCGCCGGGGCCCATTGTGCCTGGGCAGCCTGCGCGGGTTCCGGCTAGTTGGCCGCCCGCCATTATGGAACGCTACGCTACGTACCCACATTACCGGCCGGGCTTACGGAATCAACCCCCCAACCAAAATCCCGCCCTCCCACCGCTTATTACACCTACCTGGGGGTGTATTACACCATAGTTTCGTGTATTTCTAACCTTAAATGTGTCTAGATACACAGAATGAGAGTTTTTTTTTGTACGAAACACACTGCGTGCGGCGTAGAACTGGGTTTTCCTCCCTTCTCCCCACGTCACGCAGTTGTCATTGGGACGCGCGCCGCATCGAGTATTCACCTATCCGGAAACAAAACTTATGGAAACGAACCCCCTTTATCTGCCGAAAAACAAACAATAGGGTGATAAATTTCAATCGTATAGAAAGAGCCGTTTTCGGACATTATGATTATTGTAAAATATGAGCAGTATTTGGTTTGGTTGTTTAGAAATAAAGGTGTTAATGTGGGTGAAAATTGCAGGTTACAAAAGCAGAGCTGGCCAGCGCCATCTTGAAAGCTCTCGTCTCACGCAAAAGCACAAAGGATACTCCTTCGATCTGAAGGCCTCTTTCGTGTGGTCGATCACGAAAACCATCTCGTCCGGACCCAAATCCTTCAGAGGCTTGACCAAGGAGAACTGTCGGTTCCCAAGAAGCGGCATGTTGACGGCTGAAGTCGCAGAATTCCTGGATTCACAAACGCTATACTACTAACCTGCTTTCGCGACCCTATTTGAAAATGGCGGGAGTGAGAAGTTTCAGCGACCGGCGATTGGTCAGCAAATGTTACATGCTGTAGCTTTGACGACGACAAACGCGGCAAGTCGTGGTAAAAATCCCTAACTTGGGATGTTGGGCAGATCGTCTGCCAAGATTCAGCGAGATTGGCGCCGTACTTTTCGCAAAATCTTCGCTTCTTCACCACGTAACTTCGCACACGATCTTCCCACCACGAAACCTGAGGGTCAAAGATCAACAGACTGTACCAAAGCTGATAATTTGCGTAGGGGAGAAAGCTGATCGTTGGCATAAAAAATACGATAGTGTTGTTAATATGGTGAAAATTTGTCAAATTCTTGTCAATGAGAACTTAATAACTATTGTAAGGAATAGGTTTTGCTAATAGATATTAATATTTGGTCGATAATTTTTAATTTATAAAAGTCAACTACATCCTTAAAAATTGGACTGTACTGACACATCCGGGACCTTCGGCGCGAAATAAACCTTTTGGCGCGCAATTTTTGGCGATCACACCAGGGTCTTCGTCATATTTTTCATTTCTTGCGATACTGTTTTGTTTTTCAGCCACCAACGATGTCGTTTAACCTGAACGAAGGAACCATACAGGTATTTTGACGGGATAGACGATGCTAGAACTACTGTTAGCCGGGAAAATGTGGATTTTCTGCGGTCGAAACGTCTCGTTCAAAATTTGCTGAAGAAGTATGTCTCCTCCAAATCTTTGATGATAAATAAATTACGTTGCTCTCTTTCTTTGTAGGAAATTGCGAATGGTGGGTCTCCAAAGTCACCAGTCCTGCAAGTGCTGGTAAGTTGGGAAAAATTATTACAGTTATAGGAAACTGTTCGTCTCCATGTAAACCTTTATGCTGCGCATGAAAAATTATGGTACACATGAGACTGTCATGCCCAAACTTGCCCAAGCAAGATGTAAAAATTATATATTCATGATTGTTGTCTGGTCAATATATCATAGAAGGGAAGTACATAAAAATTTGTTGTATATCATTATTGTAATGTTGAATAAAAATTTGGGTTTATGTTTATGCAAGGAGGTTAAATACATGTATTTAACCTCCTTTGTTTATGGTATGCTTGTGGGTGAATGTGTACATGTTACACAGTATCAGCCTTTAGGCAAGACTTAATTCAAAAACTTAATTCATCATTTTGTTCCAGGGCATCAAGAAGATCCAAAGTGCCGGAGCACAAGGGTCAGAGAGATACCGACTGCTGCTGTCAGATGGAAAGCACACTCAGTCCTGTACGGTGCCTTTTTCATTGTCTCTCATATAATACATCCTGTTGTGAAATATCAATAATTTTCCTCTTGATACAATAAACGTTAGTACACAATATCAGGGCTGCCTAGGGTGGTTAGTGATATAGCTAACACAAATTTCTCGTTCCTCCTTGCTCATTACATTAAATTCAGGAATGGTACTTTGCGTAAAATTCAACCACCCATTGATTACTCATTGCATTATATTAGGAAGAGCAATATGATTATGAATACATTGTAAGCCCTCTAATAACTTTTTCCTGCAGCTGCCATGCTGGCTACCCAGCAGAACCACCTGGTGAACTCAGGACAGCTGGAGCAGCACTGTGTGATCCGGCTGGAGAAGTACATCTGTAACACCATCCAGGACAACAGGTACGCAGGTACTAACAGGAGGCAGGGGGAATGGACTAGCCTGAGTAACTTCGCGTTTCTAGTAGCCCTTCCATAGGAGGCCTAATCAGCCTCTGACAGGAAGAGAATTGACCAAATTTATGAAGGGACTGGGGTCAGTTAGGTTGGAAGTTAACTGTGGGATTTTTTCATGGCCGAAATGTACAAGAAATAATCCTGATGTCAAAGTTGGACAAATGGGGTAGATTAAAAAAGTGCCCTCACAAGTGTGGTTGGCATGCTTAAATGTAGATAAATGACTGTCCAGTGAGTCCACCATTGAGTAGACAAAAGAAATGTACAGTAGGACTATAGGAACAGTTGAATTTATATTTTTGCTTACCCCTTGGGACAGATGTTTGAAGAAGCTATAACCAATATGCACTATCTGTTTGTAATTTGTTACTCACTGTCTCCAATTCCAGGCGTGTCCTGATCATGCTGGAAGTCCAGGTTCTCGGCAACCCCAAGATCAAGATCAAGAATCCCACACCTGTCAACCAAGCAGGTGGCGGTGCACCAGCTCCTGCCCAGAATGGTAAGCAAGCCTCTGGATAATTTTAGAGGCTTGAGTGAAACAAGAACACAAAAAAAAAAACAATTGAACCAATGCATTGTCCCCTTAGTGCAATATTTTATTCATTCCCTTTAAAGTAGATGCTCAAGATTTGCTTAGACTTCTTAGTTCTTACATTAATTTCCTCTACACTGGTTAACTTGCAGAGAACTGATGATTTGAACATAGTAAATGTCTTTAAACACAATTCCCTCTTAGTCATTGAATGAAATATATGTTAGAAAGAATACTGTATAAAGATCTAACAAACACATCACTATTTCACTCTACCTTCACCATCTAACCTTATTCCTGTCAAAGGTTAAACAGGAAAATGATATCACTATCAGTAACTGTTTTTAAAAAGACATTTGCACTACCCACGGTAATACAGTCTGTTTCAAATAGTGAAAGCATCTGGGAAATTCTGGACTTTTATTAACACTCATTTTACACTCCACATACTTGCATGTTTGTACTAACTTGGATCTTTCAACCCAGTAAAGTCGTTCTCTCTTGCACTGACAGCATCCTTCGGCTCCTCTTATGGCCGTCGACCTCTGACCTCTGTCCCACAGCCCTCCTTCTACCGAGGTAGATGATTACAGCAAGAACATGTTTGGTTTTGTTCATGTTGAAGTTCTGGCTGTTAACTCTTATTGTTCCAAACCAGCTTGCTGTTCAAGCTGTATTTTGACTGCTTCACAGTGCCTTTGCTTCGCTAAAAGAGTTCTGTTGCTTCACAGTTTTGGTCACAGCTCGTTCAGTATGGAATCTAGATGGATTTTGGCCTACAGGTTTTGGAAATGCATTTAGACCTCAAAGCTCGCAGAAACTTGCACATGCAGAAAGAATTGTGCCATAGAACAAATTTGTACAATATGCTGAGCAAATTTGCACAATATGCTGAACAAATCCAGGACTGTTGCTTCTTAAGCAAGTTTGAAAGTTGCTCACGTATAATTAGAAAAAAAATAGTTCCATTTACAAATTCAGGCTATTTATGAGATATAACTGCTAACTTTTCGTTGGTTTTACTCAAGGTGGATCCTCCCATGCTGTTAATGGTGGGATGAACCGCCCTGGTAACCAGGGTGGTGCAGGACGTCCCAACCAGGGTGGATCGGGGGCCTCCTTCTACCCTCGCAGCAACGTTGCCGCTTCTCCTGGTACCCCTGGCAGGGGCAAGCCCACACCCATCGCTGGCCTGAACCCTTACCAGAACAGGTACTGTATTTCAAAACCTTTGGGTTCTTTTTTGTGTGTGTTACTACTAACCTATTCAGCATTATACTTTGATTCTTGTTCCCTGAAGCAGCTTAGTTTCAAAAGTATTACTCCTATTGAATCTACTTTTACAACTAAGCCATATAGTATTGTGGTCAGATCTCGAATTGCATAGTAATGTCTAGATTACTTTGCGAGGTTATTTTGCTGAGGAAATACACACTTAAAGAAAATGTAGGTACATGTATCAATTAACTGATTGTGGAATGCATTGTCACTCAACTGTTTCCAGATGGACCATCCGAGCCCGTGTGACGAACAAGGGTAGCATCCGTACCTGGAGCAACGCTCGTGGGGAGGGGAAGCTCTTCTCCATGGACCTACTGGATGAGTCGGTATGTGTGTTCAGCGTGCTTGAATGCAACTAGTATACTAGAATATCAGAGTTTTCTTGTACACAACCTTGTTGTATTTTACCTGCCAACGTTTCAATAGCCTGTAGACTGATAATAATCCTCATTTGTCAGTGTTTGATGACCAATGAAACATTTCTTCACTTGCTATGTACCATTTGTCATAACCAAGCAATGCATGTGACAGTATAGTGTTTTAATTAAGTACATAAAAATGTCTACCACAGATGAATTCCATTAATATGTGATTTTTTGCTTCATTCACAGGGTGAGATTCGAGCCACAGCCTTCAATGACCAATGTGACAAGTTCTATGACCTCATTGAAATAGGCAAGGTAGGAATCAAAGAAACAAGAATATTTGTTTTATGCCTAAGTCAGCATTTCTTCTTCACACTGCACCCAGTACCACTTTAAAACCATGTTGTTAGGAAAGTATGCCTTCCACCTGTCATGGGGTTGTGTGGTGTAACAGCAGAGCGTTTGGCTCAGAACCAAGAGGTCCCGGTTCGAATCCTGCCAAGTCGCCAACCTTGTGCCCTTGGGAAAGGCACTTGACACTACTTTCCTCACATCGCTCAGGTGAAAATGAGTATGCCAGAATGATCATTATCATGATTGTGGGCATTAAGGAAAACCAACCAACCAAAATCACCCCTTTCCCAATTAACTCCTTTTAACCTTTTTCTTTTTTTAATCTGCACCCTAGGTGTACTTCATCAGCAAGGGGGGTCTGAAGACAGCCAACAAGCAGTACACGTCCATCCAGAACGACTACGAGATGTCCTTCAACAACGACACAACCGTAGTTCTGTGCGAGGACGAGTCTGACCTCCCCTCCATCACGTACAACTTCGTCCCCATAGAGAAGCTGGAGGAGATGAATCCTAACACTATCATCGGTAAAAACATCACTTTCTTATCTTATAAAAGTCGAAAGTTTCAAGTAGCACTCAACAATAAAGTCGTATAACTTTTCACATGTACATACAAAGTGGTACTGGTATTTGGCATTTGTAAGCATAAAGTATCTTCCTACAACATACTACATACAACATTGCTGAAGCTATGTAAGGTACAGTGTTAAGTAAAACAGTGAACTAATGTTCGATATAGATAATAGAGGAGAGCATTTTCATTGTACCTTTCGACCTGTCAAGCTTTCTGTGGTATACTGACAAAGTATTTCACTATTTGTTGTAAGAACTTCCATTTAGGTGTTTCATTTAAGTTACACAGCAGTAGCCCAGTTGCTGTTCCTACAAGTAGACAAAACTGCTGGATAACAATTTTAATGGAGCCAGTGTCTCACAGTGTGTCTCTGTGCCTTAACAGACTTGATTGGTGTGTGCAAGAGCTACGGAGATGTGACGACGATCACAACACGTCAGACCAACAGGGAGGTGAACAAGCGAGACTTACAGATCGTGGACATGTCGGGAAAACAGGTCAACCTCACCCTGTGGGGAGGCGAGGTGTGTTTTCGTGGATTTATAAAGATCTCCATCTAGCAAAGGATTTATGGATCCATGGTGCCAAGATTTCAAACATTAGACTTGTCTCAGGTTTGACATTTTGAAGAGGAGGTGATAGTCACCTGTTATGTCAATCCTCCCACAAATATGGTAAAGCTTCAGAAATAAATAAATAAATAAAAATGCAACAACCAAAGTATGCATGGATGTGATTCACTTAAAAATTCATTTTGTGTTGTTTAGACAGGTAAGACATCCGAGTAGAACATTGTGTGGCGCAAAAAAACGAGTCTAACACCTGGAATTTATTAAATAGCTAGTACTATTTGTATTCTGTAATTAGTTTTAAAAACTTTTGCTCTGTCCATGTAGGCAGATAAGTTTGATGGGTCGTCGTGCCCAGTTGTTGCCATCAAGGGCGCTCGTCTGTCTGACTTCGGCGGACGTTCCCTCAGCACAGTGGGCTCCAGCACTGTCATGATCAACCCGGACATCCCCGAGGCCTTCCAGCTACGAGGATGGTAAGAAGCCTCATGTCATAGGTAGAAAGGTAAAGCAGTAGTGCTGTCAAGGAGTGAAATTATTGTTGAAGAACTTAACCCTTCAGAAAGGGAGATGATAAATTTCTCGTGCTGCTGAAAGTCTACCAGGCTTGAAAAGACTTTTAATACTGTCCAATAAATCTTGTTATTGAAAAAGGTGTAATCATAACTTCTGGAGAGGAGCAAAAAGATGCACTAGAAACCTAATTTGTTATCTCTTTGGAAGCAGTAGTAGACATTGTTCTTGAAAAGAGAAATAATCTGACATGGATGTTAAGTACAGGGTAAGTGGAGAGAATTCCAGCAAAAGGTTAGCATTTAGCCATGGAAAGCTTGTTAAATGCAGAGCATGTAACTGCTATAAACATACACACCCCCTTCCCTTTTGCCTTAGGTATGACAAGGTGGGCTGTAACTCAGAGGCACAGTCCATTTCCACTGGAGCAGGGGGAGGGGCAGGTCGACCCACCAACTGGAAGAGCTTCAAACAGGTGATCGATGAGAACCTGGGCACGGGAGAGAAGCCAGACTACTTCAGCACCAAGGGAACCATTGTCTTCATGAAGAAGGAGAGCGCCATGTACCAGGTCAGTAGCTTCTGTATTGGTATAGCCGGTATAACCGCCCTTCTGCGCACCAGCTTCAGTGCTGAAGTGAAGAATGTCTCCAGAAAGTGGAGATTGAAGTCTTGCTCCTGTTACTTTGGGTGGATAAGGTTTTGTTGAAAGTTACAAATGGTGATCACAGTGAGGATTGTAAAGGATTGAATTTGTCTAAATTGCACCAACTTCAATACAAGCACTAACACATGTATTACATATAAAAAGTGTAGAATGGTACAGATAATATACATGTGTTACTGTGTTAGAATGCCCCAGTGCGATAGCCTGGAATCCATCCATGAACTCTGTGTATCTGCTCTGTTTCTCCGCTCCTGCGAAGATGGATGGATTCCAGGCTACCAGTGTGATGTCTACTATTCTGAACATAAATAAATCTTATTCTAATATCATTGTGTCCTGTCCTATTCTCCATCCAGGCTTGCCCAACACAGGATTGCAACAAGAAGGTGGTGGACCTACAGAATGGGTTCTTCAGCTGTGAGAAGTGCAGCAAAGAGTTCCCCAACTTCAAATACAGGTTGATCCTTCAGGTAAATATTTCTGCCTTTTTATCTTGAAAGTTCATCTGGGTTTTGAAGCAAGTTTCAACTGTAATTTCCAATACAAGAAAGACGGGGCCTCTACAGACTTTCTACAACCTATGATCTCACCGAGCCGCGTGTGTAATCTGCAATGGAGTCACAAACAGTGGATGTGTTATTCCTTGATAAAGACTGGAGTTGTACAGTCAAAAATTTGGTCCAATACCAATATCTTGTGTTCTTTCTAACCACATCTTGCCCATCCTTGCCTACCAGAGTCACTACTAGTACCTGTATTATGTAACAGAAAGCAACATCCTTGGCAAAATTCACAGTTAACACCACAGTTCACAACTGTAAATCTGTTTTCAGAAACTGACTTCTAGTTTTTTTTTTCTCTCCCTTTTTCTCCTGCAGGCTAATGTTGCAGACTACAGTGGCAACCAGTGGACAACCTGCTTCAGTGAACAGGCAGAGACCATCCTGGAGCAGAACACAGAATACCTGGGGAATATGAAGGATCAGGTAAGTCTTTGGACAGAGGTGCCATCTGGTAACAATGTAACAAATTGTAAGTGTGACGGTAGCAACAAGAAAATCAGAGAAGGCAGACTTCACACCTTCACAGGTAGATCAGAAACACAAACATGCCAACAGCAGCACTGCACTACATTGGACAATCTAGATCATCGTTTTGCATATCTTGCTGACATTTGTTTAGTTGTTTATTTTTTATTCAACTGTACCACAACATGTTCACAACTGCCAAAAATAGGAGCATGATACTTACACATGTTCCCCGTTTTTCAGGATGACACAGGCTTCGATCAGGTCTTCACCGAGGCTAACTTCAAGTCCTACATCTTCACCATGAGGGTCAAGATGGACACATACAATGTAATGATGTAGTACTTGAAATATTTTGACTTTGAGCCCAAATTTCATTTGTAGAGGAACTGTATCATCCTGTTTTTGTTAAGTCATCATGTCACTAGACTTAACTAATGGAATTCTATGGTAGCAATATCAAGAGATATTTTATTTTTTTGAAATATTAGAATTAAGGTATCCCATCCCTTTTTTCCACTTCTCTTCTTTCTTATCTCTATTTCTTCGTAAGAAATTTTTTCTGGTTTGTCTCATTTTGGTCAACTCAGTTCCTATTATGAAAAATTTAAACTGTTCTCCAACTCATAAATTTCACTCACCGGAATTTTCGACTGAATCACTCAGTCTTCCTCAGCTATCTAATGCTGATGTAAGTCAGTTCCTATCTAGAGTTAACCTGTAAGTGACTTCTCGAATCCAAGAGCTCAAATTCCCTCTGCTGTTTTATCCAGGATGAGTCTCGTATCCGCTGCAGCTGTGTCGGTGCCCAGCCGGTGGACTTCAAGGAGTACAGCAAGAAACTCATCAACGAGATCAGGCAGATGGCACTGATGTAGAGTCTGGTGTAACGGCATCTATCAGTGGAAATCTAGGGGGGGGGGTGTCATGGCATCATGGGGACCCACTAGGGGCGAGTGTGTCATGGTGAAGTGGGGATGCAGTTGGTATGACCAAGAAAAGATTGATTAAAGCCCATGGTTTGACATAGCCTTTAACTAACTTTATGTTCCATTTAACGATTTTTGTACAACTAAGGTTAAGGGTAAACATGTCATCACATCAGTGCTTGCCCAAATGACGCAGATGTGGTGAGACTTGTACAATGATAAAGAGATGTATGACATTGAAGATTGGATGTAAGAAGATTGTGGTTATATTGCATACAAGAGCCTGCCAGAAAAAAAAAACTTTAAAATAGAGGCACACAACTACGGACTAGTCTTGTCAAGTGTCAATATATGCAAATATGCTTATCATAACTAGCAATGGCATTTATTAAGAAGAGACTAATAAAACATTTTGCCGTTATGTATGCTATTATGCAAGATAAGCGAGCTGAGATAAGCTTGTTCAGTTTTTGTTTTTGTTTGAGTTAATGTTTCATGATTTCTTTCAAAATTCAGAATACAAAAAAAGACATTCAAAGATGTGTCGGGATATCAGCTCTGTATTTTAAATCCAGAACATGTTCAAGTTGACTAAAATCTATGTAATAAAAAATTGTTGTAGCCATCAGTGTAATAAATGTCTTTGATGATGTATCTTTAATTATGTCACATTTTCTGTTGCAAGTTTTCATAAGGCTAATCTGTCTTTATGATACAGATTCCTGAGATAGTTTTAAGAATTTCTGAGACAAAAGGGAGACAGTAGTATGAAATTTGAGCAATGTTTTATTAAAAGAGAAAATATCAAACGGCAGAAATCAACAAACCCAACACTTCTTCCCGCCAAAATATAAATGATCGGGGTTAAAGTTCAAAGGCCAAGCTGTCATCCGGGAATGTGACCTTAGGGAGTACCGGAAGCCAACAAAGATGGAGTGACAGCAAAAACCAGCCGACGTCTTCCTTTTGTTTTAAACTTGATCAAACACTTCCAGAAACCCCAATTTCTCGCTGTAAACTTGGAAAAAGACTCCGCCAAGGTGGCAGGGTTCTCGGAGAAGTGGTCTGTGACGGGGGACGGCCGGAGGATGCCGTGGTTAACCCTGAAACGCGCGCCGAAGACGTTCGACGTGCGAGTCACCACCATGGACGCGGAGATGGAGTTCAGTCTCGAGGTGAGAACGATTTTAGAAATCCCCCTTTCTGTAAACATCGACGACTTGCACACACAAAGTATGGCAAACTTCGATACAGGATCTAAAATCCGTAAGTGCCTTCTGCCCCCCTCCCCACTTCTCACAACGCAAATCTTCGTATCTTCTCGACTCTGCGCTTGGCAACACGTGAAGAATTTGAGCGGAATTTCCCCGTGAGCGGAGTGTGTAGGTGGGGAGTTACGACATAATCACAAGACAAACAACAACGAAAAGCAGAACAGTGGCAACATGGCTTATTATTAGAGAGACCCACTTAAGTCATTGTTCTACTCTGCTGGGATGTAGAACAAAAAATTATGGCTAGCCATCACACCTGTGCCTATGGTTTTCAGGTGTAAACAAATATAATATTTTGAACTTCAGTATTATAATCCACAAAACCTTTCGTGCTACAGTCCAGTTTCTACCTGGCCATTTTTATTTTGGAAGGAAATTACCTGTAACTTTTGCCTCCATATTTTCAAGCCAAGTTGGCAGGTTGGTAAACAAGGTTTTGTGATTTGAATGATGCAGATGCACAACAAATCCCTTATCAAAAAAGATATGAGCAGTCCTGTCCCCAGAGGATTAAATGTAGGACATTTACAAAATCTTCAGTTTTACATTGATTGATTGATATTGATAACCATCTTCTGTTTTGTGTCATATTGACATTATGTATAAAGTTTTGATTGTTTTGTTGTGTTATACTACATCATACTGGGCTTAAAAAAGATCAGTTGTAATCCTGTCATTTATCATTTGTAATCAAATTATGACACTTTCTAGCCCAAGTTTTTTATCACATACATATTTGATTTGTACAAACTTTGAAGGAAGATAAGCACATCTAGCTAAATGTGTGACAGAAATAGGTCTATGTCTCCCATGAGACAAACATATATGCTAATCTAATTACCACTGATACATGCAAGGGACTAGCTGCCAAACATGACCAATACCAGCATCATCTGCTTGAAAGATAAATCCAGGCAAGGAAATCTGGAAACTGGTAACCTAGATTATGTACTATAGGCTAGCTGTCTTTCACTTTGGATTCGGTACACACATGTACTATGTAAAAAAAATGTTTCAAATAGGCAGTTAGATTTTAATTGTTTGAGGAATCAACTATGTTATTAATACATAGCATTAGTATGCTTTATACATGGTTGCCAATGTTTGCATATAAATGTAAAAGTCCCCTGGTGAATTACCGGTAGCCATCGAATGGCTAGAACTAGTAGTAGAACTAGAAGGTTGATCAGTCAGAGTGCCTTGAGGAGCATAATGTTATCATGAAGGATGTTTCTCTAACCTGTCATAGCCTCTACCAAGCTCTCCAATGGGGTACGGATTGTAGAATTCAGAAAAAAAAAAGTCACTCACCCCGAAGCAGGAAAATGATCTCTACGCTGGCTAAACTTTCTAGGCCAATTAATTTCCCTATTTGGCTAAATTTAACTGTTTTTGTACCCGTGTTGTTAGTCTGGTAGAGACTAAACTTATCCCACACAATCTATGTTCCAGTGGAAGTCCACGGGACGGCACCTGTTTGACCTGGTATGCCGCACCATCGGCCTGAGGGAGACATGGTACTTTGGTCTGCAGTACATCGACAAGAAGGGCTACACGGCCTGGCTCAAGTTCGACAGAAAGGTGGGGATTCTGTTGACAAAAAGTCATCTCATGAAAGTTCATCTGAGTTGGTAGTTACATGTAACTTTTGTTCCAATACAAGGGATTGTTCTCACCTAGGCTAAAGCTTTCAACCAGTCACTGCTCCAGTCTTCTTTGATAGACTGACCCATGAGACTTGTCACATAGCTTCTCTGAAGTATAATGGCAGCACTGGGTCAAAGGTATCTAGCCGAACTATGGTGGGGGCCTACATCATTTGCCAGATACTAATTACTAGTACCTTTGAGTACCTTCCTAGTGCTGCTGTCACACTTTAGAAAAGCCACATGACACGTCTCACTGGGTCAGTATAGTGAAGAAGACCAGAGTAACTGGTCAAAAGCTCTAGATGAGAGAACTGGTTTTTTTTTTGTGTTGGGATCATCTTTACAAACATGTCTACCATTTCCCCCTGTGAACATGTTAGGTACGAGACCAGGACCTGCCCCATGAAGAACCCGTTAATTTCCTGTTCATGGCCAAGTTCTACCCTGAAGCTGTGGAGGAGGAACTCATCCAGGAGATTACACAGCATCTCTTCTTCCTGCAGGTGAGAAAATTCAGTCATCGATCAGTGGTAGGACTTGAGATACTTTTTTTTCTGCATACCTGCACTGATGAAGACATACACGTTACAGTTATACAAGGCTGGAGAAATTGGTGCAGGCAACAGAGAACCGTTTGAATCTTTTAAAAAAAATTAGACTTTAGAATGAAGCTACTGGTATAACCTTGGTAAACATAACTGACATGTACAAAATTTGTCCTTCAATAAGCAGAGAATAGTGTCACTATTTAGTGTCTCAGAGGGTTATGAGTTTTTAAATTTGGGGGGGAGAATTCCAGACCCAGGACTCTTTGGGACTCAATGCACAGCTTGAGCCTTTGAAAGATGTCCTTCTGTACCTGACCCCAATGCTGTGAAAAAATTCTAGTGATAACCCCGTCTATAGTATCTATAAATTAATACATGCTTTTGGTTCCTCTCTGCAGGTGAAACAGTGTATCCTGAACATGGATATCTACTGCCCTCCCGAGGCCTCAGTTCTGCTGGCGTCATACGCGGTACAGGCCAAGTATGGAGACTACGACCGGTCTGTCTACCAGCCAGGCTTTCTCTGTAACGATGACCTTCTGCCACAAAGGGTAAAGCCATAGTTTGTGTCTGAATCAGGTGTAATGGATTTCTATTTGGCAAGATGTGTCTTTTCTATGTTTCTAGGCACCTTCTAGTGTCACCACCTAGTAACTATACATGTGAGTAAACCTTTGGACATGATGTTCTTGAAGAAAAAAAGTTATGTAAGTCCATTTTGTCACAAAGAACAGCATTCCTGCTGTCAGCAAAGGATTTAGTCAATTCAAACATGTTTGTGCAATTATTTGCAGCAAATCGGTCATATTTAATGTTATATATGAGCAGTGCACTAGTAGATGTCTGTGTATAAGCAAACAATATCTACCAATGACTTGTAAGCAGCTTCTCATTTGATCTTTGACCTCTGCCCCTAATCAGGTGCTTGACCAGTACAAGATGACCCCCCAGATGTGGGAAGAGAGGATTGTGGGTCTGTATGCTGATCACAGAGGCATGACCAGGTAAGGAGCAAGTTTGGGACCGCATTCATGTCCGTAGCCAGGGGTTCGGAAGAACCCCCCCACAAGGCTCAAAGGTCCACTTTTTATGTAAAGGTCCACTTTTTGGTCCACTTTTTATGTAAAGGTCCAAGATTTTTCTTGAAAAGATGGACTGGAATCGTAGAAAAACTGCTCCCTTTGTCATTCAATAAAAATATTTAATTTGTCTCTGATTTTTTTCTTGGAAATCCTCTCAAAAATGCACGAAATGCCATTTTAGAAGGTTCATTTTTCAAAATTTCCCAGGGGAGCATGCCCCCGGACCCCCCTAGGAACCTCTCGAGATCCCCTCAAGCAGTGGGAAGAACCCCCCCCCGTTCAAAATCCTGGCTACGGGCATGGCATTGTAGATACTGCTCCCTGTAACCGTGTAGATACATGTAATGTATATACTAAAAATGCATTTGGGAATGCATCTGTAGTAGCAATACCAGTCCTGTGCTGTGTAATTTGAACCAGTTAGAATTGCCCTGAGGAAAGTGACAGACGGTTGCTGAAATGTTATCTGAATAAAACACTTGTGGTGTAAAAAGAGCTGTCTGATTTTGTAGGGATGAAGCAGAGATGGAGTACCTGAAGATAGCTCAGGACCTGGAGATGTACGGGGTCAACTACTTCCACATCAAGGTCTGCACAAACTTCTAGATTTATTATAATAATACTTTATAATGAGAGGAGGTACTTATATGTTATCACCATCATGATGATGCATAATTTGGTTTTGAAAAATTGGCCATTCTGTTGGGTTGTTCAATCAAGTCTAAATAATTTGAACTGACTACAATGTAACTCAACATTGACAGAGTTGAGGCAGCATTCAGTGCATGATTCATGTACTAGTTATTTATTCATGTCATATTTGGGCTCTTGTGTTGCATACATATACATTGTACATGTAATTGGTAAACTGTCTTGTGGTGTAACACATACTGTCTACTACAATCTGTATCTGTATCTGTATAGCCGGTATAACCGCCTTTCGGCGTAACACACCAGCTTCTGTATCTGTATAGCCGGTATAACCGCCTTTCGGCGTAACACACCAGCTTCGCAGGCACGCGGCGCGGCGGCAGCTGGCTATATTACACCGATCGACTTGTTCCACCTAACCCTTGAACTTCTAGCTCTAGACATTGTTTAAAGCTATCTATTGACAGTGCCCCTACTACAAGATAGAATTACAAATGTAGTCATGGAAAGATTTTTGTTCATGGCATGAAATTTTTCTGTTTGCAGAATAAGAAGGACACAGACCTGTGGCTGGGGGTGGATGCCCTGGGTGTGAACGTGTATGAGTATAACAACAGACTCACACCTAAGATATCCTTCCCCTGGAGCGAGATCAGGAACATATCCTTCCACGACAAGAGGGTGAGATCTGTATTCTGTGTCTGTATTGCTGGTATAATTGCCATTTAGTGTAAAACACCAGCTTCTGTATTCTGTATAGCCGGTATAACCACCCCTCAGTGTAACACACCACCTTATGATATCACTTATTAGTGATTTAAATTTGGGGGAACACAGCATGCCACCACAGTAGAAAAACTTAAAACATAAGTTGAATTGGCAGTGCTTTAACATGTTTGAATTTTTTTTTTATATTCTTAAATTGATTTGTTTATTGATTGATTGATTGATTGTAAAGCTGTTACTGATTGTAGTTACACATGTAGCTATGAGTCAGTGTAAATGCCTTTTTAAAAATTTGAAACTATCCCGGCTCACTCTAGTCCAAGAGATTAATGAGTTTACTTTATTCCAGTTTGTTATCAAACCGGTGGACAAGAAGGCACCAGATTTTGTGTTTTTTGCGCCCAAACTGCGAGTGAACAAGCTGGTCCTGGAGCTGTGTGTGGGGAACCATGAACTCTTCATGAGGAGGAGAAAACTGGACTCCATGGAGGTACAACAGATGAAGGCTCAGGCCAAGGAGGAAAAAGCCAGAAAACAGGTCTGTAAAATATCCAGGACTCATCTCTTTGCAGGACTGCAAATACTGGGTATATGCAGGTTAGTGTAGGTAGAATTGGAGCTGCACGGATAGTTTTTTATGTCTCTACCTGCACCTAACCTGCACTGGGCCATGTGCTATGTTTATATATACTGTTATACATGTACAAGGGTAACAATAAGTACATGGAGTACTTTCATGGTCTTATAAGACATGTACATTGTACATGTAGTTGTATGTAGATTTTCATTTGCTGCATTGACTGTTACTTCTATGTTGTCGAACAAGGACAAGTAGTGAAGAGTAGATTAGTAGTAGTTCTAAATTGTGTTGTTTCTAATCATTGTTGTTCTGTTTTACAGATTGAAAGAGCGAGATTACTCCGGGAAAAGCAGCTAAGAGAAGAGGCAGTTAGGGAAAAGGAAGAACTAGAGAGAAAATTAGCACTTTTTCAGGATGAAGCTAGGATGGCCAACGATGCATTAGTAAGTACATGTACAGTACTCTCTACAACATCATTACACAGGTTCAGAAGATGGCAATAATGCTTTAAGCTAAGATGAACATATTGCCCTAAGCAATAGTCAACTGGCAATGCAGTTTCTTCATTGACATCTAACATGTACATGTACATCCTTTCTTATTTCTTTGCTTCTTGGGATACATGTTGTACATTATTTACAAAAGGCATTCCTGAATATTTAACTATGATATATCATGCTTTAGAATACACTACAATAGCTTTTACAATTACATGTATAATGAACTTAAGTAACTTAAGGTGGAGTGGAATATGTTACAATCAGAAGAGACTGCAGACCTGTTCTAATTGAATTAATTAGCTGCAGAAATGAAGAACTGGAAGGATGATTGGCAAGATTCGATGTACGCTAACATCAGAAGAATGCATTTGTTGTCTTCTCTACCCCTGTAGTTAAGATCAGAAGAGACAGCGGACCTGCTTGCTGAGAAGGCTAAGATAGCGGAGGAGGAGGCCATGCTGCTGGCACAGAAAGCTGCTGAGGCTGAACAGGAGATGAACAGGCTTCAGGTGTCTGCTCTTAGGGTAGGTCACACTCCAGTTACTAGTATTCTGTGAATTGTCTTGTGATCCTATGCAGTCTCTTGCACAACAGGCACTGCAAAGGAATTCCCATAATCTCATCTGCATCTGATGGAGTCCAGTCATTCCTCAGACTTTATCTCTTGCTCAGCTAGGCAGTTCTGTGACTTAGGTTTTAATGATTAACACTGCAGGATAGCCTAAGAAATATTCATGTAGCTGATTTTGTATATCACAAAGTGACTGACAACCCAGACCCAAATGTGTTGGCCACTAGAAGCAAATGCTAGAAATAACCTAGAACATATACAAGTTTGAAAATAGATAGTATATAATAGATATATAACTGCTTATGATTAGATAGGAGTGTTTGGAGTGACATGCTGTAGGGCACCTCATATAAGGACGACCTGAACTGAACATGAGAACCTAGAATTAAGTATAGCAACAATCTGATAATGCCTTACCTTTTTTGAAAGATTTCTTTCAGTATTGATTTTTTTCTTCTCTCTACTCACCCTCAGAGTGAAGAAGAAAAAGTAGTTTTAGAACACAGGGTACGGGAGACAGAACTCATCGCCTTGAGAATAGCAGAAGACTCGGAGAGGCGAGCCAAGGAGGCGGAGGAACTGAAGGAACAGCTGATCAAGGCCAAGGAGAACGAGAAATTTGCCAAAGACAAGCTGATAGAGCTCACGAGGAACCCTTTGAATGTGAGTCAACTCAAAGTTTTGTTGACACCTAGGTGTCACTCAGGAACTTTTGGTCATGTCCCATAGGTCAGAATCATAGCTTTGAATGAATGGATGGATGAATGAAAGACTCATTGTATATGTTTATGTTCTTACAAGCTAAGTATAGGTCATGCATGGTGATAAAGTAGTTCTAGGTACAATAGCAGTGACATAAGACTCCAGTATTTTACTACATCTACAATGGCATAAGTATGATACCAGTAGTTTTGATATGTACAGTTTCAACTTCTTCTGCCTTCTTGAGACAGTTGTATGAATCATATATTGATGATATAGTGTATGAAGGACAGAATGAAGACTGACAGTGTTAGCCTCTTATCCTGGATGATTCTGCTTAGTGTAATGACTCTAAATACGCAGAGTCCTGACACAATCTGCACACACCTCTCAACAACTCATGATATAGGCATCTGTCCTGCTTACAACGTTGACTGGTGTGTAGAACAAACCAACATGCTTATGTTACACATGGCCTTGTGCTTACCCTGTTCCATAGTTTTGTCACCAGTGTTGTGAAGAGTTGGGCAGCCTGTCCATTCCATTCCTGTTGCCTTGTTTCTATTTATTGTTATTTTTCTTTTGTATTTAAATGTGTTCCCTTCCCCCCTTCCCGTTACTCAGGACACTTTGGGCTCGGAGACAAAAACTGAACAAAAAAAGGAGACTCAATATGGTTATCCACAGGTGCAGTATGTGCTAAGGCTTGGTATGGTGGGGCAAGGTCAAGGTCCAAGTGTGTGATTTCTGTAGCGATAGATGATATTTCTATGTTATACCTGTACTCAAATTTCATTTCTTGCTAGTACATTGTATGTTTTACAATGATAGACTGCTTACATGTATGGCAACCATCCTTACCCTAACTTCAGACAGGGTTGAGAATTTGACTGCACCTCCCTTAAAATTCTGATTCACTTCAAACAGTGGTTTTTAGTGTGTGGACAAACATGTGTAGCTCAATTGCAAGCAGGTTTCTTTTGCTTTTCCTCATGTATGTGCATTGTATTTTCATGCATTGTGTGCTTCATTCGATCTACACAATACTTTATCCACCATGTAAGATACAGTTGTAAGACATATAGTACAGTGAAGTACTAGCAAAATAACACCAGTCACAACTGAGTAGTAAAGTTCTTTTATTCACAACAATTTGTTTAACACAGTCAAGCTGTACGTGGCTCGTACCAACAAATAGTTGTGAATAAGATGAGACTTCTCACCAACTTACAGAGCAGTCACAACTTATACCAAGGACTGCTTCAGAATCTGTATTCCACAGTAGTGTCTATACATGTACATGTAGTTTACTGTTTGACAGGGTGATACAAATGTGTTGTGGTACGTCATCTGTGAATAGTTTACACAACCGTTTTATTCAGCTAACGTTTGGGACCGCATTGTAGAATACAGTTCCCTGTAACCATGTAGATATGTATTATTTTACATTTGGGAATGCATCTAATGCAGCAACACCTCTGCAGTGCAATGTGAACCAGTCAGATTTGCCCTCAGGAAGGTGACAGATGGTCACCAAAATGTCGGCTGAATAAAACACTGTCTTGGTTGTGTAACAAGAGTCTCGTTATTCGTTGTGGTAATCATATCTTTTCCCCTTTCTTGTCAGTTTAACTACATGACGGGAGATGCCATAACCAACGAGCATCTGCGAGAGTTGGACATGAGATTAGAACACGAGCTGTCCCTGTCCATGGACAGTGCTGACAACTCCATGGAACTACTGAGTGACAACGATGTGGAACAGCTGTCAAGGGAAATAGAAAAAGAAAGGTGGTTATTGATTTTTGTATTCGGATATTAAGGATTAAACTAATACACATCTACTAATACTAAATTGAAGTTGGTGATTCACTTCAATCTAGGATGGAGGCCTGGCAAAAACCCTGTCTCGTATTCACCACACAGTGAGTTACATCATCACCAGGACTCTCAAAGCATAGAAAGTTACAGCTGTGGCAAGTATATATCTGACTTTGAAAGTTTTACCAGAAATTAACTGTTTTCTCTGTAGTCTAACAGCATATATAAATTCCTTTATAGGATGGAATATATGGAAAAAAGCAAACATCTTCAAGAACAGTTGAGCGAGTTGAAGAAAGAGATTGAAGTCCTGAAAGATGAGGACAAGGAGACTCAGTACGACAAGCTGCACAACATCAACGTAGAGATGGGAGAGACAAAATACTCCACCCTGAAAAGAGTGAGTAGAACATACATAATGATTACATGTCATGTGGTTTGGAATGGGAAGGGAAATGATTTGAAATGGCTCAAGTCACACTTACATGTCCATTCCCATGCTGATATAATATTGCTTTTCTGTGTTTTTTTCACTTGAATGGGTTTTCTTTAACCTCTGTCTTGTGGTTTGTTTATGGTTTGATGGCTAACTGCCTCAGAGCTGTTTATTTATTTGATTGATTGATTGATTTGTTGTTGATTCCATGTAAAAATGTAAACCCAGAAAAATATTGAATTTTTTGAGAATCGCTTGTGATTAAAAAAACTGTTAATCCTCTAGAGTTATATATTATGAAGAAGAAAATATCTGTTCTTAATCAGCCATATGATATATAAAAATCTTTATATGGATGAAAAGTTGAATACTTTCAATTCATTTATGTACATGTACCTGTGATATATTGAAGACAAAAACAAAAGCTAAAAAATTGTACCAAATTCTTCTTACTAATTGTCATGAAATGCACTAACCAATTAGAAAGCACTTAAAGTTTTATTACTTTGTTCTATGGTTTAACTGTGGTTGATTGATTTTTCCTACTACCATTTTTTTTGTCATCTCGTAATCTCCAAGCAGATCTTTTGGTGGCTGCAAGACAACGTCTTATCAAATTGGCCAGGCAGTATCATTAGCAGGGCAATATCAAATACAGCATAAAAAGATACCAGTACAAGAAAGAAAGCCCAATAAAATGCCCCAAAACAAGTCAAAAACAGAAGCCTAAACGCCAAAAAGCAGTTACTCTAACAACTGGATATGATTTTGAAAACGTCAGACGTTTCAGCAAGTATCCACTAGCTTTCGTCAGTGACTGAGAGACCAGAGGGGAAATGCAGGTTTATAAGCCTAAACCCAGAAGCCTAAACCTCTGCTTGGAGACTAGTCATCTCTTGGGTGTCCATGGTTTATATGAGTTTTGCTGGTGGCTGTCACATCTAACCGCATGGCTCCTCCATCAACCTTCTCTTTCCACAGATTAAGGCTGGAACGGCCAAAGCACGGGTTGCCTTCTTTGAGGAACTATAAGAAAAATTAATGTAAGTTTTAAAAGAACTAAAGTGGGTGAGTTCTCTTCTCAAGTTAGCCATGTTCCTTCACTAATCAGTCTATTTCAAAACTGTAGTACATATACAATGTAAGTCCGTGTAGCATTATCACAATAACTGAGATCTATATTACCTGTGCCATGTATGTAGTCAAGCCATTAGAAAAATTCACATTTTTTTAATCAACTATTGTTTCCCCTAAAACTGTTGATCAAAATGAAAAATAACATAGCTTGTGACAATTGCTCCTCCTGTATAGCACGTTGCTAAAACAATTTAAATTTCAGTCAAGAGTACTGCTAACAATGTTTGAATCCTACAATGACAGACTTTGTAACCAAATTTCATACCTTTTCAGATAAGAAAGGGAACTACCAGATCCAGGGTGACCTTCTTCGAAGAATTGTAGAGATTTTTATATGCTAAGAAAAAAATCTACCCACCACCGCATGATATACAGAATGATACATGTTGTATCTTCTACCCGGCCAGCAGTAGACAGAAGGAAAAACCTGCCATGAGTCCCTCTTACATGTACAATGTCTTCCCAGTACATGTGTAAAGTGCTGCATCACAAATTTACTCAAACTCTTCTCTTTTATAAAATTAATTTGTGGTAGCTTTTGAAAGATTTTGTGACTAAGGAGAAAAGGGGATATCGAATCTGACCTTTTACATACTATTGTTACATAGATAGGTCTGTGGAAGCCATTGTTTTGTGCCAAATTTTCTTAAACTTACACAGATACAACCAGACAGCCATAAACAATGTAACCACCTTCAGTGCCTGGTTTTTCACTCAAAAAAGTCATGTTTACTCCTTTATATTGGTTTGTTCTGAAAAAAAGTGGCCCAAAGTGAACAATTAGAAATCCCATTAAAGTTCTAACTAGCTCTAATATGTCAGAACATAAGAAACCCACCAACATAAACATACATGGAACAACCCAGGACATTATAATTTATATGTGTCCATGGAACAATTAACTGGAAGTGTGCTATTTATTACTTGGTGCTTAACTGTGTCATTGAATATCATCTGTATCATGCATATTAAACAGACATGTAAATAGACTTTGGTAGAAAAAGGCCATGCTACATTGGAACTCTTGCTATATACTTATACTGGTGACATATGAGTATATATAATAGTATATATGATGATACATTTATTTATCAGCATATTTCTTAAGTGACAATGAATGCAGTGTGTAAGTATTATAAGCAGTAGTGCCTTAGAGTATTCCCTGCGTATCTGAATAGGATGCTGTCCTGAACCCTTTCCAACCTAAGGATGCACCTAGGCAACAAATTTGTATGGCAATCTGGGAAGTTAGGCCACAGAAGGTTAAATTTAGGAACATACAGCCCGGCCGTATAAATGTTGGGAGTACTGCCATTGTTAGGATGTGAGCACTGGAGAGATGAGATTAATATCACAAGTAGAATTGATAGAAATATTTTCTGTTTTTATTCATCATATCTGGGAATATCTGCAGTGTATAGAGAGTTCAGCCCTCTTGTCCATCATCTAGATTTTTACTATAATGGAAAGAATGGACATGTATACATGTAACAGTTTTGGTACAGTATGTCAATATTGTTTTAAGGGCTCACATATGGTAACATTTGTGTTGGACAAATGAGGTACTAGTACATGTATCAAGCAATGGGACTTTGTATGGTTGTGTTCATTTATTTGGTATTATATTGTATACTGATATCACGACAAGCCAAGAATACAACATGGAATGTTACATGAAGACTAGTGATTCTGTGTTTAACTTGTGTTGCCATAACTTTGATATCATTTTCCTTGCTGCTGTATTGGAAACTGTAATATTATTAGGATATAATGTAGGTATCACAGTGTAGATATGCCTGTTCACAGATATCCAAGCAAATTTTGGACCATGCTTGTGAACATACAGTACATGTAAACTATAGATACAAAGGAGTTAAGGACAAAACATGGTAGTCAGTTATACATGCAAAATCAGAAGTTAATAGATACAAGTACAATAGATGAAATTGCCATAGAGTACAATGTATTAACATGGCATCTCCCTTCATATAATATATTATGCAGAAATTTGTTTGCCAAGGATTCCCGTATTATGTACTGTATACATTAACCTTCACCCTGTTGAGGTTGTCTTTGGTAACAAATGTATGTAGGTTAATAGATTAGGCAGCAAGAGGAACACAAACCCAGATTATTAGGTGCTAAGACAGGCATGAACATTGTAATTTTTATACTCGGATGATTTGCATTTTTGAATACTTTTCATGATACTATCAGGTAACTTTTCAGGTGCATGCTGTATAATGTGCTCGCAGTAATAATGTAATATTCTATGTATATATAAATGAATATTTGTATTGTTAAGGCATAAGATATGTTTTTTTGCAGATTTGCACATCAAACTTTTATTTAGTGTTTTATGTAGTGTTATATTTTATTTTCTGAAGGATTGTTTTTATTCAATCTTGAGGTATATTTTTGTAGAAATAGATCAACTTTTTGTAATGTTTTCTGTTTTTACTTTTCTGTTAAAGAATCTTCTTGAAAATAAATTTACCAACAAGATTGGTACTGGTATCTGCTGTACTTACCCCGCAAGTGGCATTTGTTAGACTAGTTTTTAAAATAGCAGTAGAAAGAATCATTTTTAGCAGCAATGCTCAAACCTAGTAATAACAACACACACACAGACCAGGTTGGATCTTTATTCCTCCAACAATACAACATCGTCTATTAAATCCATGATATTGTAAGGCTTAATAATACTATTATATGTACAAGATTGCTTTACATTGTGCAAAGGAAGCTCGGCAAAAATGTTACATTCCTCCAAATTACTTGACTATATATATTCCTCCACTTCCGTTATTCCGAAGCTGGCGATAACTATTAGAGGGCTTCTTTGGTTGAAGTCTTTTAAATTAGCCCTCAAATATAAAAGACTGTAAGCAAGAGAAGGCCCCCAACAGGCACCACCAATATTTAGAAGCTACATTTATGTATGACAGTGATAATTTTAGTGACACGAGCAAACAATGAGAGAACGAGAGGTGTCGTGCAGATTACAAGTCCATGCTACTGTACATGATTCGTAGCTTTTAATACACTGTGTAACAGTGCTGTACACACCTCAAATATACATGTAGCACACAAATGAGCCATATGCAATACATACATGTAGGTTAGCATGTTTTTCCAAAATATGAAATTGCTAACATAGAGACCTGTGTTACTTTGTGTACATGTACAACAATGATAAAGAAAAACTCTGATCCTAAATTCAAAATTGATATTGCATTTAATGATAAATAAAGCACAGAGGTGCGACATTGCATATTCCAACAAATCTAAATTTAACATCTTTGGAGTTACATTTTACCTTACATTGTACCTTAAATTAAATGTGTAAATTTACAACACATACTCTCGCACTATTTCTCCTATCAATAAAATTACACGAACTTCTTTTCGTTACAGGACAGGTACCATGTGGTCACAGTGATGACCATGATAATCAATGAACTCTTTACTATAAAAAATGCGAACCAGATACTAGTAACACAAATGAAACCTACAATCAAATGTGGAGGGTATCTAGATGTATAATGGCTGTCCATTAAAATCTATAGGGCGGTGACAAAAACCTTTTAAACCTCCCCCACCCAATGTGAGTAAATAACACTTCACTTCCATACATTTTAAACTTTCACACTCAATTCGAGTTATCAAATGAAAGAGCCCTTAGAAGTATGTTACAATCCCTAATGGAGAAACGAAATGGCAAGAAATTAAACCTCACTAACATCAATGGGACAAAACTAACAAGTTACAACATAGCAGCATAAAAAAAACATGTAAAGTCACTGAGAAAATGTTCACACAACATATCACATACATGTGCTTACGTGATACCTCCAATTCTATTAGCTAACATCTTACAGATCTTCCATTAATGTCTAAAATTATATGTCAATGTTATATTAAATAATATGCCTGAGTGATAACAAAGTCATTTTAAGTGGTATCTTAATGTCATGTTTTCATATCTTAAAAATTATATTCATGAATGAAGATTCAAAGGTACACTTGTTACTGGGGGCACAATGATTTAGTTCATCTTGTTCTACAGAAAAAAAAAAAAGAAAACATAAACACCACTAGAGTTAGTCTTCAGTTAGTCTTCATGAAGAGACTGTGGGTTTGTGATAATGCAGTAAACTGTTGTTTAGGGGACAGTTACTACACATAATAGAAAATGTGCATAATCTCTAAAACACTGATAATTGTACATTGTACGTGTACCTCACATTTAAACAATGGCCACATTATCACAAGCCCAGTGCTACTATGAAGACTACCTGGAGACTGCAAACCATGGTAATGAGAATACTGGTGTAAATGTGTACAGGCAACACATGTAACATGTAACACTGTTTAAACCTGACAAAACAATAGGCTGTCTGACTCTGTATTATACTGAAGATGTTGAGGTTTCACTGAAAAAAAATGTACAAATGGTGCTGCAGATTCTGTGTGATAACATAGAAGCACTAGCACTGTCACAGTGATGCATATTCCTTAATGGCCCTTAAAAAACTTGTACACTTACTACTAGGCATATTAGTAGAAATACTAGCAGTGGTACAATCATTTACTTGGAAGTACTCTACCTTATCTACCATGCTCTACAACACTTACAGCTGAATGATGATATGGTTTTTGACAACTTGTTCCTTAGATTTCCTGTAACAGGTGTTCAATATGACAGTGATTCTAGCATTTAAGACATATAATAGCAACAAGTACATCAGATTTTTCTACATGCTACATCTAGTTACGGCTTGACAGACTGCTATTGGGTTATTAACCTGGGTTGCAACAAGAAAATTAAGATTTAATGTGGTGACTTTGACGATCCATTTAGACTTACAATGTATTTCTCTAGAATAGATACTGCTCTTACTAGCTTTGCACAGGGTGAACATAGGCAATGACTTATCTTATGTGTCAATACATATAGGATAATATATCCTTAGAATGTCGATGTCAAAAACTACATGACAAAGGGGAAACTTAATCTTGACATCGTAAAGATTCACCCAACAACATTATCATACATAGGAGAGAATTCTCGTCACCTTTTAAGATCTAGCATTGCTCTTCCTGAAACCTTGGTAACCCTGTTCTAAAACCTTTACATTTCCTAACCCAAGGACATCATAATACATTTATGTATAACGTCATTGCCTAACCTAATCTATGCTTCTAAAATATCTACACTACTTAGCAAGTCAGCAGAACGTACTGTGCCTGCACGAAACCCTGATTTTTCACTGTTTCTGTTGGATGTTTGGTCAATGTTGGATCAGAATTTTGCCTGTTGTAGACAATATCTTTTGCGACATAACATTTGGAAACTACAGCTGGGATGTTAACCTTATATAATATATGTAGATACAACCTTATATGAGACATTCTGCCGAAGTGCTATGCAGAATACATTATGGTTTTTGCTCAGGTGCAGTACATTCTGCTGACATGCTACACTACTTGCACATGTAGGGATGGACTAGGCAGTAGCGGGGGGAGTTGTGCTGAAGTAAGGGGCGGAATCATTGACCAGGATTGTGTAGCAGACGTCACAGACTTTTGAGGGCCTCATGTTGGGGCCGCTCTGGACGCTTTTGGACAGGCAATCATTACAGAAGATCTTCCCACAGTGTCTACAATGGTGCTGGAAACAATTGCAGAAAAAAAAACTTTGATTTAGCTTGAAGGTTCCTCTGTATTTGCAGAATTCATTTAAAGCAGGACTGAAATATAACTTCCAAAACTAGCTATCGGAAAACAACTTAGCTTAAATGCTGTTTGCTCCCTTGACAAAGACTGATGCTGTTTAGCGTAATAGACATTTTGCCATTTTGTCCTAAATCATGAATAAAGCCTGCTTCAGAAACTTGACTACATGTACATGTATTTGTTTTCCTTAACTGCTGCTTGCAACGTACATGTAGTCACTCCACTTTTGTATAACCTTTTAAAAAATTTTGTACTGACAACTTGAAGCAAAAGTTTTGTGCTTGAAAGTACTATCAGTTACAGATATACATTGTACAATGATGTACAATCAGGTACTTATCAAGAGAAGAAGAAAAGGTCTTGCCTTACCTTGGTAGCTTTTTTCTTTGGTTGAAAGGGCTGCTTACACTGGTTACAGGCCGTGGCATCTTCCTCATGCTGCCACCGAACCTCGTTCTCAGACTGACGGATGTTTTCCAACTGGACCTGAAGTTCAAGTACACATTAAACATCCCTGGTTCTGATTTCACATCTTTCCTCCTATAAGTAGTATCACCCATTTACAGACATTCTACAGTCATTCCTGTCAAATTCTTTTTCCTGTCTCCAAGCCAAGATTGACTAGTACTGTTTTAAGCAGCTAGACATTATCTCAGCCTTGATATAGCTAGTGTACATTGCATGTACATTTGTAGTCCTAATCTGAAAGGCAAGCTGTTGTGCCAGCAAGTTTCATAATTCATGCTCCCTATAGAACCTTTACATCAACTTGCTCACTTACGCTGTCGCAAAGAATTATTTTCAATCAAATTTATGCTAAGAGTAGGACCTACATGTACGTACCTGTAGTGACTGTGAGAGTTTGACAAAGTCCCTCTGTACAGCCTCACTGTTGTCCAGGTCTGCCTGCAGACCCTGGATCTTCACACGGAGGTCTCTCACCTCAGCTTCCAGCTTTGCCTGATAACATCATCATCAGGTTCATGTATACAGTCCGTCTTTTACACAAGAACACTGTAACCTACTGAATTCTATATTGTTCTTAAAATCCATACCAAACCTTGTAATCCCAAAGCTAGTCAAACAGCTCGTAGAAAATATATCTCTAAAAACTATATTGACTGAAATCTTTTCCAAAAATAATTTCATCAGGTTGGTAGAACATCTATGATATTGGGATTTTCTTATACACAATCAGGGACTTTTCCTACCTTGCTTACATTTCAATGTCTATCAGACACATTCCTCAGAGCTTCTGAAGTTCTGTCAGAAGTTCTGAAATGATTGATATTAGTATGAAGTTCCTGTTATTACAAAGCTAACAAAAAGGTTTTCTGACCTTCAATGTTGTGAGTTCCTCCACCTGTTGTTGAAGAGCAGTGATGACTTGTTTAGACTTCGTCTCTATGCTTTTCTTGGACTGCTGAAGTTCACTTAACTTGGCCTCCAACTTGAAGAAGAAAAACATAACATATATCATATAATTATGAAAAGTACAATACAAATGCAATGAATCAATTTTTAAGGGAAGTCTTAGCTTATACATACAATGTATAATTCAGCTTTGTCATCAGCACAAAGAAGCCCTTACCTCAGTCTTCACAGTCTTTTCTTTATCATAGTCTGTTTTGATGTTCTGTAATTTCACTGAAATCGAAGGAAAAAAGTTACTTTAAATCTTGATTTCAACTAGTCCGTTTGCCAGAGGAGACTTCGGTACCACCTGAGGTGGCAAATTCTCATTATGATTTTTTAAAAGCATGGAGTCACTTTGAGGGCTACCTGACTCCATAGGACTAGTAATAGGAGAAGCAGGGATACTGAGGCTACTCAGGAATATTCCAATTTCAACCTAATCACATAATAGCTATAATCTGGGCTAAACATTGAAAAAAATCCCCAAATGGAAGTGACCAGGCTAGGGTTGCAATAGTTTTCACTGGTCAAGAGGAGTAACTGACCCTATACTAAAGGTGAAGAAGATTCAAGTAGGAGAAATGGAGGCTACTCAAGAATATTTCCTTTCCATTTCAACCTATTTTATAATCTGGGCTTCACAAGAAAAAACATCTTAAATTTCCTCCTTACTCATCTCGTCCCTGGCCACGTCCAGATCCGAGCTGAGGGTCTCCTCGATGTTGTCCTTGGCGACCTGCTCGGCCTTGACCCTGTCCTTCAGGAATAAGATCTCACTCCGCAGTTTGTCCTCCATGTGTTCCGCTGACGTCTTCACCGTCAGGATGTTCTGTCGGTATCTGGAGATGAGCGTCTGGAGTTCCTGTTTAAGTAGAAAAATATCTGTTATTAAGAACAGCTATACAAAACAAGATTACTAAAGTCATCCTTGTGATGTTGATTCAATTGATGGGTTTGCCCTAAAAAATACCCCCGTGCTTGTTAGGCAGCCTTGGCGCATCTAAGACAAAAAAATAATAAATATTGATAGAAATGAAGGTTTGCCTTCAATAAGAGCTTTGTGCTACACGGGCAGCCTTGACTATATCTTCAGCTAAAACAAATGAATAAAAATAAAACTAAACAAAGAATAATGCAGCACTTACCTCCACGCCCTGTGGCATGCTGAACCCCTCGCTCTGCTGCAGTGACTTGTGCAGGGTGTACTTCCCCTGCAGGCTGTCGTTCTCACGCTGCAGTCTCTGCAGCTACAGACAGGTCAAAGATCAAGGTCAAAGGTCAGTGTCAAAGGTCATAATCACAGGTATAATTCACAAAATACTAAATTCAAATCACAATTGTTTTGATGTCAAGTTTAACATCCCAAGTTTCTAGTTTTTTTGTCATCTTGATAAAAAGTGCATTTAAGACCTACCTCATTGTATACTTGTTCTCTGGATTCAACTAGGAGTTTCTGAAAGTAGTAAAATAAAGTAAAATAATTATACATGTACACAATACTACACATGTATCCCAAATACAATAATTATTACTGTTAACAGCAATAAGCAATCTTGACTACAATGTTAAGGTTCCAACTTAAAAAAAGAAACATAAGATATCCATTCTAAAATTCGTATGTTACATTTCTTTGGATTCCCTTGTATGATCTTGCTCCCACCCAGAGGAAAACATATATTATACTTTTGTTTCATTTTAATAATCTGTTCTAAAGTATTTTGTTCCATTTTCTAGTAGACTTAAATCACACAATCATTACTTTTGTCAACAGCAGCTTAAGCTATATTTATCTACGGTAATACTAGTAGGCGTGCAGGACCCTGAAAACCACGTCCAAGTATTGTTCTTGGGCAAACACTACCGCTGCGCATGCCTTCTAAGTTTACACACATCTGAGAAGGTAATGTGATCGCAGTGCAAACACAACAAACAAAAGAGTTGGCCAGGTCAACTCCCCTGCAGGCCTGCTACATTGTAGAGTGTGAAAGTGAACCAGACAGCAACATGGCTACCGAGGAATGTGGGTACATGAAGCAGATTCAGGAGGAGCTGTCCTGCAGCATCTGTCTGGAGCTGTACAAGAGGCCCAAGGCTCTACCCTGCCTGCACACCTTCTGCTATAACTGCTTGATAGACTGTGCGAGTAAGAGCTCGCCACTGAAGTGTCCACACTGCCGCACGGTCGTCAAGTTGTCACACGAGGGAATCGAGGGCCTGCCTGATAACTTTCTGATCGCAAGCCTGTGCGAAACCTTCCCTAAACAAGTCGTCATGACGCCACCGCTGCCTCTGACAAGTACTCAGTTGGTGTAAGGCGTCCCACGGTTGACCACAGCAAAGATCTCATTTAATATTATAATGACCTACTTGAATATTGTAATGAGCCAAATGCAGTCTTGAAGCTTGTACATATGCAACAGTTTGAGTGATAACCCAGTGCCTCTGCCCCGCCTGCCGTTTTGCATTTGATTTACGCGCTAATTCCATCCTGTGGAGTTAATTGGTACCTCTCTTTTGTTTTCAATTGGCTGATCAAGAGCAGAACGGATGTCAGGCTTGCATAAATACTAGTAACACAAACAAAACAACTGTAAGCAATGATCAACAAATTCTATTTGAAGCTCTTGCTGTAAGTTACAACACATTTATTCTGATCTGAATCTGGCGCCCAAACAACATGAAGATATATGTAAGTTACCTCCAGCATGACCTACAAAGGGCCCCTTTAGGAAGGGCCACGAATATTAGAACCCATAAAAAATGGGGATAACTGACAAGGAGAGTGGGCCATAGTGATTCCCTGTAACACTAACAGATAAACATGGCCTCCCGAGCTCACCCATCATGATCATATAACCTCCTTGGTTAAGAGTCGGAAGCAAGGTCGGCTATAGTGTTCGGCTGTGCCAGTTTAGTATCTAAAACATTAGGGTGTGGACAGTAAAAGTACGTTATTAGAAATTGTTTGGGACATCTTGGAAAAGGTTAATAGCCCCAACTATTTCCGGTAAAGCTAATCTCTGCAAATTCACCCAGTATTGACCCGTTCAGACTACTAGTATATGCCAGACAGTTCCCAGCCTCAATACACATGCTAGGCCCTGTTATTAGACTCGGTTAGACCAAGGAGACATGATATACCAAGAGACCATGGAGTTTGGTTAGACCCTGTGAAAAAACTTTCGGACGGGAAATGCTGTTCCCTGGATTGAGAAGGTAGCCTACATAGCAGCCCTGGTAACAGTCTGGCACCCAGGCTATGAGCCGTATAAACCTTTCATTCCATTGTTGTCAATTTGTTACTGTCTGTAAAACATTTTCTTTCAAGACCTATATTGAAAAAAAGGAAAGCTGGGCCCAGCTGTAGTGAACAATTACTGCGCATAACAAAAGACAGCCAACCTTTTGTCTTGTGGCAAGGGCAAATTACAGATAATTACGTCTCATAGAGGTGCTAAATACACGACTAATTGGCCTACCGATGTGATTGACAGCTAGAATTTGCTAAGAAGGTAAAGATTCATAATCTTAACTTTGAAGCGTTTTGAGGAACTATAGCCATGCCCAGGGCATGTCAGATTCAAAGTAGAATGATTGGTAATGTCCTGAACTACCCAAACCTGTTTAGATTCTTTTGCTAATCATGAACTATCTTTTGATATAGGGCAAGGAAGTTAGGGTTACCCTAAAATTATGGCATTGAAATGGACAAAAACATATTTCATAAAAAGCAGGAATAATATTTCAAATATATCAAAACAGTTTCTAAATGGTGACAGATGTAAGAATGTACCCTCCAAAAAGCGTCTGTCTATGATGTTGGCCATAGTTCCTCGATTTACGTTTTCTGTTTAAGAATTATGCATCATATCAGACATAGAAATATGCAAATATAAGAAATATAACAACATGAAAGTAATATTTCAACACTCAACAAGTTGTATTTTGCCTTTCCCCCAAGTTTGAACCATTTCTAACCAGCTACGGCTGAGTTATGGCATTTTTCCGAAAGGACCTGAAAAATCAGTAAATTGGCACCGTGGGACGCCTTACACCAACTGAGTACTACCAGTGCTGTTCCGCAACAACAGGAACAGGTGGAGACCCACTGCGACCTTCACCAGCAACACGACCTTTCGCTGTACTGTACGCAGTGCGACACGCCTGTCTGCATGGAATGTCTCGATACCAGCCACCCTGGCCACGGTTTCACAACCGTACGTCAAGCGGTGGACCAGAAGGAACACAACATCTGGCAAAACGTCAGCAATGGTAGACAGAAACTTGACGAGGACTCTTTTCTCTTGAAAGATCTGAGATGCATGGAGGCAGAAATAAGAAGCAGCAGGGAAGAAAACGAGGCAGCAGTGCTCGCGTCCCTTCAAGAAGCCGTCAAGAAGTTGGAAGAGAGCAAAGAGGAGATGCTCACCTCCATCAACAAGAGTTACCAGCAGAATCTGAAAGCGCTAGAAGCTTGCAAAGATGTGCTGCTCACTCAAATGGGCGACTTGTCCACTGCATGTAACAACGTGGAACAGGCAGCAGGCAAAGGGCATGCAGACTTTCTCCAGCAGGGGAACAGTCTTCTGGTGAAACTGAACAACTACAAGAAAGTAGACATGCCTACACTGGAGCCCAGCCCTGTTTTTGAGGCTAACCCAGATTCGAGGGAACTCACCCTTGGGACGGTGCTGTCCTTCGATCCCCAAGAAACAGCTGAGGAAAAAGCAGGTAATGGAGGTGACTGTTGTTATTGTCTCTCGTCAGATGATGGTCACATGTGTTTGTCTGCTACCTCCTCTTGTGCATTCTCTCTTCCCACTTCCCAATGTACTCATTTCTTGTTCCTTTTTCCAATTGGTCAGCTATATTTTCAGTGGTGGTTTTCTCTTCTTTTCCTTGTTCGTTATCTCAGTTTCCTGTTTTCTTTTTCTCCAGGTGACACTGCTGAGGACAAGGGGTCACGGGAGGTCATATTCGGTGGCTGGGGGCTGAACTGTGGGAAATTCCAGCAGCAGGCTGGCATCGCTGTGTCAAAGGTCGGTCTGGTGTTCGTTCTGGACAGCTACAGAGTCCAGGCGTTTGACCTTGAAGGGTCGTTCCTCTACAAGTTCTCTACGAGCATCCCGGGTCTGGACGGAGGGGAGATGGTGCCACACGGAATAGCCCCAGAGGCGGGCGGTCATGTGTGGGTCGTCGGGACCGACTTTAGAAAGGCTGACTACCTGGTCAAGTACTCAGACATGGGCAAATTTGTGTGTAAGAACACCCTACCGCTACTCCCATACCACTCGCGCCAAGTTGCAGTGAACCCACAGAATGGCAACGTAATGATCACCGAGTACGACGGCAGAAACTCCAAGATCAGGATGTTCAAGTCAAACAACAGACAGCCGTGTGGGGAGATCAACCTCTTCGCCAGAGAGTTACACATCCTGGGACCGCCCCACATCGCGACAGACCTCCATGGAAACATTTTTGTCGTGGACTCCTACAAAAGCTGCATCGCCTGTTTTGACCCCTCTGGGAAGCTCCGCTTTAAGTTTGGCAACTGGGGCTACGAGATGGGCTGTCTCCACCTGCCCCATAGCATCTGTACAGACAGTTACAGCAACGTCATCGTGGCAGAACATGGTAACACACAATTGAAGGTGTTCGCCTCTGACGGGCAGTTTCTGCGATGTATCGACACAGACCTGGAGGTTCCCTGGAAGCTAGCAGCTGGGCCAGACGGACAACTGGTTGTGTCTGATGCAACCACGCACCTTGTCAAGATTCTTAAGGAGTACTGATTCCTTCTTGAAGAAGTAAATCATCTCATAGAACTATTGTAGAGTGAAACTCACTGCCAGCCAAATACAGTAGGGTCATCATCACTAAATAGCTTCAGTTTAAACAATGTTTAGAGTTAGATGTGTAAAGGCTAGATGTAACAAGTTGTTTGGTGTACAAAACATGTAATATACTGTAGTCAGCTGCCGCCGCACTATTCTCCTCTGAAGCTTGCATGTTATGCTAACATTCCTTTTCAAGTGAATGTTAGGTAGCCAGCCTCAAGATCAGACATACCTTTTTTTAAAACACTTCTAAGGAGATGGAAGTTGTGAGACATTGTACAAAAATGTATTCTTACCATTTGTTCTGTAGTGTCGTTCTGCCACCTAAGGAACTGTTGTCTTAGATCGGTCAAGAATTTCTCTGACTCCTCGTGTTTGAAGGTGAAGTAGGTTAGCTGGAAAGAGAAGATGAACCTTGTCATTTACATTTTGTACTTATTGAATAGTAACTGTTGTTTGTGTCTGAGGTTGGGTAATATATGTCGTATAATCATGACTTTTTGTCCAAAATACAATTATATCTTGTCTTTCCTTAAATCTTTGTTCTCAGAAAGTCTGTCATGTACATTGTAGATGTAAGTCATGTACATGTAGAAAATAGCCTATGGAAGACAATTAAAGACAGCAAGAGTTGCTCTGATTTCTGCCATTAAATTGTTGTTGTACTGTTTAAAAGATGTCTTTTATTTCTTTTGTCATTTACTTTTGTATATTGAGGGGATGACAACTAATAAAGGTGAGCAATCACCTGTTTTATCTCCAAATGGAAAACTTTAATAAAAAAATAAACACAAGTCACCTGTTGTTGAGCATCCTGCCCTGCGTTTTTCACGCTCTCCTTAAAAAAAATTTCCCTGACCCTCCCCCTAGCTATTTGCTTTCCCTGACCCCCCCCCCCCCCCCAGCTGTAAGAAAACTTTCCTTGGCCCTCCCCCCTTTCTGTAATAGCATAGCATTAGCATAGCACAGTGATATAAAATGAGACAGTGGTTAGTAGTTCTTTGGCCCTCCCCCCAAGCCAATTTTTTTCCCTGGCTCTCTCCCCCTGCACACCGGCTCTCCCCTTGGTAAATATTGCATGGTCGCTTACCTGTTGTTGAGCGTCCTGCCCAGCATTTTTCACACTCTCCTCCAGCTCCTCCATGTTCTTCTCCCTCTTCTCCCTGTTCTTCTGCTCCCGCTCCAGGTCAGACTGGAGTCTGGCCATGGTGTCCCTCACGTCCTTCTCACTCTCCTGCACGTTCTGCAGCTGCTGCTCGTAGTTACTGCACATGTCACACGGACGGCCTAGCTTCTCTCTGGCAGCTTTCACCTGAATATATAGATAGCTTGATTACTGTCAGATAGTTACTGCACATGTAGCATGTAGTTGGGATAGTGTAAGCATTTTTTTCACCCCCACCCAATGTTCTTGCCAGCCTGAAGTTTTTTTCTGCCACCTAAATCAATGTTATTTGTCGAGTGCCTATCCTAGGCCGGGAGGGGGGATCTGGGTGAATGTTCCCAAAAAAATGTTGAAATCTTCACCCTCTAGAATACATTGTACTATTGCCTACATTGTGAGGGGCAAATTTTGCTGGTAGACGAGGCTAAGCTTAGTTTAATAACAACTCTTTCCATATCTTTATTATATGCCAATTTCTGTTTCAAAGTTTTGTCCGTCATGAGTGGCAAAATTCTGTATATACCAAAAGACAGTCACTGGATAGCACACTGCCCCTGACTGCTTATTGTAACAGTTCAAACTGATGTGGTGACCTCTCACCTCTTGCTGCAGCCACTCCCACTCCTTGTCACTGACCAGTCTCTTCCCCACCATGGAGGCCGTGGGTTCACTGCTGGAGGCCTTCGCAGCTGCCACCAGGGTCTGAACCTCCTCATTCTCGGGGGTTTGGGCTGTGGTGCAGAATAATGGTAACATGTTCAGGCAAAGAAAAGGGTCTGTACAGCAGCCACTTATGCAAACAACTCTTTGTTAACTCATGCCAAAAGGCTAATTGCAAAGGAACACACAGATGCACTAACATTTAAAAAGGTACAAGAATTCTAGTCTAGAGAGATATCCATAATAATCAGAAATTTCACCAGTAACTTGTCCAGCAATGACTGACACCTGTTATCAACACTAATGTCTTGCTTGACAATATGTGGTTATCCTCATTTCTTTTCAGCTGCTTTTTAAACTACAGTACAGATTTAATGTATGAAGATTCTCACAATTTGATTGAATAAGAATATCTTACATTGCCTACACAAGACTCTGAATTGGACAGTAACCTACATGTATTTTACGATCACCTCACAAACCCCTCACCTGTGATAGCTTTCTGCTGTGCCTCTGTCAGCGTGAAGCTCAGCTGAGAAACCCTGTCCTCGTCTCCACTCACGAACGGCCCAAACTCCTCCGAACTCTGCGACGAGGCCAGATTCTCCGCAGATTTCGGCCTCTCTAGAAGCGACATACCGCCGACATTCAGCGTGTCCCCTTCTATACAGGAGCTGGACTGGGTTCTCCTGATGATGGCTTCTTCTGTTGAGGGACTATGTGTGGATTCTTCTGACTTCTGTGTGTTGATGGAAGTGTTGGAGGACCTGGCTGAGGAACTTCCCAGGGAGGTTTTGCTATCAGATTGCTGAGTACAGAGGAAAACGTTATAATTGTCATGAGATGAGATGAGATGAGATGAGATGTACCACAAACAACAATGTACATGTTGTAAAAAATTGTATTATTGATGTGTGCAAATTGTGTCCAGTAGTCATCATACAGCATGATCGCAAATGACTACGATGAAAGTTCCTAGAAAACAGAATCTAAAAATCGATTTGAAGCTCTCCCATCACCAAGACAACTTGGATATAATATTAATATCTATGCCTTTTGGATCAAATTTCATTTGTAATGTCTTTGTGAGCTGTTTAGATTTTTGCTATTTTACAGTCCTGTTCTTCACTGTTGTCTAGCTGCCAAGAGGGCAGCAACCAGTTCCAACAAAATCCAAGCAGCCTTTCTTCCACCAACAATTAGCTCCACAAAAATCCCAACAACCTTTCTTCCACCAACAATTAGCCACCAACAATTAGCTCCACAAAAATCCCAACAACATTTTTTCCACCTCCACCAGAATGCAGAGCTGATGACAATGTCTCTGAACCCTTTCCTAATTTTAGGCTTAGTTGTTTGATGTTGACTACCAACAGACACAGGACAACAACTAGCTCCAACAAAATCCCAACAGCATTTTTTTCCATCCACCTCCACCAGAATGCAGAGCTGATGAGAATACCTTAGGCACAGTCTCTGGGCCAGACAAAAGCCTCTGAAGCCTTTTCTTTCTCATGGGGGGAGCAGGAGAGGGAGGTTCAGGTTTTACCTGTTTCATGTTGAGTTGGATGACAACTGTCGGTGGGGGGGACTTCGGCCGAAAGTCTTTAGCACTAGGAGGCTCAGCCTGGCCTGGCTCCTGAAGTGGATGAAAAGACCTCTTATTCCAGTGGTGTGTATCCATAATTTAGCATTTTTCCATATTAACCACAACAGGGTTAAAACTACATGACATTGTATACTCATCAGTAAAAGCAGAGTAAGTTCCTAACGATTGTGAAGTACCAAGAAGGTTTGACCCTCCACCAAGGCAAGAACATGAAAGAGGAACCAGGCATACCCACGGGTAAGCTTAAGGCACTACAGTAGCTTTGCTAAGAAGGTAGAACTGTGCTCACATGTGTCTCCAGACCTGACAAAAGCAATCCACCCATACATAGATACCAAACCAAAACACAGTTTTAAAATGGTCACATTTCAGAGATTTTCTTCAGACCAAGCAAATCCCAGAGCCCAAGATGAACAGGACCGACCACCGAAAACTTTGTGACGTCTTTCTACCAACCTCTTCCCCAACTTCCTTCTCTGGCATTATAACCAGGAACTCCTTTTCCCAAGACTCAGACATGGCCAGCAGTTCATTTGCTTTCACTTCATCGTCATCGAGTTCTGCTAACTCTTCGTCGTAGAACGTTGAACCGCTTCGAGGGACAAACATCTCAGAAAAGCTGTCCTGGAACTGTCGAACCCTCGCTGGGGGAGACGCCAGCCGGTCTCTGACCGAGTCGATCCCGCTCTGAACTTTGGACATCATGTGGAGGCCTGGCTGAGACAGACTCTTCTGAAGTCTGGATTTAAAATCTTGTGGTGAGGGCAGTTCTTCGGGTATCTGGGGTAATGTTGAAGCAGAGGAGAACTTCCCTTTGACGTAATCGAGTCTGCTACTAACCTCGGCAACAACGTTGGGGTAGGAAAACTTATCTTTGAGTCTGGAGTCCTGGACAGGAGATGTTTCTCTTTCTGGGGAGGAAAGGTTATCTTCATATTCCACTGAAGGGGGAGGACTTAAGGGTCTCGCTTTTGGAGGAGTGAAGGTTTCTTTCACTGTCTCCAACTTGCTTTGGATGAGAGAGAGAACTCTGGCTGTTGGATATGACTTCCTACGGGTATTGAGCTCACTTATGGGACCAGGACCTGATTCCGATTTGGACTTACTATCAATGTCATCTGTGCCTGCTTGGTCTGTTGGATACGTCTTCCTACGGACATTGAGCTCACTTGGAGGACCAGTACTTGATACTGGGCTGGACTGAGTTTCACTGTCATCTGTACCTGCTTTGTCTGAACTAAGCGGCAGGTTGTGGGAGGAAAGATCCTCACAGCTGTGTGTTGAAGTGGAAATATCAGTCGAATTTTGCTCAAAGTGGGAATGCAGTTGATCTAAAAAGGAGGAAAGATTCTTCTGGTCATGGTTTGAAGCGTGTATGATTACTTCAATTTTTGGTGATGGGAGAACTTCGGCTAAAACTACAGATTTTTCAGGCTCGGTGATGTGCTGAGTTGGTAATGAGACGGCTGTGCTTGATATTACAGACTTTTGTTCTTCCAGTACTACCTGCAAGAGAAGAACAAATACCCTTCTAACCAAATATATATGATGATTACTGTGTAAGGCCAAGAATTGTGAAATGACACTGCTTAGAGTGATAGCATGAGGTTTAGTTCAAATTAGGTACACAAAAGGATGGTGTGGATTGAATTGGACTATCTGGCTATGTCAGTATCCTTCACACTCAAAATTTAATGAATCGAATCCTTCTGTAAGGAGAGGGTACTACATATTGTCAACTTTCCTTGGTGTTTGTTGATAAAGTCAAATCCATATATGAGTGACCACCTATTCATTAGGACCACCTAGCTAATGTGACCACTTCATGGTTGTCCCTTAGATATAATTTTTCCCATTGACACATAGACCAAATTTTATTGGACCCCTGACTGGTCTTCTTGGGCAGGTTTGGACGTCCCTAACCAAAGCTAGATACTCATTTTCACCAGTGTGAAGTGAGGAAAGTAGTTCCATTCAGTGCATACCTGTGATTTAACACAGTACTAGAGATTGTCAACTCTACTTGGTGCTTGTGGCAGAATAGTCCCTGTCAGTGCATACCTGTGACTTAACTACCGCAGGAGGAGACAGACTACTGGTGGTGGTGGCCGTACTCCTGACCTCCTGTGTGGGTGTGGAGGTTGTGGAGCTGTCGCTCTGTTCTCCCACCAGCTCTTTGGCGCGGGGCGTGCTCTGCAGAGGTGCAAGGAAAGTCGAGAAGAACTCCCTTTGTTGCTGGGTGGCGGAAGGAGAGAAGGAGAGAAGCACAGAGGGAGAGGCACACATTAGACACCACGTACAGAAGGTGGGGAGATCACGCACAAGGTTTATAGGTGTTCTACAACAGGGGTACAGTGTCAGGTTCATTGTAGGAGAGGTTACTGTTTACTGCTGCTGGCAAATAAAGAAATAAAGCAGTGGTACAGTGGTAGATATTCACTAATACACATACTGTTATGAATGCCCACACGTCAGCAGAACATACTACACAAACCCAAGAATGCATTGCACTTGGCAAAAGATCTGATTTAAGGTTGTATTTGGATTTTCAAGGAGGATATCCTGTCTATACTTTTCACTTGTTGTACCAGAAAAGATACTGTCTGCAACAAGCAAAATTTTGATTCAACATTGACCAAAAACTGTCAAACATTTGTGCTTCACACTGGCACAGTACATTATGCTGACGTGCTATGAATGCCAAATATACAGGAAGAACAGCACCCAATAAACCCCACCTGCTGCTGCTGCTGCAGTCTCTCCTGCTCGTCTCTCAGCTGCTGCAGCTGCTGGATCCTTTTCTGCTGCGCCTCCCGCTCAGCATCCTGCTTCTGCAACTCTGAGGGGCAAAATGGCATGTCACCTTTGTCATGACCTCTGACCTATCAAGGACTTGGCCTTTGACATGTCAAGACCTTGCAGATCTACATGTACTACTAGTACTACCCACTGCATCTACATCAGGGCTGACACCACCACAGGGTTGATAATTTTGTATCCAATTCATTCAGAGATGTTCAGCTTGAAATTGTACCCTGTCAAAACCTTCCATTAGCATGCTGGCTTACAAAATGTAGTTTTGAGCATCCTATACTAAAAAGTTGCCATTAGCTACATATTCAGCAACAATATTTTACAATTTCAATCTATATTTTAGAACAGAAACTTCAAAAGAGTAAATTCTAACTTCAGACTTCAATCTCTGCAGAACAGAGACTTCATAAGAGTGAGTTCTACAATCCATATTGTGCTTCTGACACAAGTTAGGAGCAATAGGAATCTTCTTGAAGAACACCCTAACCTTGTACTTGTCGCTGTTGTTCTTCACTGAGCACCCCGCTCATTCTCTTCAGGTCAGCCAGCATCAGGCGCTGGGACTCCAGGAACTGGTCATTAGCCAGCTCCCAAGTCTTCTTCAGCTCGGCATGCTTTCTCTTCTCCTCCTCCAGGAGTCTACACACTGGGGAGCAAACACATACAGAACATGATATAGAATAGCGTGTCTGTAGAACAAACTGTGCCTTTGCGAAACCTAAATTTTCCCCAGTTTTTATCAGATGTTTGGTCAAAGTTACATCAGAATTGTGCCCATTGCATTAGACGGGATGTCATCCTTAAATACTCATGTGTATGTATACAACCTTAAAAAAGATGTTCTGTGGAACTGCGGAAGTGCTAGACAAAGTACATTAGAGATATCACACAATCACAGAAAGTTGTGCCAACGTGCTATATCTATAGAATGTATCTACAAGACATTTTGTAACAGACACAGGGCAAAACCACAGCCTACAACATGATGGTGTAGTGTCCTACCATCATGTAGCTCTGAGCGAAGTTTGTCTGCATCCTCCTGTAGTACAGTCTTCTGTGTGTTCAGCACGGCCACATACATCTCCAGGTCTGTGCGAGATGACTTCTCCACCTCCAGGTAGTGGTTCAACTCTCGAACCTGGGGAGAAATTCAAACACACACTGCTTGACTACACTTATTTCTTATAAATTCTCAGTGTAAAGAGCTATATAAACTTTGGTTGACTTTTCATTACCAAGGACATCACCAAATCATGTGCACATCTTCTCATGACTGTTCTTTAGCATCAATGACATCACAGAATCATGTGCACACCTTTTGACTGCTCTTCAGCACCAAGGACATCACAGAATCATGTGCACATGTTCTTTTCACTGTTCCTCAAGAATGTTAAATCAGCAGGTCATGCTTAGCATGTCAGTATATCCTTCAGTGACCATAAGTCATATATTTTGAGCTTCAACAGCAGCTCTAGTATCTGCCAGTAGTTTGTAGAAGACACATTTGTACAATACCCTACCTTTTCTCCCAGATCCTCCCCTTCCTTGAGGAGCACCTCACTAGTACTAGTCTTGATGGGGGTGTCTGCAGTGGAGACTTCCCCAGTCACTGCTGTGGGATCACTCACTGTAGCAGCTCTGGGCTGGAGGTGGGATGGGAAAATGGTCAGTTACACATGTGCAGCACTTTGCTTCTGGCAGCTACTGTATCTTTGTATCATAGTCTCCTTCAGACTAGTATGATTGGCTCAAAAAGCACATTCTGGGTTCTATGGCTTTATGGCATCTGTATGCTACTTCTAAGGAGTGTTGCAGCTCATGACATGTTTGAAACTATTTACATTTTCAAGACCCCTGTTGATGTTCTCCAAAAAGGAAGTACAAAATGACAAATTCTTCACTACAACTGGGATGGTTACTATGGGTCAACTCAAGCTCAAGAGAATAGAGAATGTATTATTCTTGTTTCTTTGTGTGAGTGTTTGCTATGTTGTTTTCATTACAGGTAATACGTGGAACAATTAAAGAGCAAATAATCAAACCAGCTCTAGCAAATAATCAAACCAATAACCCAATACCAGTATACACATATCCATAAAATCCTGAAAACCCTTGAGTCTGCTCCGAGACTATGTTCCCCCTGCCTTACCCGTCCCTCCAGCTCCCTGACTCTGTCCTGACTCAGCCTCAGCTTCTCCTTGAGGGAGGTGATCTCTTTCTCCATCGGCATGACAACGGACCGCAACATCTCCGCCTCCTCCTGAGCCTGATTACACCAATCATCAATCAATCAATGGATCAATCACTATGATTTATCATTGAAGGCATCTTTTCTGTTCCTCTCACTTTATTGATTTTGTCATATGATGTATTTTGGAGTTGAAGATGATTTTACTGCAAGCAAGCATCATAACTAAACAACTTACCCAACGAAAACGCTGGAAATGAAATCAAAATAGAGAAGTTGTTTTGGATTTAATTCAGAATCCACATTTCTTGTAACTTATTCTATCAGTATCATGTATACAGTCACCCAATACATGTACTAAACTGTAACTGTACTGTAGCACAACTTCTCTTAGCAAAACACCTGTCTAACCTAAACCCTGCTGACATGTACCATAACCAACACATTGTACAACTCTGGCACATGGATGATGATAAGAAGTTTAATAAGTTGAGCTTGATAGAACGTAACACCCTCTACATAGTATATTTTGCACTCTTAGAAAAAATAGTCTAGCTTCATAGTACATTTTGCATGTTGAAAAAATAGTCTAGCTTCATAGTACATTTTGCATGTTGAAAAAATAGTCTAGCGTCATAGTACATTTTGCATGTTGAAAAAATAGTCTAGCTTCATAGTACATTTTGCATGTTGAAAAAATAGTCTAGCTTCGTACCATACATGTATTTGCACACAGAAAAAACAGTCTAGCCATCGTACCTTTTTCATGTGTGCCTCGAGGTTTTCATCCTCAGTGCTGAGTGAAGTAGAAGTTGATGTTGTTGTACTGGAGGGGCTGGCTCCCATACTCACCATACGTAGGGACTTGGCTACAGAGGCCAGAACACTCTCTCTGCAACAACATCAACACATGCAGGGCTAGTCAGACTGATGTACATGTGTACTCAGGTGGTACTTAGGTACAATTTGAAGGAAAATTCAAATTTTGCAAGGAAATGAATTGCTAATCCAGCTTCTCTTCAGTTTGTGTTTATTTATCAAACCAGTTGTTATTGTTGTTGTTGTTAGTTATCCTCATCTGAGGTGAAGCATGATATGTATTTTCCATAATCTTAGGTTGTGCAAAGTGACTTTGCTACAGCTTGCGCATATAGGGCTTCAAACCAGTAATTGATGTTAATGTTAAGACAGTCACAAACACACAGTGGGTCTGATAATTTCATTTCTGTAGATAATTGGCACCATGATAATGGATGTTACTATTTTATGGTCAGTTAATGGGAATCACTGCAACTGATGGTCTAACCCATAAAGACAATTTCAAAATTACTTCTTATGAACATCCAGAAAGCCCCAATCGCCTCTACCATCATATTGGCTGTCATGACAAACATTCTGGGGCATCAATAAAATTGAATACAAAATAATGCAACTAAATAAATTCTCTTAAACATGCTTCAAAAGGTAAAATATGTATCACACAATTTTAAGGAGAAATTTCTAAGGAATGTGCACATTCTGACGTCAACACCCAGGAGCAAAGAAACATACCCCCAGTAACACAACACTGTTGATAATTTGTGAAACAATCCACAGCAAAACAACCCACTGACCAAACTTTCCTCGTGTCTTTAAAGGCAGCTTCCAAACAGCAAAAAAAAATATATCCTCTTCATCCATTTTGCAGACATATTTTACAACAATTCCCAGGGTTGTCATCTATATCTTTCCCAGCCCAGGCAGAATTCAGATCTCACTTACAACACATTACGAGGACCACTGCTGCTAATGAACATGATTCATGCCCAACACTTCCTGTAAGGCCTACAGAAAAAAATGTTGTGGTTCCTGTTTCAGTCCTGAAAAAAATTTTGGTTGGTAGGTAGGGATTATCTTTTTTTTTCTTTCTTTTTTTTTATCAGACTTTGGCGATCTCTAGATAGTGATCCAATTCATAGAATACGGTTTTGAAAAGTAAAACATGCATTAGGACACTCATATTTTCAATGTCAATATTGGAAAACCGATTGTACAATGTTTCATCACTCAGGTGGCAGATCATGGACCTAGAAATAGTCGATCAGCTTGAAAAATTTATGTCTCTTAAAGGGGCCCTGAGGCAGTTTTTTGAGCAGTTTTTCTGAGGGCTGGTTGGGAAACAGGAAACAGAGCATTTTTTTCCTAGGCCTAACGTGATTTGTATCACGTCTATCCGTGATACGGACAAGATGTCGGCAGCCAGATGACCAATCACAGGAGGGCTAACAACTCATTTGGGATGACTAATGCATTTGAGTACTCATGATCACTCACACGGGCAAATTTGCACAATTTCACTATCACTAATGACTTTTGGTTTGAGCTATTTTACTAATCTTACCTTAGTTTCTCAGTGAATTACTGAAAATGACTAGTAAAATAAAATAGGATAAATCTATTAGTATGTATTTTTTTTTATTCTTGAACTTAATTATAAATGTGAAGGCTAAAACCCACACAACTGTCTAAATATTCTAGTTTTATGATAGGAAAAGCAAAAATACAATCATAGAGCTCTTCCTAAAACTTTCATAGTCATTACTTCACAGATAAATGATGTTGATACAAAATCAAAAGCATATTTTGGCTGCATGATTACAAACACTGTATTTAATTATTCAGGCCATACAAGTACTAGTAAAAGCAAATAGTTGTAAATGGCCCTTCAGCCTGCCTGCTCACACGGCAGCGCATGTGTACACATGTACATGAAGTGGTTAGGGGTCAATCCATCAACTGCTGAAACTGCACTTGACAATGAAAAATCTCAGAACATCACACCTATACCACATGTTTCCCTCTTTACTGTGTATCAAAATTGAAATCTAGCAATGTCACATTGGGATGGGCCTCAACTCAGCACTATCTATAGGCCTACAAGCCCTCCACACTAAAATCAACCATCAAAATTTATTCTTCAAGTGCAAGCAACGCTATATCAATCAGGTAAGACTAGACTGTGAACTGTGGTTTAGTAATATGTGCTGTGCATTCCAGCCAAAAATGTCCCTTTAAGTAGAAGGGGCTAATAGTGGCTAGTAGCTATTTTCTTACTGTGTGATGACATTGTGTGCTGTAACAGTGTATCATACATCATTGTATTCATATTGCTAAGTACTGTATATATTTATGCTTCATCAAAAACCTTAAACCAAACTTAACACTATTTTTAGAAACAGACAAAACAAACCATAGGTATAGAAGGACACAACAAACAATGGCTAGGTAACTCCTTTCACATAAAAAAAAAATCAATATTTTGTTTTCTATATATCTACTATAAGTTTTTTTGAAACTGTTGAACAAAAATACGACAGAAATACAACTCACTCTTTTGGTTCAGCCATTTTCTCCTTGAGTTCCTGTAGCTGCTGCTCCATCTTCTCCTGGTACCTGGACCAGCGGCTCCGCTCCTCCTCAAACCTGGACTCGTACTTGGAGGCTGTGGCCTGGCTCGCATCACGCGCAGCCTCTGAAACATGGAGATCACACACAGATATGTTGTTGTTCAAGCTCTCTTACATGTACATACCAGATGTCCATGTGTCCCAATCAGCAAAGGCATTGCCAAAAACATGCATCACAATATGTTTTTCTAATACAGATTTTTTTTTTTTCAGTTATTGCCAAGACCTGTTTACTGTTTCCAAATTGAATCTTAACAAGAGTTCCACGATCTCATACCTTCGCCAAATGATGTTAACCCTTGCGGTTGACGAATTATACAATTCTAATCATTGATTTTGCAAATAAGAGCTTCATTTGCATGAATTATATTAATTGATCATATTCTCCACCCAATGACAGCCTTATCTTAACAAAATGGCTATTATAGCACTTCATGATAAATTATGCAAATGAGATCATGATTTGAATAAATTATGTTAATTGGTGTTTGCCTTCACTTAACTTCCAAATGTGTCAAGTATGAAATTCCCAGCAGTTACAACTATTAAATTATAAAAGTGTCCCTAATTATGCAAATTAGGTCTTCATTTACATAATCTATATTCTCAAATGTTTTTTCGTTCTCAATTACATGTCACAAGTGTTTCATAGTCCTATTATCGAACAAAGCAGATTTATAAAACTTCCTCATTAATTATGCAAATTAGCTCCTGATTTGCATAATTGTCATCTGATTACGTCAACCATCACTTCAGCTACCTACATACCAAAAATCATGACAATCCGTCAACCGGTTCTTGAGTTATCCTCCTTCGAAAATTTTTCAACAAATGCTCCTGCAGTTCCAAAACAAGCCGCTAGGGGGCCCAAACTCATGTCATTTCTTCCCTACTCCAAGAGCTATCTACCAACTAAAATTCGTGACCCTAGCATGTCCAGATGGCGAGATATCAAAACCGGAAGTTCTGCTGCAGTACCTAGGAAAGCCGCCAGGGGGCCCAAAATCTAATCATTTCTAGCTCTCATTAAGACCTACCCACCTACCAAGTTTCATGGCAATGCATATTAAGCTTCTTGAGTTATGCTGTTCACAAACAGACAGACAAACGCTACTGAAAACATAACCTTCTTGGCGAAGGTAATTAGCTACGACATTTAAGATTTAGCATCTGTCAGAATCCCATCCAATTTGTAACAGGGCTTCTTGGTCCTTTTTCTGCAAGCAACTACAAATTGAATTGCCCCCATGATATTAAATATCACTATTACATACTGATTTATTTGCTTTATAAATTCATCATATTTAGCAACATTTTCTTTGGAAGTAAAACATGAATTTAACATTGAATATCTTTTCCAACCTTTTGACAAGATCCATCCAAAATTCTCACACAGTCACATTGTCACACTGCAACAGAAGGTTAAACAAAACTAACCTTTCATGATGGCCTGTAGAGAAGCGATCTCCTCCTGACATTTCCGTCTGATCTCGTCCACCTCGTCCTGTTTGGTCGTCTCCAGGATCGTGGCGGCTGTCTTCAGGTCATCGACCTCTAACTGCAGAGTCTGTACCTGTTTCTGTAGAGAGTCGACAGTCTGCTGGTATTCACCTCGCTTCTGATGCTCCTTACGAAGCTCCTCTGTACCAGGGAAAAAAGTGAAGCAGTCATCCTTAACTGAGGTGAAGCATGATGCTTTTGAACTGGCTACAACTTAGTACAAGTACAGCATTATTTGCTAACAGCTGCCAACAGGGACAGGATTGTTAATCATCAGTTATTTGTTGCTTGGGTATCTTTTTACAAAGTACCTTGCACAAACATGCAGATTAATTTTCATGATGATATAAGCATTATTGGCTCTACAACTGAGGCACATAAAAATAGAAGAAATAGATTGATATATTTTGGACATAAAGTTGTATCAAAATTGTATTCATTGAATAGAAAAAGAGTTGGTTTCATAGATTTCCATGTACATTTGCAACATAATGCACCTGGTACAGCACAGCTTGCACAGCTTGTGAATTGTTTTGCCTATCACTATGATCAAACATATGGTATAATATGCAAACATAACATGGCACACTTTGTGCTTTCAACATAGCATGCTTAGATTTCTTTTTTGCCTTTTGCCACAGAACCAGCTTACATTTCAGGTTATTTAGTTAACCACCTAGTCATAGCCTTGAAAAAAGTACTCATGTCTATGTTGTTTTCCAACATGACTAACAAGTGGCAGCAAGGTTGCAAGGTTGTTGTGATGAATATGCATGTGGAGCCTTGATTGGTCTGGGTCGGCCATGGGTTGTCTAACTTACAATTCACGTACCTTCTATGGAAAATATCTGGCAGTGACAGCATATATTTTTGGAAAATATCAGGCATTGAGAGTAGATATTCTCTTTGTCACAGGGAATTTAAAAAGAATTTGACAACCAAAATTTAACTATGGAGTGTTGTGTTCTCCTATATGAATGTCAGGTCAAATTTTATAGGTATATTTTTAAGTTGGAGTTTAGCAAACCTCAACTCCTATCACTGTATTTCATTACCTTTTGCCTGCTACCTACTAGTATTAATCCAGTAATTTAGAGAAACAGTGGCCAAATGACTACTTCAGTGTGCTAAAGGTTAACATCATCAACAACTGTCTGGGTCCCTTCAAAACATGCAAATGTGGATGTCCTCTTAGTGCCCCATCCAAAGGACTGTAACTCCTACCAGTAACATGCAAACTCGTGTATGGGTAGCCCCAAGCCTACTGACCCAAGGATTGATAGCATCTGAGCCACACATGCTGCATCGGCCCAAAGTCTGTAGTACCTTTGATTGGGTTGCTTACTTTGCCTTTTGAACTTTTGAATGTCAACATAATGTGCCAAGCACCTCTTCCAAGAAAACCTAGATTCAACCACTTCCTTGCAATTGTCCCAAAAGTGACGTTGTTGAGCTAGCTTTGGTTCACAAGAAAAATTTAAATAAAGGAGTGACGAAAAACAAGAAAATTTCCAAAGACCGATTCCCATTTTTTACAAAACCCCTCCGGACCGGCCTTACTGGCACCGCCCACATTTCCGATCATGATGACATCATCACTAACATGACCTGCAAAAAACATACGACAGAAACAATATTCACAAAATCTGAAAACGCAAAGAAGAGAACTAAAGTTTGGAAAATATCTTACCTTCCTTGGCGAGAAAAATCTCCTTGAATTTTCCTCTCTTCTGGGCAAAATCTTTTTCCATCTCATTTTTCTCCTTCTGTAGCTCTTCGACCCTCGAACGTAGAGAGTCGACGTCGACTGTAAATACATAAATAATTGTTTATTTTTGGTAAAAACTACAAAACAGACGATTACAGTAGACGTTTGGAAGTGTTAGTTACCTGTTTCACTGTTCTCTTGCTCCATGTTGTTCTGTTTTTGCCCGTTTTCGGTCTTTGTTCAGAGAAATATCGATTCGGAATAGTCTGAGTCGGCCATACTGGATGACACTACTGCGCATGTTGTAATAGCCAGGGTATTCCACTGCAAAATCTAGGTAAAATAGAAACCATTTTACAACTTCAACACAATATTTTATGTATCTAAATACTTCAAATGCAATAGAACTATCTATAGATCATTTTATTAGTTGTGAGGGCTATTTTTTTCGATTACGCGAAGTTTTGTTGGTATCTATCACTGTCTCCATTTAACATCTCCCCCGACAATTATGGTATAACCCGATCAAAAGCAGAGGAAGCCAAGAAAGAAACAGAAGATATAGACTTTGATTTTGATCGATAAAACGTTTAATTTTCCAGATGGGGAAACGAAAGGACGCCGCTGCCGAAGAGGAAGTCAAAAGAGGTACCAAGAAACGTTTCATATATTCCTTAACTAGTGGAGAATAGTGTAAAGGTTTACAAGACCTCAGCTATGTAACTTTGGACGATGGGAGGGGGGCTAATCTCCAAGCAGATCCTAAGGTGGCAAGACAGTATATTAGGTGGCCAATGGATACTGTCTTGCCTACTGCGTAGGATTTGCTTGGAGATTAGAAGGGGCTACACTAAGAAAGCTGACCTTACGAAATTTGCAGTACTTATTGTTGCCTCAGCAAAGTTTCTATAATATGTGTTTCTTGGAACATATTTTAGCAGAGTCCCCAGTTGATGAGGGCGGCCACAGGAAGAAACACAAGAAGAAACATAAGAAGCACAGGAAGAAGGAGTACACAGCCGAACTGTCGTCTGAGACATGCACGAGTGACTCCACAGGACAGCCGCAACTCAAGCTCAAAATCAAGATAGGTTAGATATGCTGTTTTTCTTCAAGATTTGGGGCATATCTTCAGAAGGGATAAAAAAATATATATTTTTCAGGAATGAGCCTGACAATGCGTATGTTTAGTAGATTTTACGAAAATGGAATAATTCAGAACGATCATCAACAGTTTGTCCAGAGGAATGGATATTTTGTTGTTGTTGTTGTTACAATACATCCATACATTTTTACTTCCAGGTGGTATGACTCTTGGCACCAAGAACATCCCCAAGATTGCGACACCCGAGGACAGCAGTGAGGGAGAGGCCTCCAAGCAGTGGGAAGGTAGACTTAACTTTTACTACTAATGTGCTTCAAGAATGACAATGTCTCAGGTCTGTTGCAGTGTTCTCTTCTCAAGATTTGCTTCCCACACAGTGCATCAGTCTATCTTCAGGTGAAAAAAAATGTCTACCAATATTGTATGGTATTGTATTGTATTGACAGACGGATGGATGGATGGACTGACAGATTGATTGATTGATTGACAGATGAAGACAGTACCCAGCCCCCTGATGAGGCCCAGCCCAGCATCACTCAGAAGGAGGCAGATGAGAAGGAGGAGGAGGAGTGGCTGGAGGCTCTGGAGAAGGGAGAACTTGACGACAATGGGGAGCTGAAGAAGATGAGGGACCCCGCCCTGCTCACAGCCAGACAAAGGTATAGCTTTCTCTCTTGCTATTTCCATGGCAAATGCTCACCGGAACTTCAGTCGCTTGTGTTGTTCCCCCACTTCGCCGCCAGGACATGTTTTGACACTACTACAGAAGCAAATCACCCTTTCTTCCTCCATACTCCATCTCTCAGGAGAAAGTTCCATGCTGAAAGCTCTTTCCTAGAACTACATCACCATGGAACAAGCTTCCTTATGAATGCTTCCCAAACATAGACTTTCATACAGAAGTGAATCAGTATCAAATACATGAATACAAGTTTGTATCAATAATTATTGCATGTACATATTTGGCTTTAGAAACATCAGTTGGACTGAGTACCAAGGAACTGATCAGTGTGTAATTTTTTTTTATCCCTTCAGAGCCTTGAGATATGGGACCCCTGAAGCCACCCAACATCTACTGGAACTTCCCTCTGGGTACAAACCAAAGGAAGAAACAGAAGAAATGATTCAGAAAAGGAGGCAACGAGCCCAGAAGCGGAGAATGCAGGCTGCCAAGAAGAATGAAGAAAGCAAGAAAAAGACGGTAGAGAGACTACTGAAGCGAGAGGCAACGAAACAAAAGCAACAGAAGGCTAAAACTCTCCGCAGTAAGGGACATATCCCCATTGTGACTTACATCAACAGCCATGATAGAGTGACACTATCTTTCCCACCGGGTGTGACCTGCCCTTTGACCCCACAGGTCGCGACCCCACCTCCCAAACCTCAGCAGAAATGCGGAGTTCCCGGCTGTACCAACAAGAAGAGATATTCCTGTTCTAAGACTGGTGTTCCTCTCTGTAGCTTAGAGTGTTACAGAAAGAACAAAAAGAGCCATGGCTTGGCATAAGAACATCAGTATTTGTATCATGAATCTAATAAGAGATGATCATTTTGTATATACATGTACATGATGTATAGTTATTCATAGTGACAGAACACTGACTATGTTTTTAGTGTGATGATGATAACTTTCTAGAGTTTGTACCTTGTAAGCTGTGTGTTTTGGATATCATAATACAACATATATGACATCGACCTACTGTTTGAATATGTACTATTCATTGTAGAACATTTTGTATCCTTACTTTACCATAATATATAAGAAAGACTACCAGCATGGAAAGACAAAAATGTGAATTCCATTTCCATGCTGTTAAGTATTATGTATTTCACCAAAACTGCATTAACCTCCACCAGTACATGCAACTAGACTACCCTGGTAGTTTTGGGCACTATCTAACCCATCAAAACGTTTGAACCCTTTTCTAAAACAGCTCTAGAATTGTTATTAAAATCCACAGAAAAAGCACAAGGCCATAGGGGTTACTACAGAGCAAGAATATGATCAGCTGTGCATCAAGCATGCAGACCAATTATAACAGCACCAGCTTAAAGTCACCAACCAATATGGGCAGAATTCTCGTCGGGTTTGTGTATGATATCAGGTTGCCCACAGGATAGGTGTTGATGAAGAATGTGACAAAGATTATTATCTTAGCAACTGTGTGACTGTCGGTGGTATTGTCACTATGAACAGCTTAATTTTTTTTTACAAAAACATTGTGTTTATACTCCTCCACAATTATTTATTCATTGGAAACTTGAGCAACTTGAGTTGAAAGCCAGCCAACTACCCTCAGGCCCAACACCCCAGTAGCAGCGATTTAGATAGACGGGTGTTACCGCTCTGGGCCATAGAGGGAAACTGGCTAGCAGTCCGATCATCAGTCTGGCTCCCAGAGTAGTGAAAACAGGGCGTCCGGAAGTCATTTCGTGAATAGTACAGGTAGAAATGTTAGTTTCTTTGCAGTCAGAATAATTGGGAATTCAGCACCAAGGCTAGGAACACAGTGTGAAACAACGTGTAAAAAAATCATACCATCACGTCGGCTCCAGTCTAATTTGTGCATTTTAATCTTTGCATCCGAAGTGACCTAGAGTACTACCAGGAAACAAATGACTAATGCAAAATAAGTTACGTGGGTGGATACGACAACTCTTCATGCATTAAAACATTACTATATAGACGGAGGCAGCAGGTTGTTACGCCAGCAGTTCTGATTTGATTCGAAAACGCCTCTTGTGTCTAGACTCTAAACACGCTTTCTTCTGCGGTGTATCTGTTCCTCCGGGTTATCTAAGTCGTAGAAATTCAACTCCACAGCCCAAGCGTCAGAATATCAGTTTTTTGTGTGAAAGTTTTGGAGGTCATGGCGGCGGCTCGGCTCTTCGCTGTGTTCGTTATACTGTGGCATGCAGTAGTGCTGCCGCCTTTTGCGCTCGGAAACGGGAACTACAGCTGCGAAATATTCTGTGATAGAGGTTTAACAGGTAGGACTTTATTTTCACAATCTTCGATAAGTCAGTGGGTAATATATTTCTGCTGAAACGTGCAGAAAATCGGCTCACTTTTTCCAGCGCCATTTTCTGAATCTGGCCTGGTGCAAAGGCGTCATGGCACGTTGCGTAAGGCCAACTACTAAAGGTGGCGCATTTCGGTAACATCGTGTGAAGTGTTCTCAGTACATTTTGTTTTCTACATCTATTCATAATAATTATAGGCGTGATTTGTTTAAGGTCCCTCTTTTTAATAGAATCCTAAGCTTTTCGGACTTATTTTAATGGTCTCTCTTACATCAAATGTTCCTGAATTTTTCAGATCTGAATGACGTCGTGGCCGGAAAGTCTCCTTGTCTGAATTTCGACGGGAACAAACTGACGACAGTCTCTGGCTATCTCTCCTTCTCGCCGTGGGTAGAGATTCTGATCCTGTCGAACAACCAGATCTCACTGGTGGAGGAAAACTCACTTCTCTTCATGGACAGACTCACCAGCTTAGATCTGAGTCACAACAGGTGAGTCGACCTACATGTATTATAGGATAACAGATTCAGTGTAGACTTGGTATCACAAAATAGATTTGATGACAGAAGCTCGTGCCAACTGTTCTTGCGTGGGGCTTAAAATACAAGCAACTTTTGATAAGGATTTATTACTGTAGATATAGGCACTTCATCCGCCAATATTTTCACAACAGAAGAGGTTAGATAATTATATACATATTTCAAAACAGTTTGTCGGTGGTATGACAATATGCCAACATATTAATTTCGGTTGATAACGTTTATAAACGTTACCAACTTTACCCGCTTTGGAGTCTACCGAGCACGAATGGAATGACTGGAAATCTGGATATGTTTACGGGGTAAATGAATGTCATCGTACACACAGCCCTGTTTCTGCATGTATTTATTAATACAGGAAGAAAGCGAGACAATTTCTACATTTGTTGTGAGTTATGACTATTTATTCAGGTTACCGGCCATCATGTGACGCGGTGTCAACCCAGACTAATTTTGTACCGCACGTATTACGTGATCGCTCCTGAAGGCATTGCCCTCTCTGCCGGGCACTTTTATAATAGTTGAATATTTAGCACAGCTATCATGTTGAAAACATATTTCATGCCTAGAGTTAGTAGAGGTACTTTTCCTGCTTTCAAAATTGCTACGCCGGTACGTTCTCGTAAAGAAATTAAGAATTATACAACATGAAATCACAAAGACAGTCTACTGTCGTAGATTGGCCAACTTTACATGTTACCGTAGTGTTCTGCCATGCCTTGTCAGCAGGACAAGCCCTTTGTAATAGCCACTGGCTAGTTGGGCTGCACTGGCTGTGAGGGTTGAACAGCCAAACCAATAAATACCTTGTAAATACAGTTTTTAATTTAGCTCATACTGATTCCTGTCCTTCACCCCCAGACTGCAGACTTTTCCATGGAACGTGTCCCTTTCCAATCTGACGTCACTCTTGCTGACGTTTAACCAGCTGACGTCACTCCCGACTGAGACTGCACTGGGAACGAGCCTTCACGTCCTGAACTTGGCATATAACAACCTCACCTCTGTCCCAGGACACCTATTCTTCAAGCATGTCATGATGGTGGCATTAAAAGGTGGGCATTCAACTGACATTTTCTTCCGCACAAACGATTATTTGTTGGAAAGATTATTCATTTTTTCTTAACTTCTTAACCTTATTCTCCAACCACCTATTTTGCCAGGCTTTGAAAATTTTGACTTGAAGTTTGATTGTTGTCGGCAAAGAAAAAGACACGCTTTTTGACTTACATGTATAGGACACAAAAACACAGAACAATCGTATTGTGCTATACATTTGTATCTGTATAGCCGGTACAACCAACCGTCCTTCGGCGTAACAGACCAGCTTTGCAGGCACGCGGCGCAGCGGCAGCTGGCTAGAATACACCGAATGACTTGTTACACCTAACCTTTGAACATCTAACTCTAAACATAGTTTAATGCTATCCAATGATAATGCCCCTACTGTACTTAGTGACAGCGAGTTCCACTCTGCGATAGGTCTAGGAAAGAATGAGTATTGGCTAATTCCCCACCCCCGTCATTCAGGCAATCCCTGGCACTGTGACTGTCGGCTGACAGTGTTACAGGACTGGCTACTTCTGCGCTACCACCCTGACGCAACGTGTGAGTCATCCTACGTAAGAGATGACGGTAAGTTGTCCTTAGTCTCACTCACTCACTCACTCACTCACTCACTCACTCACTCACTCACTCACTCACCCACTCATCACTCACTCACTCACTCATTCACTCACTCACTCACTCACTCACCCACTCACTCACTCGCTCACTCACTCACTCACTCACTCACTCACTCACTCACTCACTCACTCACTCATTCACTCACCCACTCACTCACTGACTCACTCACTCACTCACTCACTCACTCACTCTCATCCATTACATAGCTTGTAATGGATACAGTGTAGTAAGTTGTCCGCTCTCTCGCAATCATTGATACATGATCACGAAAATTCATTTGTTGAGTGAAAAGTCATATTGTTGAATAGCCATTTTGCCTCTCAACATTGTCTCTCATAGCCTGGGTGCCATCCTCCGTAGTATTCGCCCGCTCCCTAATGTCGCTAGCTACCACGAATACTAGTAATACGGAGAATGGCACCCAGGCTATGTCTCTCACGGTTTTCACTGCAGAAATAGACGAAAAAAATAGATTTTCACCTGTGTTTTTATTAATATCGTTGAATAGGTTCATCAGTCACATATAGTTTTTATATAATAATTTTCATTTGCTATGGCAACTTTTTACAGAGGAAAACGGAAGCGTTGGTCCCGAGCCCATCAGCCAGTGCGCGGGGAGTGGGGATATCCCTTGGATGTTCGATCCGCCATCTTGCGTCACACCTGCGCGCCTACAGGACCAGTGTGTCCATGGCGGGAACTTCTGCGTGAGTATTATTAGTAGTTCCTTCCTCTGGACTTTTTCTGATTAAACTAAAAAAAAATGCAAATAGAGCAAGTTTCTGTTAGTGAGCAGTGATAACAAAATAACTTTTCAACTATTTTGTACTATTTGAAATATCTGTATCAGTATAACCGGTATAACCGTCCTTCGGCGTAACACACCAGCTTCGCAGGCACGCGGCGCGGCGACGAGACTTGCCAGACAGTCATCATAAAAATGGTGTTGGGTATCAAAGAGAAGAAGAAGATGATGATGATACTACTAGTCTAAAAGTTTGCAGACAGGTTTATCTTTTATTTTTTTAGCCAAGATTTTAAGTGTTTTCTGTCTCTTTAGGAGGGCAGCTGTCACGGTAAAATGCCGCCATATGAAGTGACCCCAGGTCTCAACAACCATATCATGGTCCGCGTGGGGAAAGGTTTGGTGCTGAAGTGTGCTTCACCAACAAACGAGGACGGGGGTTTGGCAGAATGGTTCCACGCAAGAGCAGGTCGGATAAATGTTCCCGGTCAGTCGTTCTGCACAGACGAGCAAGGAAACCTCGTCATGAAGAACATTCGGGCTGGCGACGCCGGTATCTACATCTGCGCGTCACGTCACGCACTTACGCTGCAGGGTTACGTGAACGTCACTGTTCTCGACAACGTCGAACGGGAAACACCTTTCTGGGACCCGAACTTTACAATAAGTGTAACCACTGACGCAGTCAACGTACATCCCAAATCATCACCTCAACCGATGTTCTCTACACATCCGCCAAACGATACGAAGGATTCCGCGCGTGTCCATAGCAACATCACCGCGGACACGCCCATATATGGGCCGACCGTACCAACACGTTCGGAACGAGAGGGGGTGATCGAACTGACGGTGAGTGGCGTGTCCAGCTCCGCGGCGACGGTAAGGTGGGTGACGCCGCCTCACCTGCGGGGCTCGTTCCTGAGGCTGTTCTACCACGAGAGGCAGGAGGGGGAGACCGGGAGGATCTGGATGGACAAGGAGCAGAGGAGCGTTCTCATCAAGCCGGGATTCAGGTACGGTTGGGACTTCTACGTACATGTATACCTGCTTAAATGTAATCACAGTACTCCGAGTTCCACTTGTGTGTGCAGCGTTATCAAAAGTCTACAGGAATCTGGTCGTAATCTCCAAGCAGATCTTTCGGTGGCTGCAAAGACAGTATCAAATTGGCCAGACAGTTACGATTTGTCACCCGTGGCTGGCGTAAAAAAAAGATACCAGTACAAAAAACAAAGACCGATTAAAACGCCCAAAACACGCCAAAAATATCAGTAAGCCGAAGCCTACACCTCTGCTTGGAGAGTAATACGTCCGCAAACTTTTAGCGTACCCATTTCTACTCTTTGCAGTCGCCTCTCTGAAGCTTGGTAGAGGCTAGTCCGATACTGCTGTCTTTGTCACTTTGTAATTTGCTTTATCACTGTGTTTATACCTTTTCCCTCATCCATCTCTCTGCAGGAGACACCAGCTGCTGCGTCTCCAGGCCAGCACGTGTTATGTGGTCTGTATCTCCTCCCACACCCTGCCCGGGCCGGACGAGTGCGCGCGGTTCCGTACCGGAGCCTCGGGACTCAGCCCGCTGTACCTCACCGTCATACCCGTCCCTCTGGTCGGGCTGCTCGCGCTCGGCTGCTACGTCAAGATCAGGAACAAGAGGAGGCAGATCAGGCGACAGTATCTCAACCCCTTCCAGGTCAGTACGTACGTTGCGGCACTTACGGCGTGGTCACATTCCATCGAAGGTCGTTGTACGATTTTTATGTCGTAGGATTTTTCAAGCAAACGCTGTGACGTAACCAACCGCCGACGAGGATCTAAGATAGCGTTGTCGGTACCAAATTTTCATACTACGACTATCCAATTGCAAGTGCCCTCAGTTAGTGACTGTATGACGATCGCCCTCTTATGTCCTTACTGATGTGTCTATGTAGGCCATGTTTAAATATACTGATTTTGGTACACTTTTAATTTGTAACAGCAACGTTTGTTTTACTTCATTATAAGTTTATATCAAGCGTTATGGACGCCATTTCAAGTTATCTCCCGACCATTTTCTTGCCAAAAATACACACATGCATCTTAACTGCCACTTATGCTCTGTTAAACCATGTTTCCAACAGACGCTTGCTGAGAACACGTGGAACAGCCTGTCGCTGTTCGGCCCGGGTGTTGACGCCGTCAGTCTGCGGCGCTCCGCCGGCGACTACCACATATACGCCGTCCCGAACGACGACGCCTACGATGACGTATGCGACGTCGTCTTAGACCCCGGCTCCAGCGCTGCCAGCTACCACCCGAGGCCCTCCTACCCATGTACAGATGCGCAGGAGCCCATCTACGCCCGCGCGTGCACGGTTAAGAAGACTGTCAGAGAGGGACGTCGGTCTACAAACACGAACGCGGCTGGCAAGATTCTACTCCGGCGTGGCTCTGGGTCTTACGAGAAGGCTTGCAGCGTGACGCTGCCCATGTTTAAGATCCCGCTCCCTAAAACAGACCCCAGCGAAGCTGGCAGTGTGTCTCTAAACAGCGTCTACACCAGAGCGTGCAGCGTCCGCTCCTCCTACGCCGATCCTTCGTCTTCTCAGAGCATCGTGGGTCAGCATGACGGCATGAGGGGGAAGGCTTCTTCCGGGTACCTGTACGTCAGTCCTGTCGACGTCAGCAGAACACGTGTGCGAGGAATAGAGGACTCTTCAACAACCCCACAGGACCGCATTTTTGTCGACGTCAGCACGGAGTCTCTTGCGTCATCGGATGACGTGAGCATACCCGGTTGGGAAGAGGAAGAACAGGCTGGTTACATGCAGGTTGGCACACCGTTCCGCGACTTCGCAAGGGGCGATGCAACATTCTCAAATCGCCCAGTTAGCTGGTAGCTATTGTGAAAGCAGCTGCTGTAATATAACTGAGAAGTTAAGGATTGATTAGACCAGTCTTGTATAAGTAATTGGTAGAAGAAACCGTGCATCATTTGCGCACAAAACTGCTATTAATGTTACGCACAAAATTGATGTTTCAAAGACTTTTATTTCGTTGAGCCAGAATAATTTATAGCATCTGCACATAAATGCAATATAGATCTTTCTATCCAAACAGACAAACGAGATTATTTACATGATGCTGAAACTGTCATGCCGATAAGTCATCTACTTAAGCTTAGCGGGATGATAATGAAAAGGTATTCTGTATTATTTTATCCAATCGCACAAATTTGATTCGACAAGAGATATTTTCTTGTACATCAAACGCAAGTCGAAACCAAAAGACTGCAGTGACCCTCACCCTCAAAACGGGTAATCGCGTGATCAAAACACGTGAACTACTTGTAGAGTTTTCTGTAATACTAGTACATATATTTTACTCTATACATATAATGCACGCGTAAATTACTATAACACAATATTGACAATGACTGCCTGCACATAGTGTTGCGCTCTTTTCTTACATATTGATGTATAATTTATTGTTATGTGATATGATACGTGCACTAACGTATGCAACATTAAACCCTGTAAGGAACCAGCCACACGAAAATGATCTGCCTCTCAGCATAATTGAAAGACTTGCTTTACAAAGGAGTTACTCGTCCACACAGCAGGTCTGGGCTGTCGCCGGGCAATGAAACCACACTTTGAATTATTAATGAAAGGGTGTGGTGAACACATATCAACGTCCTTTTCAAACTGCGTTTCATTCATTTTGGTAAATGGACTCCTACCCAATATTGTGCTCCTACTTAATTCTAAAGCGCACAAAATAAGCAGTAAGTGTTGTAGATATTTTTGCCATCCAAACATTCTAGAATACTAATTTCTTATGTCGTAAATACATATATAATTTTTTCTTTAAAATGCAATTCTGTAATAAACTCTGTATTGTATCACCAACTTAAATGTATATATACACATTGACATAAAGTGCTTATAATAAAGATACTGTAAAGAGCCGTCATCACAACACGAGTACATGTAGCTCTAGGAGATGCTATTTGTGTAACAAAGGAATGTTAACGCACAATTCGAATAAACAACAACAATTTTGAGGTATGTACATACGAAATTGTATCAATTCAGATAAAATTTAATACTGCGATCAAGAAGAAAAGGGATTACTTTTCTAACTTCTTTGATCGGGTCAAAACGCGTAAACATTTTTTTAGCGCACAGCGTAACTGCCAACATGCTAATCTCCAAGCAGATCCTACGATGGTAGGACAGTATCCATTGGACAGAGGAGTGTCCATTAGCTACGAAGGCTGCGGGTGGTAATGGACACTCCCCTGGCCAATGGATACTAGTGCTGACTTGGACATTTCTCTGGCCAATGGATACTGTCTTGCACTCTCCCCTGGCCAATGGATACTAGTGCTGCCTTTGACAATTCTCTGGCTAATGGATACTGTCTTGGACATTCCTCTGGCCAATGGATACTGCCTTGCCACCGTAGGTTCTCTTGGAGATTACCCACATGCCCCCCTCCCCACCGACCGTTCCTACGGAATAGAGGGCATGTTGGTGTTGTCGACCTGGACACTGATGAACATGGTGTTGTCCCTGATGTAGTCCCCCCGGTGCAGCTGGGAGAGCGGACAGAACATCTGTGTGCCGAAACTCGGGTTCCTCTCGTGCGTGGGCCGGCCCAGGAACTGGATGTTGTCCTGAGAAAAAGGAGAAACCAAAATTAAGGCCTATTCAATTTCAAAAACTAGAACATACGCTGTTGCAAAGCGTGCTTCAAATATGCAAGCAGCTCTTCCTTCCCGGCGATGCAATTTGTCAATAAAAGTTTTTACACTGTTATTAACAAGTTAGTAACAAATTACACTAAGGCTGATTTACGATATTCTTCGTAACATTAACTCATTTGACTCTAATTTAGCACTCACTGACAACACAGCAAAGAGGCGAAACGACAAGTCGAAAAGATCACACTTTTCGTAAACGAAGCTTGTAAAGAAAGCCACACGCGGTATTTGCACAATATCATCTTGCCTTACCACTGTATACTGGTTATGAATCAGTATTGCAGTGGAAAAGAGAGACCAATTAGTCAACTGAACCTTTGTCACCAGAGGTACAAGTTTTTACAAGTGTATCAAGAAAAAGGAATTACATTAAGGCTTGTCTATCATATTCGTCGTAAAATGCGTTAAGAACTGAAATAGCTATAGATAGATCCGGATCGAACACATCGAACCCCAACATGTTCTATTTCGAACACCTTGGGGTTCGATCGAACACCTCGCGGTTCGATGTGTTCGATCCGGATCGTTCTGTTCTGTTGTTCTGTTATTCCTTCTCCGTACCTTGCAGGTGTTGGGCTTCATGACGTACAGGATGTTCTTCCTGGCGGCCGGGTCCTGACACTGGTCGATCACGGTGATTGTCACCTTCTGGGCGAACGGCCAGGGGAGCAGCGCGTCAAACTCTCCTCTGATGATGCACATGAACATCGACATGTACTTCCCTTTTCCTGTGGATGAAGTGAATGAATGAGTGAGTGAGTGAGTGAGTGAGTGAGTGAGTGAGTGAGTGAGTGAGTGAAGAGAGTGACAGCAATGACAGCAATGATAATTTAGGCGGCCGTAGCTGGCTTTATTACACCGAACGACTTGTTACACCTAACCCTTGAACATCCACATCTAGCATTGTTTAAAGCTGTCTGGGGATGATGCCCCAACTCTACTTGGTGGCAGCGAGTTTTACTCCAAACTAGTTTTTGAACACCTCAATCACTGGTTGAGAATTCCCTGCCCGGGTCCTACCCACCTTGCCCGTCTCCGTTGGGGCAGATGGAAATCGCCATCTTGTATCCGTATCTGCTGGTGAGGAACATGGGGCTGTATAACGACACCCTCCTGCCCGCCTTGGCGTCGGCAAACTTCTCGTTATAGCTGGTGATCTTCCACAGGAGCTGGCAGCCGTTCACTTTGTCCATGCTCCCGACGTTACCCTGGGAAAAAACAAGGAAGAAACAGGCATGGGTATTAAAGTAGCGTTAAACTCTAACAGGCTTCAAAGGCAGCTGGAAAGAGTAGAAATTGGTCAAATAGACAGAAAACATGCCAGGAGTACAGTTGTCCACTCCCGAAGTGACGTTACAATCGTTGTATAACTCATGCATATAACAGAGAAGCAAACTTCAAAACAATTGGCTATGATAGATTCTTTTGCTATCGATATTCAGCACAATTATAGTCCTTTTGTAATAGATTAATGGGAAAACAATGAAGAGTCAAAATGCCAACTTAGCCAGTGAGGAAACCGTAAGTCACCATTTGACCACAACAAGACCACAGTTGTTACCTGCATAGCCTCGAGTGTGAGTGAGCTATCTACGAGCATCCCGTGCTGGCTGGCGAGTCGGCGGTCGTTCGCCATGACCATGCCCACCGTCAGCTCCAGGTGATCGGTGAAACGTGCTTCTTGGTGCACCGGCATGTGCTCCCTCTTCGCCTAGTGGTAGGTAATTAATGCACTTCATCTCATTTTTATGTTTACCGAAGGAAAACATTGTTTTTGCTCAGTTTCCTCTTCTTCTCCACCTGGTCAATGATCTGAACCAGACTGTCTCTCACCATGGTAACTGGTGTTACAAATTGATAGTAGTAAGGATTTAGCCTCCTGTCACCATATATGTGAATGTGGTTGAGTAAGAATTAACAGAGCAGACCATATGCGAAGGTAATTATGCTAGTTTTTGTTAATTTTATTACTAAATCCATGGATCTGTCCTTGGTGCTGATGCCTCGAGTGTGATACGAAGAGGCGCACGTTCCCAACATCCTCGTCTTATTTTGAGTCTAACGTCTTATTTGTTCTCTGGGTGCTTACTGCTCAAGGAAAAAGAGGTAGGGGAAGGCCCAGAGTTACCTATTCAGACAAAGTGATACAAACCAATGAGCTACAAAGGATCATGTTTGGCAAATTCTTTGGGGGAGAGACTTTCTTGATTGGTTCGAGCGGGAGCTCGAATTATGTGCGGCACACAACACCAGCAACAGCTGCCTGTGTTCCACGCGTATTGTACTGTTACAATTCCAACAAATTAAATCAAATAAGTAAGTATTATTTACAACACATGTACTATCAGTGAGATAAGGGGTTGAGGGTACGTACCTCGAATGCGCAGCCAACACCGGCGAAAGGGCAGTCGATGACCGCTTTGGGGCACTCCCTGGCCGAGTGGTACACGAGCTGGAGGAACGAGAGGGTGAAACACACGTATTAATGCGAGATAACGCGTCGGGAAGGTCATATTAGGATCACTCACTCACTCACTCACTCAGCCACTCACTCACTCACTCGCTCACTCACACTCACTCACTCACTCACTCACTCACTCACTCACTCACTCACTCACTCACTCACTCACTCACTCACTCACTACTCACTCACTCACTCACTCACTCACTCAGTTCCGTAGCTAGTAGCTGTGGGGACAGTCAGACAGTCCACAAAATTCCTCTCATGATAACGGTACGAAACAGTAAGTTTAACTCCACAATTTTTCATCAATGGTACTACTATTAGTATCCCTTTTTCTATGCTTGTTCAACATAGCAGTGGATTTGCTATTTAACATTAGACAACCACTAATACTAGTTCGACATTCTCCTCACCTCCTCTCTCGGCAGCTCCTTGGCGTCACAGCCATTCGGACAGGACATGGGGAACTTGGGACACACCTAGGAAGGGGCGATCGGTAGAGTTAGATTTTTAATTGTAGTAATGCAATAATAGTCATCCCCTCGTCACACTCAGAACTCTTCAGTGACCAAACTTCCCTGGCTAATGATTACTCCTATTTGGCTGAATTTTACTGTTTTTTAACCCACGGTGGGGCTAATTAATGTCCCATGATAATGTTCCTAGAGAAACTCTGACCTTGAGGTGTTCTATCTCGTCCTGCTGCTTCTTGTGATATTTTTAGATGTTTTGTGTATACGTGTGTTTGTCAATATGAGCCATCTCGAGCCTGAAATAAAAAATAAACGCTCGAGAAACTGTGACCTTGAGGTGTTCTATCTCGTCCTCCTACTGCTTCTTGTGATATTTTTAGATGTGTTTGTGTATACGTGTGTTTGTCAATATGAAAGCCTGAAATAAACAATAAACGCTAGAGAAACAATGACCTTGAGGTGTTCTATCTCGTCCTCCTACTGCTTCTTGTGATATTTTTAGATGTGTTTGTGTTTACGTGTGTTTGTCAGCATGAGCCTGAAATAAACAATAAACGCTAGAATAACAGTGACCTTGAGATGTTCTATCTCGTCCTCCTGTAAAAAAAACTGACCTTGAGGTGTTCTATCTCGTCCTCCTGCTGCACGTTCTGCCCGCAGAAGTCGCAGGCTGTCCCCCGCTTGGGGCAGTCGTTACTGACGTGGGACTGCAGGAAGCGCTTCTGTACCTCCGCCCCGCACCCGTTCGGACAGGGCTCCGTGGCGTGGTCACACGACTCGTCATGGCTCTGGAAATAACAACAGGAAGTTACAAACGGTTGCTAGCATAGATTTCCCACCGAAGAGATTAATTTCGAATTAATTTCCCGAAGCCTTCTACAGGCTTCAAGAAGCGACTGGAAAGAGTAGAAATTGTCGGAATAGACAGATAACATGCCGGGAGAGTAGGTCCTCTACAGGAGTACATTTGCCTACTAGTATTTGTTCGAATTCTACTATTTCCAGTCGCTTATGAAGCCTGGTAGAGGCTAGCTTCCCCGACCGACCGGGAGTATGGTGTCGCGCCGCCAGGGTCTGACATCCAGGCTAAGATTTTGCACAAGAAAGCACGGAGGAGTCGGTGCAAAAGATGCATTGAAGTCTCATGGGGTTTGTTGGCCCTAGAGATGGTCTGTGTAGGTCCTTGCAACAGTCTGGATTCCAGGCTATTACATCCGGGTGCTTCGCGTGAGATTGACAAAGCCTGACAGAACCAAATGATGTGTAATAATCATCGCCGCACATAACGTCGGAACTTCATTAAAGCCTCTGTAACGACTTAAAATGGTCACGCACACCCTCGCCTCAAGGATACATGACGGGGTGTTTGTCCAGCCTGGGTCGTTGCCCCTAAACGTTCCTCCCTAAACGTACCTGTTTTTAAACCATTTGATCTGTTTTCGACTGATGTTTGGGTCACTTTTACGGATTTTTAATTTCAATTTCAATTTATTCAATCAAACAAAATCGTACAAAAGCAGGAAATGCTGATGCACCCCTGAATTATGTATTCGATTATTACAATTGGTTTTAAAAAGTAGGTAGAAGCAGTTGCACATAACATGGCGTGGCCATAACAACATCTTGTTTTGGGAACTAAAACGCTATGAAAGGAAGACATTTGTCATGTATCTATCCCGATCTGAATTTCCACATTCGGTAAACCACAAGATAGCATAACACATACACCATTTCCGTCCTTATATTTGATAAAATACGGCCTGCGCTATCACAATCCTGACTTACGCGTGCTATATCGACAAGCGTAGTCTTTAACAATGCTCGAGGTTTGTCTCTTATTGAACACTGGGTCACTTGCTTAATGTTCCCTCTTGGAGACTGTAATGCCCACCAACAGCCTGCAAGTTGCACTAAGAAACAGATACGGCTGAGCTGGGAATCGAACCCGCAACTTTGTGGTCCTGGTACGAGATTAATCACCTGTAGATAAAATACCACGGCGCGCACGCCATTTTCCCCTCAATTGAAAGATCTACAGCATACCTTAAGTTGAAAATAACGACGAAACAACTTCTTGTATAAGATACCCCGTTAGAAACGTCCCTGGAGGTTTAAGGTAGTATTTGCAAGCGTTAAACTTACGTCAGCGCCCTTAGTTTTATCCTTAGCCTTTCCCGATCTCGGCTCCTTGTTTTCCTTTCCCTTCTCGCCGCCGCTGTTAGCGTCCCCGCCACTCTCCTCCCCGCCCTTTTTATCCGGTATTCTGTCGCCCTTTTTCGAGGCTGACCCGATGGAACCCTGACTCCCATGCGTGCTGCTCCCTTTCCCCGAATCCGGCCGGTCTACCGATCCAGAGGCCGGCAGAGTTTTGTCGGCCACCGGTTGTACCTCTCCCGGTAAGAGAGGGACTGCTACGTCCGCCATGCTAGCTCAACAACCTTCTTCTTCTTCTGGAGCCAACAACGCACTGTTCTGTCTGTGTTTATCACAAGAACTGTTCTCCAAACAGTTGATGAAAGGTTTGGAAGGAGTTTGTCAGTCAGCAGCCAACGCTTCTAGTCGATCAAGAAAAGTCCATGTTTCTCGACAGCAGACCTCCATGAACATTGCACATCGCGACTGTCGTACAAATATCTGCCTGTTGCGTCGTTCTTTTGAAATTTCTCTGCGCAAGGTCGCTAATTGCCCATCATCACAATGGACTACTCATCAATAATGCACGAGATCATGCATAGCAGCACAATTTATTTTGCAAAACATGTCCCTACGCCGTCCAAGAAAACAAAGCAGTGACGTTGCCCAAAATATATTGAATTGAGTCATGCATAAATTATTTAAAGCTCGTAATGCTCTCTTCTTGGTTGGGACATCTGGTATTCTATCCCTCCTTTGAGATACATGTATGAAAAAGTAATAGAATTTGACAGATGTGTGAGACTTATTGGCCACTTCAGGATAATTAGACAACCAAGTACCATTTCAGGACAGTGAAGATCGTAGCTGTACACAAGGCTTAACTTTACCTGATGTTCGTCGTAGCGCCCCCTCCAGGTACAACCGCGAACTGCATGCGGACAGCGCACCGCCAGCGCCGCGATCTCAAGCTGTAGGCTCTTGTTGGGGTAAGCCTGCAAAGAGCAGTTTTAGAGTAACTAATAGCAGTAGTATACACATTATGGGCACACACACAAACAAATGACAATGTGCTTTCTCTAAGTGAGAACAATCTTTAAGTGAGACACAATTTTTGGTCCGTCCTTGGTTCTGAAAAAGCCATCAAAGGTGGCATAGACGCAACTAGATATTATTTAATTAAGATCGTGGTCTCAATTATTTGCATCGTTCAAGCTCTAGTGTATTTACCTGCCGTACCTAATGTATTTACATTTGGTAAATACAGGAGGATTTCTTACCTGGTCCCTGGAAATGGTTTTGTTGTCGATAGGACAGGCACCGGATGTCCTAGAAGCGTGCGAGAGAGGAGAAACACTCGTGAGTAAATAAATACCCCAGGACAGATTTGAGGGGGCTGGTCAACATGTATATGAATGTGATCGAGTTGTTTGAGTAAGAATAAACAGAGGCAGAGCAGTAGTTATTTGAGCTATCTAGACCATATACCCATGTGACGGTAAACTGTATCTGTATCTGTATCGGTATAGCCGGTATAACCGCCCTTCGGCGTAACACACCAGCTTCGCAGGCTCGCGGCGCGCCGGCAGCTGGCTACATTACACCGATCGACTTGTTACACCTAACCCTTGAACATCTAACTCTAGACATTGTTTAAAACTAGCTAATGACAATGCCCATGCTGTACTTGGTGACAGCGAGTTCCACTCTGCGATAGTGGTTGCATTATGCATTTTCAGAACAAATATTACCTTTCTAGTCTGCATTTCTTTCTAGTTTTGCTAGTTTTGCGTGTGATCCTGGCTCACCTGACCAGTTCCGGGATGCATTGCGAGCAGACGTGATGTCCGCACTCCTGGAACTCTACCGGAAACCGCAGAACCTGCCGACACACCGGGCACTCAAACCGCTTCTCCAGGGGCGCCTCAAAGTGAACCTACGGGTACAAGAATGTTAGATATTTGTCCGTGATTAGCTAGGTAGCTGTGAGCCACTGATCAGCCCCGATTGTGGTGTTACGTAAAGAGCCTGTTTCAGTCATTGACCACATGTCTCAAATGCTATGTCCACGGCGTGTACTAGACGAAAAGTGTAACCTTGCGGATGCCAACATCATATAATTTTAGTTCTTATAAGTTATACATTTGATCAAATCTTAAAGGGTTTCTATCCAGTTAGAGCGTGTTCAAATAGCTATGCCAATGAACGGCTTTTTAATTGAACTGGAGATATCCGGCAGACGTCACCAATGAAAAGACACAATGTACTATCATGACATGGCAAAACCTTTTGAATTGACCCTTTCTAAGGCTGAAGTTATAATGTGCTGTAGGGCTGCATTCTTACGTCTTCTCTCCAATTTCTTTCTTTAGGGTAACACCTGACAAAGGGGACTAGACATGTCGTGACAAACGTGGCTTAAGGTAGATGTAACCTGATATCTAGGTGTGTCTTAAACCAACCGATTACGTCACACTCCCAGAATGTCAGGTGCTCAGGTATCCTAATACATGTGTTGAGAAATATAACTCATAACTTTTTCTAGAGTGCGGTATACTTTTATGCTGGGTTACTCTCAAAGCAGAGGTTGCTGGGGAGGATTGTGACATTCCTATTACTAGTATATGCCCCGTTTGTCGTTAGTTGGGGTAGCGGTAGAAAAACGGGGCATATAATAGAAAGGTCACAATCTCTCCCACTCCATCATCTGCTTGAATAGTACAGCTTGGCATTAGTTCTGACCTCTGCCTGTTCTGACCGCTGAGAAGCGCTGGAGCAGCCACTGCTGGATGAGACCGCCGACATCCCAGACATCCCGGTACTGGGTCTCCTACCGCTGTTTTTGCTCGGCGTGCGCGGGTTGGACACGCTCTCTCCAGGCGCCGCCGCGCGCATGGACAGCACAGAGGTCTTCCCGCTACGGAGAAGGAATTTTACAGTTTAATCCCTTAAACATCTATTCTAATATTTCATTACATGTTCAGCACCAAGAACAGGTCCAAAATGAGTACATGAGTTCCATAGATATCTTTCCTAAAATATCATTACTTCGTCAAAAATCATGACCGTAATGACTTATGAAACATGTATACTAGCATGTAATCGCATTTCAGCACCAAGGACAGGTCAAATATGTGCGCGTATGTTCCACAAATATCCTTTCTCATGATAATTTCTAATTTCATAACCGAAAGCGATTGATTTCAAGTCACACTATAGACAGTTATATACAAAAATAGCCGCGTTGTAACGATCAAAGACTAGAAGTCGAGACAAATATGTCTCAAAGTAAATCATCCCCTTTGCAAATCACAACGAATTTGTTGCCACTTACCCCAGGGTGTCTACAACCCTCTCCATCAGTCCTTTCTTGCCGGGGTTTGAGGTTGCTGTAGCGTCGCTTGGCCTCCGACTAGAACGCGAGGATGACCGGCCGTCCTGGCTACCTGGGCGGTACGGTTGGGCGTCCCGGGGACTCGAGGAGGGCGACCTCCGGGCGAGGTCGGGGCGTTCGTCGACGACGTGGACTTCGGCGGGAGCGATGCGGTTGGGCCGGGGGGAGAGGGCCCGAGATCGGGCGGAGTCTGGCCGCAGGCTGGTCCGGCTACGGGACCGAGACGATGGGCGGGACCCTGTAGCCGGGGATTACGGTATTAAAATCAAAATGTGTGTGTTCCGCCCTATTCTAGCCCCAGTTCGCTTCTAAGCGATCACCTCAGTGAGTTTAGAGCCCAGAGAAATCGACTGGAGCTATAGAGTAGGTTTGGTTTCAGGCTCGGCATCGAAGTATGTGACAATTTTAATGTTTAACTTGCACAAAATGATCCCAATTGCTACAAAATATCGCCTCACTGACGAGTAACGAACCTAGAGAAGCCGAGTGGACCTAGAGTAGGTCAGATACTAGGATCGAGGATGGGTACCAAAGTTTATGTTTAACTTGCACAAAATGATCCCAACTTCTACAAAATGTGCATGACGTTAACGCCACTCACCTGCCCTGCTGCTCTGTCGTGATTTCAGCTCAGCCCTAGATCCGGCCACAGACGATCCACCACTCCCTCCCGGTCCCTTCTTGTCCGCGGCTGAGCCCGATCTCGACGGCGGCGGTGGGTCGTCAGCGAGCCACATGTCCGCTTCCTTAAGAATGTCCACCGTGGACTGGGACAGGGTGTCGTCCAGCCAGCCGTTTTCCTGCGCTTTTGCCGGAGAGGGTTTCGGGGACTTCGCCGTCCGTTCGGGCGCGCTGTTCCCGCTGCTCCTGGGCCTAACGTCGGCCTCGTCATCTCCCCAATCCGCACTGGGATCTTTCACCTCTGCTGAAGTCTTTGGCCTGTTGCCTGCACTTTTACTCTTGGTAGAGGAAGAGCTGGGTCGGGGCGAGGGAGATTTTGCCGTCGTTTTGCCGTTCCAGGAGGTTTCATCGTCAGCCCAGTCCTCACTGGAGTCCTTCTCCTTGGGAGACGACTTCGGTCGGTTGTCGGTACCTCCATCCGTCCGCCTTTTCCCCTTCGCAGTACTGCTTGAAGACGATGTTGGTCTCGAAGATGAAGAAGTCGGTCTTGAACTGACGTTTTCCTGCTTGTTACTTTTAGTGACGTTTTGGGACGATGGTGCGGCCGGAATAAAGTCGTCAAACTCGTCCCAGTCATCCATGATGAGGTATTTTCTGGCGATGAGGTATTTTCAGGAAAACTCTTTAAAGTTCCGATCCTCAAGCCTACACAGTCCGTTCAACACGCCGAAAGCTGATGCCTAGCCTTTCCTCCATCTTTTCTATATGATAGGATATCGGGGTCTTGGTCGCTGCCGTTGCGAGTCATGAAAAATGCTGGTGCTAAATGTCTGAGATGTCTACTGTGTGCCGTCTGTATGACATCTGTCACCCAGGTAACATGACAGACGGCTGACGAACCCTGTTCGTGACATCCTCTTTTCTTCTTTTCCGAGAGCGAAGTTACTACATACTATGCAGTATGTATGGATTATTTGTTTAGCGGGCTTCGTTCGCATATAGAATTGTAAAGAGGATACGTTCGTTTTGTTGGAAGCAAACGCCAAGCTTTGCGCTGCTTATGAATAATTGAAATTATGACAACTTGGGCAGCAACTCACCTTTCTTTGAGGAAAATTGCTTTCGTTGTACTTGTTTGAACCTTTGTTTATTCACGTGAAGCTCGAATCGGGCCGCAGGCCGCTTTCATAACATAGTTCATGAGAACTGATTTATCTTTTATTTGCGATCCGAAAAACGTGGTAGTCCAAAAGGAATCCGGATATATGTTGCATGGTGACCCCATTTTTACTCTAAGCCGTGCCTTGAGATACTGAGCAGTTTCCATGTGCGTGCGTGCGAAGTTGGCCATATCAGTGTTTGCTTATGCAATCGCATTTCTGAGGATAATTCTTTTTTTTTTTTTTTTTGCATCTCTGTTCTTTATTGAGTATCGAATACATATGTACATAGATAATAAATTGTTACATCAGATTCATCAATTTCTGTCTGTTTGTACAATCTTTAACTTAACTATCCTGACAAATTGTCTAATACCTTTATATATATTTCAGAATGGTATACAACTAACAAGGCTGATACAGAAAATATGCACATACCTTTTTCTCACAAATTCACAGACTTAACAAATGTCACTAATTTCGATATTGCACATAAATACTGTAACACTATATTAGCTAAGATTCAGTTGAATTTAGGGCTAACTAAAGAAGGCATCAAATGTTTCCCAAACACGGAAATAAATGCCGTCAAAAGGACATATTTTCCACTTCACTTCTACTGAATACTATTGTACTGGACACCTTTCTCAGCAATTCAGATAATTTTTAAACGACAAATACATATCAATTAAACGTAACGTCAGCTGCAGAGAGAGCCCCACTTCCCGCGGTGCTTCTCCAGTTTACCTTTCTTTAATGCTATGGAATATTCTACAGTTTGAAAGAATTTAATATAACGAAGAAAGGAATCAAAGTTTAAAGAACTAGTTTTTCTACATCTCAATATATATATTTTGGCAAGTAGGGTTATAAGATTTTCAATTGGGGGGGTTCCAAAGTGTAAATTTCCAAAAATAACATTGAATCCATTTAAGAATAAATCTTTAGTTGTTTTATAGTGATACCAAGTTTTAATTTGGTCCCAAAAAGAGATAACGTTTGGACATTCCCAGAAGACATGCAGGTATGTTTCTTCCTCTTCATGGCAGAACGAGCACAAAGGGGTCTCTATACATTTCCAAATATATAGTAGTTTGTTTGTAGGTAGAAATTTATGTAAAATTTTATATTGGAAAAACCTAGTGGAAGAATCGATAGTACAATGTATTATAGATATATAAACCTGTTTCCAGGGAATAGGGGTGTCAAAGAGGCACAGCCACTTTAGTTGTACATTATATGAAATATCAATCAAATTATGATGTAACAAGTAAAAAATTGTACACATCCTTATTAATTTTAACCTGTTTTAACCAAAAGCTGTTTCGCTGCATTGGTTTACAGACAAAATCTGGCGCATTACCACATAAAATAGATTTCCATTCTTGCGGAATGGCCGAAATCAGCTGCATATATCTAAAATGATCACAAATATTACCATATTTTATAGAAAATTCTTTAAATGTCATTAAAGTACCTAACTCATTTAATATATCATTTACAAAAACAATATGATGATACTGAGGATAATTCTTTTAGGAAAAAGCCAACTGTTACACTACTAGTACTATGATACCAAAGATAAGAAAGGCTTCAGGCGAGTGAGAGTTTATCCTTAAAACTAACCACTCGGCCAACTGATATTGGCCTGGCAGTGCACATCGGCTACGACTAGACTCTACCAGACTTCCGAAGCGGTTGGAAAGAGTAGAAATTTGCCAAATAGACAGATAACATGCCAGGGGCGTTGGTCCGCTATCGAGTACATGTGCCGCAAATGTAGCGCACCAACTCTCCTGGCATGTTATCTGTCTATTTGGCAAATTTCTACTCTTTTCAGCCGCTTCTGAAGCCTAGAACACATTAGTTACATGCAACAAGTCAGGATTCAGCGTGCTGATGACATCACAGGTCATTCACCCCACCCTAGATCACCTGCCGACCACGCCTACAACCGCATACCAACGTAACCCGGAAGTGCTCAGGTATCGGGTATCTCGCTAACATACAGCATTAGATACAATTCTGTTGGTGTCATGATTATAAACAAATAGATATTTATTATCCACTGTATGTTTATGTATGCCACACTGCAATAAGGGCCACTATCAAATTTTATTCCACATTTTATCTGTTTGCGTGTCGATGTTGTCACACCATACATCGCCCCAACATGGCGCGTGTTTTAGAGTGGGTTTTCTTCCTGTACTTCGCCTCACATATTCCCATCACTGTCCTGTTCGACTCGCAGGCACTGCTGCCAAAGGAGCTGTACCCTCAAGCCGTAAGTATGCTGAACCACAGTCTAAAAGCAGACCATCTTAACGTCTTGTCTTTAGGAGACTTTACACGTATATTCTTGTCGATGTAAATTATGTTGGCAAAAATCAGCTGTTCAACTTTTGAATAGTCATCTGCAAAGAATATAATTTGCAAAACGACAGCACTACAATCGTAATCATAACCTTCCACTTCTTCCACTAAACTAGAGCACTGTCGACTGTGTACATTCGGCAAACTGCTTAACTGTTGGAAATAATGAATCAGATATATACTGTTGCCATCTGTACGTACACGTGTCGAAGTGCATTAACAGCAGATTACAACCGTGGACTTTGACCCAAGCGAACCCGCCATAAAATTTTGTATTGGAAATTCTCAATTATCTTTATGCTAACATATGGTTAACAGTATTAAGCTTCTGTCTGGATCGATTGGCCCTCAAAGCTGACTACTATTTGCACTATACTATACTGTACTATTCTTCATTACATTACATTACATTACTGAATAGCAAAGTCACTAATTATATGCCTAACACTTCTAATAACAAGTAACAGAGCCAGCTTTTCATGCATGTAATCTCTTAAAATGTCTGTATATGTCTTCCATTTCATAATCACTGCTCAATATTACAATGTTACAATCAATAATCTTTGATTTTAGACTCAATGCCTAAGAGACTCAATGCCTAAGAGATCAATGCCTAAGACCCTTTCAACAAAAGTGAAGTAACAACTGAAAAGTGAAGTGTACAGTATACTGAATGAAAGTGCAACACAAGAAAAAGGAGTAACTCAAATGTTAACTCTGACCCCTGAGATCGAACGTGCGGTGTGTCAGCTCACAACCAGCGCACTATCCGATTAGGCCAAAAGGTCCAGGACCCATTGGGCAGGGCAGTTAGTGACGTCTATATACATGTACTCCAGGAAGAGTAGTGATGTACATATTATCACTAATGGAGATTCCTTAATAAACAAACAAACAAACAAACATGTACTCGCTGTTACAGAAGTACAACATGTTACTAAATATCTACATCACTAGTGATGCATACCGGTTCATTGGACTTGGATCCGGACTTGTAAGAATGTTTAGGTTCAAGTCCATAAAAGACCCCTTTTCTTTCCAAGCCACCTGAAACCTTCTGTAGATTGCAAAATCTTTGCTGCAAAATGAAGAAAACATTGCCATCGGGCATCGTCAAGTACCGGCCTCCATGTTATGTGGCCAAAGTTTCACCCAGACAACATTGCAAGGTTGCCAACATGCAATTTTGTATATGCATGACATTACAGACTTACAAGTCCGGACCTGAACCTAAAATTGGGTTTAGGTATGCATCACTATACATCACTATGGCTGTCTGCTTCCACTAACCCTTTGGTGTGCTGCTCTCCACACTACAGCTGAGAGATGTGATGGCAAACTATGCTCACGGTGCCAAAGACGCGCTCATGGCCGACCCCCCCATGTGGTTCAAGTCCTTCTGCTGGTGCGAAATGACTCTGCAGTTCCCCTTCTTCTTTGTCGCTGCCTATGCCTTCTACCAAGGTAAACATAGCCCCACGTTTGTGCACTGATTATTCCTAACCTGGTTGTTGTTTACTGTAGCTGAGTGAGATTAAGGAGGTCTATGCTCGCGGTGCGAAGGATGCCCTGATGGCGGACCCACCCATTTGGTTCCAGGGGATTATTTGTGTGGAACTGCTCTTCCAGTTTCCTTTCTTCTTTGTGGCAGCGTATGCCTTCCTCATGGGTATGTATTTGTAGTTACCAGTATGTTAGGGACTGTACGATATTTACCGGGGGGGGGAGGGCTGGTGCAAAATGGTCCGGTAAAAAATTTTTTCCATGGCCCTCCCCCCGGCTCAAAATTTTTTTCAATAGCCCTCCCCCCGGCTCAAAATTTTTTTCAATGGCCCTCCCCCCAGCCCAAAAAAATTTTCGGTGGCCCTCCCCCCCATTTTTCAAGTCCATGTCTCTTTCTCCCTGCGTAAATTCCCGAATGAAGTACGCATCCCGATTAAAGTACGCACCCCCGGTTTGGGGCTGGTGGGAGACAAATATTCCCGTCTGAAACGTAAAATGGAAAAACTCGAATTAAGTACACACCCCTTCTACGCACGGCCGGTACCACAGTGAACATGTAGTATGTGTGTCTTAAAGACAGTTCGTCGTTCCAAACAAATTTAAAATTGTAAAACACTAGATTTATGCCGTGTACTACGTGATGGTATGGTAACGTAGCGCGAAACGTTTCACGTTCGGCCTTGTTTTCACCGCCGGCCGCAGCCGACTTGCAAGACGTCACCACCGCATCGAAAGGTAAGGCAAGTGCGGCGAAACGCACAGATTTGGATCCAGATTTGGAGTGTTGGTGATCAAGCAAGCAATGGTCAATAAAGATTCGTGAAAAAAAGACAATATTTCAATATTGATTTTATCGGTAACAGGGGTAGTTGAATGTTGATGCACAAGTACGTAGCTTTAATATTTTTAATACGAAATGCACCGAACGCATCTTTAATAGCGCCCGCGCGATCGACCCATGGAGAGCAACAATCATACAGGCGGAGAACTGGGCGGAGTATTTGGGTGTAGAGGTGCTACCGAATTTAAAATTTGACACCGAAACCAATTAACACAACAACAGAAGACTACTGGGATCAATGGGACTTGCGATTCCGAACAGGAGAAAGTGACAAGTTTGACTGCGTTTCAAGTAATCTCTCGTATGTGATAGATATTTTTGTCACAAAATCAAAGGAATAAACACATGTATTAATTTGTACTCCGTAAAATTTATAAGTACAGTCTGTTCAGAGGAAAGAAAGACTTCCTTCTCGGGGTCCATGTTCTGGAAAGCTGTCCTCAGCGCTGCGCATGCCACGGCCCTCTCTGTGATCTTCAGCTGTAGGTGTACTTTGCCTGTCGGCGCGCCAAACACCCCACCCACCGGCCGGGCGGTAAGATTTCATCAAAGACTACATTTTAAGTTAACTCCGCCCCTATCATTGTAGCTTGCCGAACAGTCGAGTAGGAGTACATCTAGCTGGAATTTTCACGTCGTACTGGCTGGTGTAGCCCGCTACAGAGTGATTTCCTGTGGCATTTATCAAGATTTAAAAATATTTGTGATACGAAGTGAAACATGGTTAACAATTTCCGAACCTTTGAAACGACATGGGCATAATTTTTGTTGAAGATTGCTGAGTTGAACTCAAGCCGGAAGTGTATTGGAAATGATGACCGTCAGTCGAGGCATAACTGTTATGTTATCACATGTTACGTTACGACGATCAAGAACGTTCACGGCTTGCGGACCATTTCAAATATTACTCATAAACCCTACAATTGTATGTGTACTTACGGGAGGTTATATTTTTGCCGGGGTTCCACTGAGATCGGCGCCGGCTAGCTGGGGAACGATCCTGTCGGCATGACAAAGCGCCGGGCGTCATTGCATGCCAGAGACCTACATTTTCTTACCGTGGGTGACTTGACTTCTTCTTTTACCGCAACTTGTTGTCAATATCGACGATAGTCACAGGAAATATGTTCATTTATTGAAGTTTGACTTTATTTCCACTCGTCAATATTCTTATCTAAACATGCTACAGACGATCGATGTTCCATGCTCCCCGTGCCGGTGTTCCGCTATTATTCCTGGGTCGTCCACGGATTTGTCGGCGGAAAACTCAAATAAAGTACGCACCGCGACTTTGGCGACGGCCCGCGAGACACTTCTGGGATTTTGAAAAATGTAAAAAGTGCGTACTATATTCGGGAATTTACGGCGTATTTCTTGTAATTCGGTACTACGCGACGCCATATTTTACAAAAGTTTTTCGGTGGCCCTT